CTCCAGCCGGACCTGTTGGCCCCCTCACCAGTATAGTTTCAAACAGGGAGTAGTATAATCATGACTATCGAGTCCCTGGTTGGCAATCTACACAAACAGGAATTCTGGGACGCTCTAGAGTCTAGTGCTTACGTTATGGTTGGACCCAAGTTGAGCATCTATCCGCTTTTGTTTCGCTCTGTAAAGAGCACTTAGGGCTCCCTGTAACAAGACGACAACGTCTGTAGGGCCTTCCCTATCAAAATAATAAATTCTACTGCCCCTCCAGTCCAGGCCTGGCCGGCAACCGGGAATGATTATGTGTGTGTGGCAAAGTGTTCTCACCCGGAACGCACGCTCACGGTCTTCTGCAACTGGAGGCTACCCCGCCATGCGGCATAACGATCTAAGGTAAGGGACCTCACCGCATCTCTCCTGCATGAAGAAGTGGCCCATGACGTCCAGATCGAGCTGCATCTCCAACCGCCGCCATACTTGAACCGATGCCAGAGACCCGTTCCATCACTAGCTAAGGCTGCTCGGATCGGGGCAGCTCCACCATCTCAGAGGACGGTGCCCGCCTGCATGTGGCTGCATCGGGTGTCGGTCTGGGGTCGACGTTTCGAATCCGGGCACTCCTGGACACCAGGGTCAACCCTCACGCCCGCCGGTTCCAATCGGCAGCAGTCCATAACCGGGTTACCTACAGGAAGCCTTGCATCACGAAGCAAGGCGTGCCTACAAAACTGGACGCATCTGCGAATTGAGCTCATGAGTTGAACATGCTTCATTTTCCCCCATCGTGTTCAGCGCCGCAGTTCCGGTGGCTACGGTAACGGTCCGCCCCGCTTTCTTCAAGCCAAAAGTATTGCCTCCATGCTCCGCGATCCCACAAGCGAAAGAGTCGAGCCCTTCTTTCTGAGTCCGACTCAGACTTCAAGTGCCTTTATAAGGTTTGAAGGTCAAGCGGGGTATGTCTCTTGTTCGTGCCCAGACGGTCCTATGCCAGCTGCTCCGAGGTCACTGTGACAACTAATCACTTGATCATCCCGCCAGAGCTCTCTAGACCGTTTTTTATCGAGAGATAATGGGGTTATGTACTCTTGTTTGTATGAGTAGACGACCGAGTAGAGAGATCATGTGGTCCTCGTTTTCTTATGTGCGTTTTTAGCGCTTTACTTTTTTTTAGCTACTATACATTACATCAAGACAAGAGTACATAACCCACTCTTGATTACATCAAGAGTAGAGGCGACGGTTTCAAATAGGAAATAGGTTGCAAACCGGAACGGACTCAATATTCACTTTCTCTCTTGGTATTTTGATTAGAAAACATATGTCACAGTGAGACTACGATGTGTTATACTCCGAGCCAAAATTTCATGGCTCTGCGATGACCAGAAGCGCCATATCAAGCAGGTGAGTTTTTGACGTGTTGCTTCGCACTGCGACTTGAGTTTTACGACTTTCGAAAAATCAACTTCTTGTCGCAGGTAAACAGCGGCTCGCCTCTCGACAATAAAGCACCGCATACCAATCAAAACTAATGGAAGCACACACAAGGCTTATTGTTACTCTGTACTGGCCGTCGTGGAGCGATAGCAATTACCTAATTTCAGACCCAGAGTGAATTTGACGGGCACTCTAAAACGTGTCCGGTTTGGAGCCACCTCTGATTTGAACTTTTTTGAAGCGAAAAATTGGGCAACTTGGAGGCAATGGGTCAACACAAAGGAGTGGCTCAGTTCGATTGACTCTGGCCCCAGAGCAAACTTCAACATGCCAGTTTCCTTCCACAAACATATTTCGAGTGAAAAATCAACGTTGATGATCGTTTTGGGTCTATACAAATTTGGCTGTCAAAACGTTCCGGTATCGAGCCGTCTCCTCTACATAACCCCCCAGAGTGTGCAACTCCCTCATACCCTGCTGTACCCTGCAGGCTGCTGTCCCGCGACAGAATTTCAAGTTGACGTCATTATTTACGACGCAATGCTCCTTGCACCAGTGATTTAGAACATGTGAACGGGTGTCAACGCATCACACGTTATTCTTTGCAATAATTTGTACAGGATCGATCAGCTTCGGTCAACTACAGCAGGTTCCGGATTCGTCTGATAATCCGTGTACAGTGCGCATTGCATCATCAAAATGACGTCAACTTGAAATTCTGTCGGGACAGCAGTACGTGCACGTCACAGCAGTCACAGCACCCTTACATGCATAGTTGAGTTGCACACTCTGGGTATATAGAGGACTTTCTGATGAGTCATACCAAGAGTAGATAAACAAGAGTGTGCAACTCCGGATCTCTCCTGCACAATCTGCAGATACCCCGCGCCCACGGCGGAATTTTTTGTTTACGTCACCTTTTTTCAGAGAAACGCGGCTTTGCCGCAGCAGAGCAGTGTGAGAGCACGTGCTGGGCACCGACCTTGCAGTGTAAAGCCCAGCCAAGTGCACGAGGGAAAACTCTCCAAAAGGCTCGCAGCGCGTGCGTCGTCGAAAAGATTACGTCAACAAAAAATTCCGCCGTGGGCCAACCCATGCGGAGTTGCACACTCTTGTTTATCTACTCTTGGTCATACCGTGCGGCCTATGAGGATTCGGGCCAAAGATCATCGAGTTCACCACCGATCACCGGACTTGAAACGGCCGCGTACGGAGCTTGGGTGGCAAAAAAAGAAGACTGCACTGGAAAGAAACAGTGTTTTTCGAAAGAAGTTCCATTTTGCATACTGTAGTTTGAGAATACCAAAGGGCTGCTCGCGATCGGATGTTCCCACACCTGGATCGTCTTTGAGTTGTTATCGTTTTCTCTACGATGGAGAACGACGGAACCAGTGGATGACGGACACACGACTCGAGAACTTCGCTCCTTATGCAAATACTTCGAAGTACACGAATATTGTTCCATCACTTCGTTGGCGAAGAGAAAAGTCATGATCATCCCTGTCACCCCAGTACGTATCGAATTAACTAACTAACTTGTTCAGCTCATTTGTGGCAGCACCAGTAAAGGCGGAAACACGAAGATGATTCCGAACACTATCAACTTACTTAGTTTGTTGGGGTCCAAGGTATAGCTGGAGTTTGATGATTGATAGTGCTGATGCTGATGGTAATGACTAATGTACCCAGCTCTATTATGCACGTGCCTCTACATGACTGGTGGTGCTAGCTATAGTCTAGTACTGGCCCTGGGTGCAACTCCGGCATTATCTCTTCCATGCGAGTGTGTATGCTTCATGTTCTGCACAATGTGTATTTCCTTTGTCATGGATAAAATAATACCGGTACTCTGATCGACCTACTTGCGCAATCTTCTTCTGCTTCCCACTTGGTTGCTGCGCTGTGCAGTTCTTCATCTGCTGCGGCACATACTAGTATACCTCATCTTCTGTCTTTCTGGACAATTAGGTACATGTATTCAGCTTCTTGATCTTCTTGTGGTGAGGATCATCTTGATCTTACTTCTTGTGTAACTCTTGCAAAGGCAGTAATGGAGGACACTCTACCGGTAATCAGCAACTGCTTATGGAGAATGCCAGGTCGAGGGACGACCAGGAAAAAACAATTGCTGTATTGGATGTGCATTCAGCAGCGTGTTTTAGGATCAGGAGAACTAAGTTCGCCACTACACCAACTTTTTGGCTACATAGGACCAATGATGATGATGGCCGTGTTTGACTTTGTCAGCTTTCGTGCTACCAGCCACCGCATGTCAACATTGTCATACTCGTACTGATAAGGAAGAAAAACCCACACACGCACGCACACACACGCACACACACACACACATGGATACACTGACAGGCATGCAAAGCAAGAGAGACAGAGAGTCAGGCAGCGAAAGAGAAGTGAGACTACTTGTAGGTTATGGGCACGGTGCTCCAATTTCTGCCCAGCTGAAGTAAAATCCATGTACACTATTTTCGTGTAGTGTTCATTGACGGTGCCAGCCACTGGTGAGTGACCCAGTGGTGTAGGTGTTGACATTCAGCACACATCACATTTCAGTCTCCAACGTAAATTCAGTCAAAACAACACTGCACTGCAGCAACATGGGAGCATGCTTCTCCCAGGCCCACCATGCAAGTGCAGTGTGCGCCAAAAAACAATTCCAGGTAATTCAGCAGCTACCCAAGGATGGACAGGTTCGGCAAAAACACTCTGCGAGTGCCTGACGTTTGCAAACGAATTTTGTTGACAGTTGTTGTTTCTTCCTTCGATTGGGCAAGACACGATAATGTGCCAACCCAGTCAGCAATGAGACACATACATTTGTATCCATCAGGGCTATTGTAAGACTTTAGAGAGTCCTTTGCATATGTGCTGGGGACATTCACTAAATATTTAGAGAGGCCTGGATACCCAACGCAGGGGGATTGGCTGAAAGGTCCTCGTCCATAGGTAAATATGGATCAATGTACTGGGCCCACGGATTCTGTCAATCTTCTCGCGGCAACGCCTCTTCAAGGCTGGAATAAACAGTAGAGTAACTGCGGCTAGTAATCCTCGCGACTTACCGAAACTATTCACCACATCAAAGAAAAGCAAAAGTGCTTCACCACTGCGACGGCCTGCAACATCATTTTCAACCGTACACCGAACAACACATTTGATTCTCTTTTTAATTTTGCCACCCAAGCACATTTTACCGTAGGACACGGACTTGTCTTATGGGTGATCTTTGGGTGGACACCGGGAAGGCGCCAAAAAGGTGATGTAATGGAAAGTCCTCTATAATGTATGCCTAGCTGGGGGGTTATGTACTCTTGTCTTGATTACATCAAGAGTGCATAGCATGCATGCAGGGAGTCGTCAAATACCGTATTTGACGACTCCCGGCCTGGTGCATAGACTCTTGATTACATGCAAATTTTGCGTTTTCAGGTTTTCAGTAAAAAATCAAAAGGACGGTCACGTGAGCTAAAAGTCAGGGCTGTTCAGTTTGAACTGCAGTGCATGCTGTGTGTGAAAAGTGCAGGCAGTGCATGCAGCAGTTGGTGAAGGTTTTATTTGCTGGAGTGAAGGCGTTTTGACAACTTTTGTTGGTGGGTGGCAGGCTGGCAGCTAGCAGGTGACTCGATCAACCCGACCACCACTCTTCCCTCCCTAGCCCTAGTACCTCAATAATTATTTTCCATTTTTGTTTCCTGAGCTGAGTGAATCCTGCAGGCCTGCCTGATAACCAGACTGCTAACGTACTGACTTTGTAGCCATTGATCGGTTTCTCCTAATTTATAGTAATAATATTATTGTGAGGAAGCTTGCCTCCGCGATCCGGAGCTCCAGACTCGTACTCGTACGTCGCGTCCGTTTGTTGATGGGTGCCACGTGGAAGCTCAAGTGCTACAGTGAAGTGCATTTTGCATTTCAAATCTAAAATCTAAGAATGCCATTGGAAGGCAGTGGCGTTAGTGAGAGAAGTGGCCTACTAGACTCCAAAGTCCGTACGCCTGACGCTCTTGAAGATGTTCTAAACAGCAATGACCTGAGTCACAGTGTTACTGTCAATGGGAGCAGCGCCAGCAATGGAAATGATCACACCACCACCACCACCTCCACCGAGTCCTCACAGTACTATCGCACGTACAAATCACGATTTCTGGTGCTATTCATTTTCTCACTGACCGCCATTCAGCAAGATCAGATCTGGATCACGTTCGGAATCATAGCAAAACAAACGGAGGACTACTATGATGTATCTTCTTCTGAAGTGGACTTGTTGGCAGGTAATTTTTGCACTGAACTCATGAAGTAAAGTTTAAGCCTGATATAATGATATCCTATAGTGCTGTTTCGGCTACCAATGAAGCCATTGCAATGAATGGGATAGGGTAGACTCCCGAGTAGCAACGTTTTTGATCAGGAGTAGCGGTATGTTGAACTCCGTTTACAAGTGTGTTATACCCTTCTCAGTGCCGCTGCTTTGTTGCTGTTTTTTTTGTGTCTGATATCAACCCAGCTTGGGGTCCAATCATGTTCATACCCAGCATGTTCTTCTGCTCATGGCTGCTGGAGCGGCGCGGCATACGCGACACCATATTCGTGGCCGTGCTGCTGGAGCTGATCGGCGCGGGCGTGCGCGTCTTTGCACCGCCCGGTCGTCGCATGTTCGGTCTGATTCACCTCGGCCAGATCCTGAACGGCATTGCCGGACCGCTGATCATGGCACCACCGGCCAAGCTCAGCGCTGTCTGGTTTCCACCGCACCAACGCACAACTGCCACGGCCATAGGAACCATGGCACCGTATGTTGGCTCGGCAGTTGCCTTCCTCTTCATCCCGTTTCTTGCAAAGTAAGGCCATAGCCCTGGCTAACCTGGAGCAGTGTCTTTCTGCTTGACGTGTTGCTTTTCTGATGCTGGTCTCAAGGGCGCGCAACACTCTGAATTGAATTGTGTGTGTGTGTGTGGTGTGTGTGTGTGTGTTATCCTGTCCATACAGTACCTATGGCATGCAGACCATGCTGTTGTGGCAGTTCATTCTTACCGGTGTCATTGCATTGTGCGTGGCGGTGTACTTTCCCGAGGCACCACCAACTCCACCGAGTGCATCATCCGAGGTGCAAAGAGTCAGCCTGAAGAAGTGCTGGTCCAAGGTGAAAGGCAACCCCACATTCTGGATCCTGTCTATTTGCGGTGGAGTAACATCGGGCGTGTTCAAGTAAGTTGGAGCCAGAACTGCTTTCCCCTCACATACCTACATGTGCATCAGTAATATTTTCAGCGTACAAATTAATGTGTGACTCAATGGTGTACGAGACTTTGGGAAAAATCTGTGTAAAGTAAATCCGTGCATTTTAACGCGCATACTGCAGCATACACGTAGGTACAGTTGAAGTATCAGATGGAACTTTCTCTACTCCAAATCATCAGGATACTGTAAAAGCAGAAGTTTTCGGTGGTGTTTTATTTTCAGTAACTTCGGTGCAGACAATTTTTACCGAAAATAAAACGCACCGAAAATTTCGGTACTGTATACATGTACATGTAGTACAAGTACGCTTACCTGGAAAACGGGTTTTACCGAAAATCTCCCTCCACCGAACCGCCGATTTTGGAGAATACCGAAAATATTTCACCACCGGAAAATTCTGCTTTTACAATACTCTGCTTGACTGGAGTGTGTACTCAATTTTGTGGACTGCTTTTTTATGCTCTGTGTCAACTGCACATTTTAAAGTAGGTGCTCTCTTTCCTGATCTGTGATTGTTCTTGCAGTGCCTGGGCGTCAATTCTGTCAATCATTCTCAATTCTTCAGACGGCTTTACAGACTCCTCCAGCATTCACGTGTTCTTTCGCAGTACATCATGGATTGGCTTTGCCAGCTCTCTTCTGGGAATCATTGTCGCATGCGTGGCTGGACCGGTGGCCGATTTGTAAGGTTTTCTCACAACTGTTTGTAGCTGTCTTCCTGCCTTTACGTACTGTACTGTATCGTGCATTCTTTGCAGTAGCTACTTAGACACGACCCATGTCTCCACCTTCCAACCCGGCAAATATTTAGATTTTGATAGAAACGATTCAAAGCCTCTCAATTATTTTGTAATACTTCTAAATATTCACTAGTTTGAGGGAAAGAGACAAACGGGACTTCTAAATATAAGAATAATAATAATATAATATACTTTCACACAAAACAAGCTCGGTGCAGCACTAATCACGGGAGGGGAACCCGACCCTCCACCATCGCCAACTCACGAAGCATGTGAACTGGGCGGTGACGGGCCGACCAAGCACCCCGGACGCACAATACAGCGGAACGTAGCGGCGCGAAAGACACCCGACAGCGATGTCTGCTTTCTTTAGACATTTGCTCAAGTTGCAGGACACTTGAAAATTGAATTATTTCTTCAAAACCTCTCCTTGCCAGCATTATTGTGGATTTGTTGTTTGTGTATTATTTGTGCTTACTGCTACATGTATAGCTTCCCTGGTCGTCTCAAGCGTATAATCCTGTTCCTGTTTGGATCGGCTGGCGTGCTATACATCTGGTTCTCGATGGCTGTGGAAGGCTGGCTACACTTTGCCCCAGCCCTGCAGAGCACCAAGACCGTCTTTGTCACAGCAGTTCTTGGCAGTACTTTTCTCAACGCTGCAAACCCCCTTTTCTATGAAGCCTGTGTTGAAGCAACATATCCCGTACCTGAAGGTAAGCTGCGTGCATATCATTATGTGACTAAACACTTTCTTCTTGGAAACGAAACAGCTGAAGTTAGTTAGTCAATTCCACATGAACTCGTTGTGGCATTCCATTCTCCCAACCAAGATATCTGTTCTTTTCCCATCAGGAAAGATCCATGAGATAACCATCTGTGGGATACAATTACTGAAGTACATGTATCACTGTGTGTTTGTGGGTTTACCCATGTATGATCTGATGTATTTAGGTAATGACACGTAGTACTTAGCTGATGGAACCAAATAGTGTACCCCCCCCCCCCCCCCCCAACACACACATGCAGTACACACGCACCACACTTGTGACAATGTTTGATGTAGAACTGTACTTCAAAGTACATGTGCTGAGTATAGCCAGGCACGGGCTAAAAGTATAACTGCTATATGCAAAACACGAGGCTGGCTTCCTTCTGCGCAGTTGGGTTCCTATGACCGATACCGCCGCTTTGTGGGAACCATGGCTGTCTGAGCTCAACGATTTGTGAAAACCTGGTACTCGTGTGTCTGTGTGTCTGTGTGGTGCTGGTAACTGTGTGGTGCTGGTAACCGGAACACATGGTGAGATAAACAATTTTCAGTTGTACACTCCTGTTCCAATGTCTTTCCCCCTTAGTTACTTATGTTTGGCTATGCTTGTGCAGTGTAAGAAGGGACCAGTACTGTGTAAGAAGGGACCAGTACTGTGACCACCTTTGTACCGGATTCAGTGTTTGTGACTCCTTCCTCTGTCCCGTGCTGTTTATGGGAATGTTTGTACAGGTATCAGTGTAATGGTGCTGATCGGCTTGAACAACTTCTCCTGTCTGGTGTTTCAGGTGAGTGGTATCACTCCTCTCTTGAGGGGCCACGTTGTGTACAGCTGTTATCAATGTCACTGCCACAGCTTGCTGATATAGGCAGGTTTTGTTAGGCTGTGTTTACACGGAGACGTAACGAAACGGAACGAAAACGTGCTGGCCAGTGGCGGCCATTACGAAGGCCATCTTCAAAGACCAGTAGCAGCGGGGTTACGTCCTGAAATTGGGGGTAGACCACCACCATAGTCTGCTACAACATGTCCCCAAGCGCCAACAAGTGGTCTTGAATAAAGTTATCCACTAAAAATCATTTGGGGAAATATTCTAATTTCCAACTCTCCAACGGCCATGCACTAGCCGAATCACACAAGACTGTCAACAACAGTCAGAAGTTGAAAGAAACAACGAGCGCGTTGCACACAGAAAATTGCACGCTGCTATTGCCACAGAGAAGATATGCACTGTGATAAGCGCACATAGACAAGAGAGTAAAGAAAATTAAAGTAACCTTCGCACCATGGATCTGTGCATAATGCAACCAATACAGTCATGCAGCTTTACTGTCAATAACAATCTCACGGTACTAGCGGTGAAGTGAGACACATAAGATCTATGACAGAACACTGGAGATGAATGTTATCAAGAGTACATAACATAATGTACTCTTGATGTTATATAGAAGTGACTAGTGACTGAAGTTGTGGAAAATCTTGATTCCTGCATACAATGTACTGCAGAGTTTGTTTAGGAGGAAAGGTCAAAACCACTTTGAAGCAATCATGTTATTTATACTAAAAACTGTTGCATGAAATACGCCACAAAAAAATAACAGGTTCGTAAAGGTTGTGCACGACAGACAGAGAGAGGGAGAGAGAGAGAGAGAGAGAGAGAGAGACCGTCCCCCGTGAATTCCGCGATTCCACGGATTGCAGAATTCCGCAGAATCCCGCAGTGTCCGCGGAATTCAGAAAATCCCGCGGAATATTGCAGAAAAGAACGAAAAACTGCTTTTTCTGGAGACTAGTGATGTATTTTCACAGCCAAAACAACCTGCTCGTGACTTTCAAAATCAACTAAAAAATAAATAAACGAGAGAGCTTGGAAGCTCAGGGCCCTGCGCTATGCTTTGTTGCCTAGCTCATCGTGCATGTTGGTAGAACTGATGGAAATGCTTTTTCCTTTGATTAGCTACATCATTGTATTGCAAAAACGTTTCAATGAGATACTGAAGTAACGTCTTCTGCATAGCTATGGAACCGGCGCTGACTCTGCCGATCACGGGCGTTCTGGAGTCGACGGGATGTCTGTCCTGACGTTTCCTGGGACCGGCGCTGACTCTGCCGATCACGGGCGTTCTTCTTCTTATTATTATTATACTGACGGCAACTAACATCCATTCTGATTGCATTTACTCGTCTCCCTACTTCGTATTAGGCCTTGGCGGATAATGCTCGAAAAGGTGGCAGATTCTGCTCGAAAAGCAGTGAAATTGGCAGAACCATACAAACCTTATGGCGTGCAATTCCTCGAATTCTGCTCCATTTCTTTATCCACATACCAAACATGCATGAAACCTACCAGAAAAAGTACCGAATTCTGCCAATTTTTCTGCCGGCATTATCCGCCAAGGCCTACTTCGTATTTCTTTCCAGAAAATCTCCCCATACAGCAGGGAGTCGTTTACATAATATGACTCCCTGCTATACATCTACATGACTGTATATACGTTATAATTATGATGCTATTGGCCTACATGCGATTTCCGGGCTGGTCGACAGGCGGCCCAGCCAGCCTGCTAGTGGGATCTCGGCCTCGCACACAAATCCACACAAAATGTTACTGCACTGAATGCATTCCCCCATACACTTCGCATATATATTCGTTCTCTTGATGGTACCGTACTCTTGATGGTACAGGACAGGTACGGGATAGCGCCAGGCATGTCGATGGCACAAACAAACAAAAGTATTGTGGCCAGCTGTCTTTGCTGGTACGGTACAGTACGGGACAGATACGGGATAGCGCCAGGCGTGACACAAACAAACAAACAAACAAACAAACAAACACCAAATTAAAGCTGTGTGGACCCTGGCTAGCGCCAGACGTTACTGAAGTAACGTCTTCTGCATAGCTACGGGAATAAAGTAAATTATCGCGTCCGTTCCCAAAGGGAACTCACGACGGCCGCTAACACCCGGTAAACCCTAGCGGCAGATGCAGCGCCTAACGGTCAAATCAACTAACTTGCAGTATATTTTGGAGCTTTCAATTTTTGGACCAGGAATTTGCATAATTTTGGTTCAGAATTTATGGGGACAAGAAATTTCGGTAGGGTTGCGGAAATTCGATCTGTTTTGCGCTCATTTTCCTTGCAGAATTGCCGCAGAATATAGATTAGAAGGATTTGCAGAATTAGCGCAGAATTTACCATTTTCAGCCGCAGAATTCTGCACGGAATTTCTGACATTCTGCCGCGGAATTCACGGGGACAGGCGAGAGAGAGAGAGAGAGAGAGAGAGTGGAAATCAGGGGTCAAAGTACTGGACTAGCACCCGCCTAACCCGTTTTCATCAGAATAGTAGTATGTGTCGGGCGGGTTCTGGAGTAGGCACATGCCCCAGCCCAAAAAGATGGGTTATTATTGATCGTACCCCATTTTGGGGTAAAAACGGGCGCCCGGTTTTTTTGCGTAAAAAATGATTTTTCAGGTGTTGGAGGGGCATGCCCTAATTGATTCTAGAGGATGATGGATTATTGAAAAACACTGAATGAAAACTCATAGATTTGCGTGATTTTGAACGCTATATTCAAATTTTCGACTCACTTTTTTCGTGATATATATACACACGCGCACACACACACACACACACACACACACACACACACACACACACACACACACGCACACACACATATGCACACATACCATCACTTGAGAGACTACATTGTTCACTCTTCAAATACATGCGAGGATGGATTAATCCACGACCTCTTCCGCGACACGCAGTGCGATGAGGAGTTATCAGACACTCTGATATGCACCAACGGTTCCACCCAGTCATCCATCGTATTGTCAGTCGACGACCTCCTTCGCACCTCCATTGTATCGCATGTTGACTCGGGCAATTTTTAGTAGTGCTGAAACGAGTACGCCGAGTACTCGAGTACCCGCTCGTTGAGTACTCGACTCGATATCAAAAAAGGACTCGATACTCGATAAATAAATAAATAAAATAAAAAACTAAAAAAACTTGATAGCGACGTACACGTCCGTCGTCCATGTGGCTTTGCAATGAAAATTTGTGTTTATTGAAGGATATTGAATTGCGTAAATGGTGTGCAAAAAATGGGTATGTGGTACTGACATAATTATATGCGCATGTGTGCTTATAGAGTACTCGATACTCGACTCGATAGTGACAGTACTCGCTCGATAGCTTATAGAGTACTCGTTTCAGCACTAATTTTTAGATGAAGCCATCCTCGCTGATATCAATTGTGCCGACTTGCACACGAATCCGCGTGACTCGTGTGGCTACGGCACGGAGTTGAATGGCCTTGGTACTATGTCGTACACTCATGTTGTCCACCCGATACACTTCATTGTGATTCACCTCCTTGATCAATTGCATGATGTCACTCGAATCCAAATATGACGCATCTGCGAAGATGTCGACTTCATCTTGTGAACATGCTTCATCATGCAATTCATTGAGCTTGTAGAAGGAGTGTCTCCCATCGACCCATCTTCGGAGTATGACGCCATCATCTCCGTCGCTGACAGTGCCGAAGTCCTCGACACCACCGATGATGATTCCCCCCCCCCCCCCCATACTACTCCCCATACTACTCAGAATCATTGGACGTGGTTTGAGCAGACGATGCACAGTGAGGTTGAACGTTGCAACCTTGGCTTATAGCAGCTTGGACATTCTCTTCTGAAAGAGATTCTCCCTTGAGTTCGCAATAGTTGTGTAGAACAAGGCACGCATAGATGACGTTCGCCAAATCCTCCGTGTTAATGTCCATAGCATGCCGCAGTGCACCAAATCTGGCTTTCAGTCTACTGACAGAACACTGGATCACCATCCTAGCTCGGGGGGGGGGGGGGGGGGGGGAGGGGGCTCCCCTGCGAACTCTTTCATAAGGTACGGCATCAGGGATGGGCAGGATCACCCAAAATGAATATGGGAATCGGATCTTCATCCTCCTGTAGTACACTCTCACAAGGAGAGATTTTGCCAGACTTCAGCATGGCGTTCAGCCGCGAATTGGCAAATACGCGGGCGTCATGCACACTCCCAGGCCATTTGACTACGACGTCCATGAAGCAATACTTGTAGTCACCGCAGGCTTGAACATTTAAAGGGAATGTCTAGCCTTTCTGTTGATATAATCTGTTGAATTCTGTTGAGGTTGGCGTATGTCAATGTGTGTGCCGTCAACAGCTCCAATGCACTGGGGCATGCGATGGGCACCCTCAAACTTTCTCGCTGAATCGCACACATCCTCCTCAGTGGTTGGGAGCTTGATGTACTGTGGGCCGAGATGCTCTGTGATGGCATGGCAGACACGGCGAGTTGAAGCGGTACTTCTGGCGAGGCCAAATGCATTGGCGGTCTTCCGAAGTCACCCTTCATCTGACCGATAGTAAAGGGTAACTGCTAATTGCATCTCCACATCCACGCACTTTCTCATGACAGTTCTTTGACGAACTAGGTATGGCCTCAGCTCATCGCACAAACTCATGAAATTCTCCTTGTTGAGCCTGAAGTTGTCTGTCCTTCCATTCACGATCCACGACTTTGTTGTTTGGAAGTTCTCCCACCAAACTGCTGTTCTGCCTGGTCAAACCCAGTATTTGCGTTCTGCAGTCCTTGCACGTTGTCGTTTCCATCGTGCGCCCGAATCACTAATCCTATCCGTGTCCTTCTGGAGAAGACGATCACGGATAATCTCCAACTCCGTAATTGCTAAATTCAGTTGCGCAGCTGCAATAATGCCAGCCAGAAGAGAAATCAGCAGTATCGTCGCCTGCTGTTTGACATGAGCAGCAGCATCCTGAACTACTTCACCAGCGACAACAATGCTACTGTCCAACTACAAGCAACCTCTCAAACAATTTCTTCATTCTCACAATTCTTCGTCCTGACAAGCTCGTTCTCGGGTAGCTTAGCGGTACGTTTAGCTCATGAACGCTGCAGCGCTGTGTCAGTGTTTGTGCACGTGGTTTGAATATTGTTTGAATATTGAACATTTCCCCGCGAAATATTGTCCCGCGCGGAATGGTTTCCATGACTGCGCTCCGTTTCCGATCGTTTTTCACTGTTTTCACCGTTTTCACGAGAACGAAAACGTTTTGAAAACGTTTCAAAACACTTTGAAGTGCGTTTCCATTTCGTTCCGTTTCGGTAGCGTTGTCGTGTAAACGAAAGTAGTGAACGCAACAATTTCGTTCCGTTTCGGTCGTACTTTGTCGCCGTGTAAACGCAGCCTTAGTGTACATGTACTAGGTGCGGTGATGTTGGTATTTGCGGTACTTGCACAACTACAAATTGTGCTCCATTGTGGCTGTGCAGAGAGACACAGGCAGAACTGCCATACTGAAGAATTCCATGTTGCCCTTTGCTGCATTTTGTGTTGGATACTGCTGTTCTTCAGGCGGCCGGCATGGCAGGTTTCTTTGACAAGTCTCACCCTGGCCGTGCCAAGGCGATGAACTGGCTGATGACAGGCATGGTGGTTGGTTGCTGGTAAGGCTGTGTGGATGTGGGTGGGTGTGTAGTGTGTAGTAGCAGCTACTCCGTGATGTGCTCATTGCTGTCTAGGAATGAGGATCAGGGCGCTGCTGGAATTGGGCACTGCACCAGCATGTCACACAGCGGTTGAATTCTGTAAACCGCAGTTTCAATTACATGTACCCCGGTTCTTGTATCTGTCTGTAATAACTATTGAAGTATTGGAAGTCAACTTGTCATGCTGCTGCTCATGCTGCTGCTCATGCTGCTGCCAACAGTCATAAGTACTGATGGGTAGTCAGACGTGGAAGATACTACATGTAGTACCCTATGGATGTCTCATACAAAGACGTGCGCACTTGCATACACACACGCTTACACAAGTACCGCTCTCATGCCAGCAGGTGTGTTATGATCATCCTCCTGCTGTCTCTCCTTTCTTTCTCCCTTCCTCAATTGTGAATCAATTGCACACTTTTGAAGGAATGGCCCTATCCTTATCATCAGTTCTAAGCCTTCCTTTGTACATAAGCGGTGACACACGGATATGCTCATAGTAATAATAATTTTTCAATTGTTCTCCACTTTGTCCCACCAGGTTTCTGTCTCTGTTCTACAAAGAAGAGTATCGTAGGATGAAGGTGGATGATGCCAACGATGACCCTTCAACTTGCAGCTTTTCAGAAATCGACACCGATGGCGGCGATAGTGAACATGCCATTACCTCCTCCTCTTCTCCCTCCATACAGTGATATGTTTTCAATTGTGCTAACCCACGGGCCTGCACGTTCTACTCACTAAATAACTCCATGATCCCTCTTGGCCATGCACTCCATGATCCCTCTTGGTCATGCAGCCCTTGCTATAAGATAGGTAGTGTTCTGTTTCTACACACGATTCCTCGTGGTTGTCCAAGCTCACTTGCTAGTTTTTTTTCAATTGAATTATATTACCGTCTGTATCCTGGATAACGACACGACTGGCCTGTAGGCGATCTTGTGCATTGACTCTATTCAATGACCTTTCTGTGACGTCAAACTCCCGGGACCTGCTGGCAGACCCGGCGGTGTTGTATTGTGTACTGGAAGTACTTTGGTTTGAATCATCGAAATAATATGTTTCTATTTTTAGAGAATCTTCTTCATGGTTTTTTTAATTTATTCCTATTTTGAACTGGTTTTGCTCTGCTCAACGTTGCAACCTGAGTTTTCTCCTTTCGAGGTGCTTGAATCTTCTTCGTGCTCCCGCATTATCTCATCCGAGTACTGGTAAACTAGACATTGACGAATTTGATGAAGTTGGATGGTGTGCTGTCTGCTACAAGTACACTTGTGTGTCAATTATCCAAACTTCACTCATCCAATGAACCAGGCCCGGTTCAGATTGTTTGGATATTCAACACACAACTATACATGAACAATTAAGGCTCCCGTGCAAAGCAAGCAACCTGCATTCTGTGTCGCTGGGCTAGAGCCAGAGCAAGGTCGTAGCAGTAGCACCGGGATTCCACGTGCTCCGGCCAAGGGGGATACTAGTACTTGACCGGAAATGAACATCATTGGCAAAAGCCCGTTTTGCACGAATTGGATGGGTCAGCTTTTTCGAAAATTATTTAAGTCCGGCAATGATCGAACAGGGTCAGGGTACTAGTACTACAGCCCCACAGATTCCGAAGTTCTTACTAACGGGCCTTCCGGGGGCTTGTACTCGTAGTGAGAGTAGATTTTCTCCCTTGCCTTGGCCCAGTCATGACCCTACTTGAAGTCTTGTAACCATTAGCAACTTACTGGCCCTACATCACTCGCTAGCACTGCTTGTACTCTAGTAAGGCCTGTAGGGATGCAGCAAACGGCCAACAATAACATGGCACTTGAAGACAGCTGCAACTACTTGTCTTCAGCAAGACTCGTCCATGGGGGGGGGGGGGGGGGGGGGAGTAGCCTACTCTCTGCTATGAATGGCATGAGTTTCACTGTCATGTCCAGCCTTCCTCCCAAACCTCCAAGCAAGGCAGACGCCAGTTCATCTGGGCTCAGCCGGCTGGCTAACGGATCTCCTGGCCTGGCACCCCCTCATCCCCAATCAGGCCCCAGCACAACTTACTGACGCCGGTGACAATGATTGTCATGTTCACAGCCTCAAGCCGGCAACTGAAGTAGCAGCAGAACTGATCACGGTTCTTGCGTTTCATTGAGCTCCACCTACTCCTCCTCGCTCGTCATCTGGTCAATGGGGGGGGGGGGGGGGGGGGGGGAGCTGGGGCGCACTGTCACGGTACTTGTGCCAGTTGTGGACATGTTGATGTTGTTTGTCCAGTCGACGTGATCATGATATGATCACGATAATTGTGTTAGAACCAGTCCGCCGCAGATTGAGTAGGAGGCAGTCCATTGAGAAGTGAAAGCAGCTACAGTGGCTGTTGTAGTGTCTACCATTCCATCCGTCTGCTGCCACCTGGTCGGGGTCAGGCAGTTTGGCCATTCGCTCCTCGTCGCTGCTGGAGCTGATTCTCACTGATTTAGCGGCTGTAGCAGGGCGAAGAAGCATAAAACTAACTTGCTTTCCGGATCGACATAACTCGATAAGTCATTGACCTGCCGGAGCTACACCTGACCAGCTGCTGATGCATTCAGCATCTATGAGTACTGACGCATAGAATACAATCATAGTGATTTGCAAATCCTTGGAAGCCATCATAATTATGTCACTGGAAGACAGCAGTGTAACTGTGAACGAGAGAAGTAGTTTACTGGACTCGAATGCCCGGCATAGATCTACCTCCCCTGATGGCGATGCGCTGCAGGATGTCCTAAGGAGCAATGATCTAGAGCACAGTGCCAGTGACAGTGTGGGTACTGTGAAGGCTGGGAACACTGGCCTCAACCACAGTGTTACAGTCGATGGGAGCAGCACCAGCAATGATCACACTACCACCTCCACCGAGTCCTCACAGCACTATCGCACGTACAAATCACGATTTCTGGTGCTATTCATTTTCTCACTGGCCGTTATGCAACAAGTGCAGATCTGGGTCACGTTCGGAATCATAGCAAAACAAACCGAGGCCTACTATGATACATCGTCTTCTGAAGTGGATTTGCTGGCAGGTGAGTCGGGTGATGTTTGGATATACATTGCATTCCTGATAGGGCTCAAACGGTAAAGGTGCTACGCTATAACGGTCGGTATATCGGTTAAGTGGCATATGAACTGTGCAGGCCAGTGGTAGCTGGTGCCTGGACCCATTCAAGTTTAGACTTACAGACTACTAGTAATTCTTGTAAACAGCAGGATCTCTTTATGCCACAAGCCGCTTGAAACCGATCTCTGATCTCTGATGTTGATAACGTTATCGAACAACGACACATACCACAGAATCATGCTAGGCTTGGCAAGACCACCGCATAAATGTGGTAACTGTCTCACCAAGGTTTGGTGCGGAACTCTGTTTCCACCGAGTGACCTGTAACGGCCTGGTGCGTTTTCATGAACGGCTTCGGTGAGACTTGGCGGCACTCTCAGACACTCACTGTCTCGCTCAGTGTCAGCGCTTCAGTGCTTCAGCTCCGTGAAAGGCCTTTCCCCAACCTTTGTTGAGGCGACACGGAGTCCGGGCAGTCAAAAGCCTGAAAAGGGCGTCCGACTGAGTCGCTAACTTAATCACCGGCTGCCGTCAGAAACATGGCTTTCTGCCTACGCACAGAAGTATTTTCGTTTTGTGTGAATTGTGCGAGTGCATGTGGTGCCCTGTAGAAATAGTCCCATTACGGTGTTTTATGTGCGCTGAAGTACTGCCACCGTCACCCGGTCCGAATGGCCTAACCAAAGGTATGACCTGCCTGGCTGGTATAGTGGCACTGCGCCAGCGTGTGTAGTACATGTACGGTGATGTCTGGGGTAGTTACCGTAATGGGCATGGGCACACAGTAGATCTACCTGGGCATTAGGGAGGTTTAGTCCCACGTAATCCGTGGGTACTTTACGTGTGTGTACCACGTGATACTCAGTGACCCATGTACAGACGTTTTCTGATTCACGACATACCGTGTATGGAGGTTCACCCACGTTCCGCCAAAACGTGGGTGAAAATCAGAATGGAGCGCATTGTGCGAGCTGTGAGGTAGCTCAGTTGAAGAAGTTTCCGAAGCACGAAATCAAAATATTGGATGAGCTTCTTAGGCCCGGGTAGCTTCGTCTTTGACAGGGAGTTGTAAAATAGGCATTTTACGACTCCCTGGTCTTTGACCAGGTTTGGGCTTTTCGCTTCATGCTTTTGTTTGTTCCGTGTGACTAAACACAACATTGCAACGTGGGTGCCCTTCATCCACTTTACGTGGATCACCCACGTACGCGTTTCCGTTACGTGGGAACTAAACCTCCCTATTATTGACTGATAATGCCCGGGTCACGATGCTGCTCTGATTGGCCAAATGCTAGCAACGGCCTGACGGCAGGCATGTGACATGTATGAACAGGGAACCGCCTGTTGACATGACAGATTCCAACTGATTCCAACCGACTCCAACCAGTGAGTAGTAAAATGATACTGTTTTCCCACTCCCTGGTCCCAACCCTGAGACGGTGAGAGCCTTTCGGTTTCTCTCGTGTTGGACCTTCCACAGTCTGCGACGAACGCCGCTGCTGGTTGCATATCAATTTTGCGTTCTCCATTATAGAGCTCTGGGTTCGGATCGGCAGACTTCAAGCAAGGCAACCGACTAATGACTTTCCCCTTTTGACTGTTTAATAATAATATTAATAATCAGTTATCACACGAAACAATCATGGTTATGCCACTACCATTATGTACTCTTGGCACAACCAAGAGGCAAGAGTACATAACCCCATTATTTGTACTCTTGCCTTCTTGGCAACTAACTACATGACTGTACTTCAATCTTGGTACAGTGCTGGCAACTGAAATCTGACCCCCTGGGCGGCGCGCTGCGCCGCCCAGGGGGTCGGATTTCAGTTGCCAGCACTGTAGACTACAAAGTAGTAGTGTAGTACTAGTAGGCACTTCAGGCGGTTTTTTCAAAACCAGAAATACTCGTATTTCTTTCTTGTATCCGATTCAGATAGGTTTAGGAAGACTCCACAGAAAATTTGAAGCAAAAAGAATAACTTGGCACAGAGATATAGCCATCCAAAGTCGGAGAATTGAATAACGGCAATTTCAGTATTTCGACGGCACCAGCAGCATATCAGAATTGGCAGGACTTGCTTCAGTGTCTATAGTGGCAAAATACCAGGCTTGCCGGAAGCAGGTCAAAATAACCAGATGAATGCAGAAACAGCATGGTTTGGAAAAACTTCGCATTTTTCATCCGTCCGGCAGCTCAGACGAAGATATCGGGTGTGGTCACCATGGCAACTCCATAGCAACAGCATAGCAACTCCATCGCAACAGCATGAAAACAGTGCAGAGAAGCCTTTGGAAAAGCATAATGAGACTTTGAGGTAAGATAAAGTAACTACAATAATTCAGTGCCAGAACACATTGTTGCTACATGTACAGTACTGACTTGGTGACGAGTACGGAAGAACAATGAGCGGCAGACTGAATTTTACTGGGTGTTTGACGGAAAGAAATGACAAACTATCACATGTAGAACATCGTCTGCAAATTTTTGGGACTACTGAAACTTCAGCAACTCCAGCATGAGAGATTTTGTGCATAGAGTGTGTGCTGGATTCATGTTATAATTATTATCACCGTCAATGCTTTTCTTGGTCGCTGGAAGCCACCTGCTGATCAGCTGACGATTTGTTCCAAGCAGGCCGTTTTGATGTCAGCTCTCTTGGTCCAGTCGCCGAAGTATATACTGTCCTACTCGTCGCCTGCAGGAGAGGACGACTGCTCCGATGCGACTCCAATAACACCTGGCAATATTTCTTCTTGCGCAGCCATGCGCATGGGCTCCGACGAACAAGGACTACTGCCGGGAGGACGCCTGCCGCGGCTCGCTTTCAATATCAACTCGCATTATTTCTTCTTGCGCAGCAATGCGCAAAGTGTCGGACGAACGAGGACAACTGATTCCGAAAGGAAATACGACGCTGAAGACGATGAGCTACATGGCAAATGCGTGCAATCAAGTGAAATGCCCAAAAAATCCTTGCCGATTTTACTCGAACTGTACGTGAGTTCAAAAAATTGCCGCATCGTGACGTATGTGGGCTCAAACGAAAGCTGAGAGCCTCAGCTACACGCTGCGCCACACGAGAAGGCCCTGCGCAGCTTCCGTGCAGCTACAGATCGATCTATGCATGCGCCTTTCCGTGGTGCCACGCATGTACGCGATTCAGCGTTAGCACTTTTTGACAGGTTATGTCACGTGACTGAAGTGCCTAGTACTAGTCCCTGCTTGACAGCATCAAGCATCTCTTGACCACTGTCATGCAGATCGCAGAGCATAGCAGGCAACATTTTGCATGTGGTGAAGCACCCGACCCAAGTCAGTGACAACTATTTCCTTTTCCAGATTTCCCCAGGGGTAGCCCACCCACTGCTGTCTCCAGTTTACTGACAGTAGCCTTGCCTCCACTCCAACTAGACTCGACTGCCGTAGCCAGATTCAAAGTGCTCGTATTATGTACTCGGCCTTCCGGGGAATTCCACCTGTTGATAGATACCACGTGGACAGCAGATCTACGGTATTGTTTGCATTTTGAACCAATTTTTCGAAGAATGCCGTTGGAAGGTAGTGGTGCAAATGAGAGAAGCAGTTTACTGGACTCGAAGGCCCGTAGATCTACGCCTCTTGAGGATGTTCGAAGGAGCGATGACCTGAGCCACAGTGTTACTGTCGATGGGAGCAGCGCCAGCAATGGAAATGATGACACCACCACCTCCACCGACTCCTCACAGCACTATCGCACGTACAAATCACGATTTCTGGTGCTCTTCATTTTCTTACTGACGGGTATTCAGCAAGAGCAGATCTGGGTCACGTTCGGGACCATAGCAAAGCAAACTGAGGACTACTATGATGTATCATCTTCTGAAGTGGATATGCTGGCAGGTGACTTTGCACTGGTTGATGTTTGGATATATTCCTGATGCATACCGTAGTGACGTGCATTTAAGCACAGTCATGTGCCTATACCCGGGCATAAGCGCACCCTCACAAATATGCGCATGGGCTTACAAGTGAACCTAAATGCAGTCCATCCGCGACCCACGGACACCACGAAAACACCATGTTCACATAGTTCAATGTGCATTGCGGTATCACACTATTTGCATAATTATGCGAGGTACCGGTACACTAGCAGCTCAAGCGCATGCGCCTATGTGTGACACGAAACGACCCGCAAATAACGCAATAACTCACTCATAAGCGCATGGGCCTTTATGTGCGTCACTATGATAAAATATTATTAATGTAATCCCCACGAAGAGTGAGTCCATAACCCCAAGAGTGTACACCTCTGATCTCCGAGCTATGGGTGCTATGCGCGGCGCGCTGCCTTTATTACGTAGTGAAATGACGAACAAGCTGCCTGAATTTGAATTTCCCTAAGGTCTAGCCACAACGATTTCATGAGTATACGGTAGGTTCAAAGGCACTGCCTAGCCTGTGCGCGACACATCACGTACAAAACCATCCAAAGTCCCCGAGAAAAGCGCACTTTGGTGCAGCAGGAAACCGTACCAGATCAATAATGACCCAATGGCCCAGCTACATGTAGTTGCAAAGTCCGTGGCTACTAGTACATTATGCGGGCGGCGCCGCGCAGAGCACCCGTAACTCAGAGATCAGACCCCCATGTGCAGAGTTGCATGTACTCTATGAATTCTTGGTAATCCGGATGTAGTTCTGGACACGACTAATCGAATAACGTTATATACTGTGAACCCCAAAACTTTGCGAGGAGTAATTTCGAGGCATCTTGCAGCTTCATTTGTAGAAAGTAGTTAGGTGGACACACCCAACTACTTTCCCTAAACTTTGGCGACCAATATACATGTATTTAGCGATTTTATGTTGTAGACGTTTTAACAACCATTTACTAGTATTTTAGCGATAGAAGGATTCAGGTGGCAGCCACTTTTTGGGTAATGCGAGCAAACGGAGTAGATACTCTAGTGTATGGTATCAGAAGATACGCTCTTACCCCTCAAGGAAAACACATTGCATGAAAATTTGTAGGGGTCAAACGGGTGTACCTTTAACTAACGAACGGGTAATTTTCTTAAAGGGCGGGTTAACGGGTACCCTTTAGCAGCCATGTATAATTTTTTGTGCAATTTTCACATAAATCGAGAGTTTAATTCATCTGTTCTCGGGTTGCATTTTGATATCACATTGTGATTCGCGAATCGATTGGGGTCTGATAGTCGCAGGAGTAGATCTACTAGGTGCGAAAATGCAACAACAATGCAGACATCAAGCATGGAGTTGTAAATAATTGACTCCCGCCTGGAATACACGAACCCAGCAGTGCTGCTCCGTACTGACTGGTTCATGAAAATCCAAACGGGTACCGTTTTACTAACGGTACCTGAGATTAACGGTCGGGTACCCGGTACACCCCTTTGACCCCTAAAAATTTGCCATTCCATGGCATGTAAGGAAGCAGGTTCTGAGTGCTGTTTTTTTTGTTGCATTTGTTCTACGATGTGCACGCATGCCAGCATGGGGCCCGATCACGTTCATCGTCGGCATGCTCTTCTGTCCGTACCTACTGGAGCGGCGTGGCATACGTGACACCATGTTCATTGCCGTGCTGCTGGAGGTGGTTGGCGCGGGTGTGCGTGTCTTTGCACCGCCGGGCCGTAGCATGTTCGCCCTGGTCCACCTCGGCCAGATCCTGAACGGCCTCGCTGGCCCGCTGATTGCGGCACCCCCTGCCAAGCTTAGTGCCGTCTGGTTTCCGCCACATCAACGCACCACCGCCACCACGATCGGGGCCATGGCGCCGTTTGCCGGCCTGGCAGTTGCGTTCCTCTTCATCCCGTTCCTTGCAAAGTAAGAGCGCTGGTTTGGGGACGAGGCAGGTGAAACTGCCTGTTGTTGCTTGTGCACTGCATGTGTGTGTCACTGTGTGAGTGTGTGTGTCACTGTGTGTGTGTGTGTGTGTTCATACATGTATGTATTACTGCACGCGTGTGTGTGTATGTATGTGTGGGTGTGTGTGTGTGTGTGTGTATGTATGTGTGGGTGGGTGGGTGGATGCGTGCGTGCGTGTGTGTGCACATGTTTGTCTAACGCACTCGTGTGAAGTTTGCATGTCTGCAAAAGCGTGTGGAAGTTGTCAGTGTGGCTTCCATGGCTGAGGTTGTCGATATTTTCTATTTGCTCTAATGTTCACATTGCCATTGCTCCTTTCTATTATAAGCCAGTCTGTGCCTTCTTGACATCAATGAATCAGTCTGTGCCTTCTTGACATCAATGAATCATTCTTTCTGAAGAACACCAGTGTTGTTGAACGATTTAAAATATAAAATCGTGATTAGTTCTGTCTCCCTGTGGACTGACCTAATCACTCTTCTCTATGCATGTGTGTGTGTGTGTGTGTGTGTGTGTGTGTGTGTGTGTGTGTGTGTGTGCGCGTGCGTGCGTGTGTGTTGGTGTTGGTGTGCGCCGCGCGCGTGTGTGTGTGTGTGTGTGTGTGTGTGTACGTGTGTATGTGTGTGTTCTCCTGTTCATGCAGTAACTATGGCATGCAGACGATGCTGTTGTGGCAGTTCATTCTTACCGGTATCATAACGTTGGCCGTGGCAGTGTACTTTCCCGAGGCACCACCAACTCCACCGAGTGCATCATCCGAGGTACAAAGAGTCAGCCTGAAGAATTGCTGGTCAAAGGTGAAGGGCAACCGCACGTTCTGGATCCTGTCTATTTGCGGTGGTGTGACATCGGGCGTGTTCAGGTAAGGCTAGTCAGGGGCCAGCGCTGTCACCCGTTTGTCTCACGGATACTGAGATGAGCTTTTCCAGGCACTCGCAGAATCCACTGTTGCCATTTACACATTAGAGGGTATCTCAACTCAAACACTGAAAATACGGCCTCTTTGCTGCACACGTCATTTGAACTGTTCATGCAGCAAAGAGACCGTAGTTTGAGCGTTTGAGTTGAGATACTGAGATATGCCAAATTGATTCTCTCTGCACCCGTTTTTTAAATTTTTTAAATTTTTTTTACTGCATTACAATGTACCATTTTCGGGCAATTCTGATTTCTGTATTCCGGGCCAACTGCCTGTTTTGACGATGAAGGAACTCTGACTAAGAGTTAATTTGACAAGCAAGGTAGATTGTGTTTCCAATGTGTTGCTCTCTCTCTCTCTCTCTCTCAAGGTAGATTGTGTAGATTGTGTTTCCAATGTGTTGCTCTCTCTCTCTCTCTCTCTCAAGGTAGATTGTGTTTCCATTGTGTTGCTCTCTCTCTCTCTCTCAAGGTAGATTGTGTTTCCAATGTGTTGCTCTCTCTCTCTCCTGTTTTCTCACAGTGCCTGGGCGTCGATTCTGTCAATCATTCTCAATTCTTCGGACAACTTTACAGACTCTGCTAACATTCACATGTTCTTCCGCAGCACGTCCTGGATTGGCTTTGCCAGCACTATTCTGGGAGTCATTGTCGCATGTGTGGCTGGACCGTTTGCCGATTTGTAAGCCACTCAAATTCAATGTCATGTTCCCAATGTCTGACTGTCGTTGTGCCCTTCTGCTGTTCCACAAGTTGTGGCTTATGAAATCCAGACCGATGTACACGTCCAGCACTGTAAACTGGTTTTGACGACTTTAGAGAGGTTCTGCTATGTGGACCATAGAGAAATCACATGCATGTAGTGAACAGGTGTCTGGGTGAGTAGAGAGTCTACGGCTTCGCGCGTTTGGAGTCCAGATTTCCATGCGAATACGAGTATCTCTACGCTGTGGCACACGCAAAGAAAATATTCGTACGGATCTGCTGCGTGTCAAATTAGGGAGCAGGTCATCAGAAAACTGCCAAATTTGGGCCGGGTAATTTCCAATTCACATTCCGCGTGGTTTTCTGCATGAACGTAGAGCAGAACATCTTCTTTGCGATACGTGAAGACTAAGAACACGAAATGTCTGGGGGTGCCGGGTTGCCGTATGTGAAAATCCGTGTGGATTTTACTTGCCACAACTGAACATGTGCATGTGTATGTGCATGTCAATCGTGAATAGTTGTAAACCAATGGCATATCTTTGGTGCGATCTAGAACCACTACACGCTTGGTATTATTCATGATCTACCTTCATTGTTGTGACTTCATTGTTTGTGTATTGTTTGTGCTTACTACTATAGCTTCCCTGGTCATCTCAAGCGTATAATCCTGATAATGTTTGGGTCGGCTGGTGTGCTGTACATCTGGTTCTCGATGGCTTTGGAAGGCTGGCTACACTTTGCCCCAGCCCTGCAGAGCACCAGGGCCATCTTTGTCACAGCGGTTCTTGGCAGTACCTTTCTCAACGCGTCTGCTCCTCTTTTCTACGAGGCCTGCGTGGAAGCAACCTATCCCGTACCGGAGAGTAAGCTACAGTGTGTATTACACGATTGCTTAGTGCATGTTGCATGTGTACTGTATTTGATATTAGGCAGGTTTCACGCCATCAAGTACCCATTCGTCGGATGTCTATTTTGGAGAGGTATGTGTGCGGGGAATTCCCAATCAGCTTGAAAACATCCCATGGTACTGTACGTTGTGATAGGTTCATTGGCCCTAGTTGTAGCCTGATGTTGTTCTCCTTCCCCAATTTCCCCTCTAGGCAGTTGCGTTTGACGACGGACCTGTTGCGAAATGTGGAAAAGGAGACAAACTATGTAGAAAGAAACGCCTCGAGTAGTTCATGAACGAGCTTTGTAGTGTGAAAACTCCCCGATCGGTTCATGCATGTACTTGTACATGTACTTGGCAGTGTTAACGCTCCCTACTGCTACACAGCAGTGTTGGGATCAGGATCTGTAGAACAGGGACCGTAGTGTGGAGAGGGCGCTTGTCACCAATGCTACCTTTGTACCGGATTCAGTGTTTGTGACTCCTTCCTCTGTCCCGTGCTGTTTATGGGAATGTTTGTACAGGTATCAGTGTAATGGTGCTGATCGGCTTGAACAACTTCTCCTGTCTGGTGTTTCAGGTGAGTGGTTTCATTCCTCCCTTGAGCGGTGGTCAAGTGATGTACAGCTGTTTTAACGTGCTCCTTACGTGTTGTGGACGGTATTCGTGAGTCAGTGAGGTGTCAGTCAAGTCGGCAGGAAGTGTGAGCTCCACGTTTGGAGCAACCAACTTCTCTAGTGTCCTGTTGTTGTTTTTACGATCTAAGGAAAACTGTGCATGTACACTGGGTATCATAGTTGATATAATAATAATTATGTACGTGTATATTGATAATCATCCTGAATGCTGTTGTGCTTGTTCATGCTGCAGGCGGCCGGCATGGCAGGTTTCTTTGACAAGTCTCACCCCGGCCGTGCCAAGGCAATGAACTGGCTGATGACGGGCATGGTGGTTATTTGCTGGTAAGACTCTGCGTTTGCGTTCTTCGAGGCACACTAGTGGTGGTGGTGGTGGTGGTGGTGGTGGTGGTGGTGGTGGTGGTGGCGACGGTGGCATGGTGTATGTAGGTGTGAGAGGAATGAATTACTAGTTGAGGCACTGTTCAGATGGCAACCTACAAGACTTAGCATGTTGCCACCGTATTAGCTGAAAGAACTGGTGAGCGGCAATATACCATGATGTTGGCATGGGTTCTATGTCGCCTTAACAAAGTCTCATCACTTGTCTCTCTCTCAGTTGCAGGCGCAGCCACCACTCCATCACTGCCACATATCCGTACCTAATTCTTTTTTTCTGGCAGAGGTGACTTCCTTGGAACGTGCTTAAAAAATATTTTCTTTCTTGTGCATCATATGCTGGCTAGTACTGGCTGCATACGTGTATATGCGGAGGTGACTTTAGTTCCCTCTGCGTATTGAATTGTCATCATGCTGTCTTCGACCTGCCCAGCACCTTACCTGTCCTTATCAATGGCTCAGTCTTTCTCTATAAATTATGTACATGCACTGTGTCCCACCAGGTTTCTCTCTCTGTTCTACAAAGAAGAGTACCGAAGGATGAAAGTAGACGCTAAGCATGATGATGATGACGCAACACCTCGCAGCAGACTGTCAGAGAACGACGGTACTGATAACGACACAGAACACCGTGCTGTTGCTGCCTCCTCCTCTGATCACTCTATACAGTGACGTTTTGCCATTTCAGGCCCTAATCTTAGGGACTTCCCCGCTTTGCATGGCATGGTGATGTATATGATTATAGCGAGGTACTCATTATAATTATTATGTTGATGTTGAGAATCCAGGACCTGCAGGCGGGCCTGGTTCTGGTCATTTATTTTGATTCTACCAATTATTTACTTGCCGCTCGCGAGTTTATCTTATGTTTCCTTCATTGATTCTTCATCTGGAGTGCTGGCACGTGTTGACGGTTTCTGAAGCGTACACACACACACCGTTTGATGAGAGAATGACACTGGTCACTGGTGTGGTGCTGCCGTTCACTGATGTCTTGTGTAATTGCGTCAGTACCGGTATACGGGTGCCAGGGTCGCTTCTGCTACTGCACTACAGCCATGCACATCCAGCGTGTCTGCATTCAAGACACCACTCTGTGAACACCCCCATGACGTCCATGAAGGGCATGCGCAGTAGATCAGTACAATAAATGTGGGATGTCATGAAAACGTCGTTGCCGAGCAGTCATGTGCGTATTCCAACATATTCTCCTTCACGTGTCAAGGGACATGCCTGCACTCCGCAAGAAGCAGCTTTTTTTGGCCAGAAATTAGTAAAATCACCAAGTACATGTATGCAGAAAGGGGTTTTGCTATCTATTTGAGAACCTTGCTGTAGCCAGTGTAGATGAGTGCTGCTGCAGGTAATGCTGCCCAGTTTGTGGTGGCAAAGAATAGTGTGAAATGTACTCCAACAGGCGTTCCTACTTGGCTGTCGCCTCAATGACCAATATTACCACAATGCGTATACGACACAGTGGTGTTAACCTCACACTAGAGGGGGGGGGGGGGGGGCATGCATGTTTTGTAGTATGACTGCAAGCCCAGACGCAAGGACAATACCAAGAGCAAGCTGTATGCAGACGATAATTATCGAGTTGAGAGCAGATCTGCGTAGTGGCAGCGAGCATACCAAGAGAACACGGCAATTCGTTAGAAGCACTGGTCTTTATCGTACTGTACGGGTGCATGGAGATAGAGCACACTCGGATACATGGACAGGTGAGAAGGAAAGAAGATAAGTACCAGAAAGTGATGGACTGCAAGTGAGAGATGGCTTATCACAAAAAGCTGAAGGGTTGAAATAAAAAGGCTGGATTTTGACGGAGACTTGGCATCACCAGAAGCAGGAGCAGTGGATCTACAGTGTATAATGCATTTAATAAAAACAGACTACAGCAGCAGGTGTGCATGCCAGAAGTAGCTAGTCCTCCAAACCCGGACAACTGGTGGAATAATGGAATATGATGATCATTAATAAAACGGAATCACGGAAACGAATATGCTGCACGCCGAGTATTCTCTAAAAGCAACAGAAAAGAGTTTCGTACCTCAAATAAAAACAGAAAAGGGACCAAGCACGCCAAGGGAAGACATGAAAACAAGCAAATATGCAAGACATATCATGCACTGGAGTTAGAATCAGCAGAAGCCTAGCCTGAACGACTCCTTGCCTGCTTGTGCTGCCAAGGCAAACATGTATTTTCAACTGCGCAGAGGACATGTCATGTTCAGTAAAACAAAAGAGTGGCGGTGGGGCATCGGTAGCAGAGCATGATGAAAACCATGGCAAAGGAAAGAAAACATAATAATTATGTACATTAGTTTTTTTGGAGATTATGTATGCACGCCTGCAACTAGCTGGCTAGATACGGCATAGGAGAGGACATCTAGTCCTGCACATGAAACAAAGGGACCATCTATGACAACCACCGAGCCTAAAACGTGATTTATTTGGTGCGACTAAGTATGAGCGGAACTGGTTATGACACCAGGGGATTATTCTACAGTAAAACGCGAAACAAAGTAAAGAACCTACTGACACAAGTTGGGAGATCTAAGAGTCAAGATGATGCTGAATGCAAGTAAATCCAAGAGCACATGTACCGATGTTGACTGATGACTGGCAAGTCACAGTCTAAAGTCTACATCATCTGCAATGAGATAGTGCAGTGCCTCGTCCACAGTCGTTCCCGCTACTAAACAAAGAGAAGGCACTGGCCTTGCTATCAGCTCTATTTCTTGGGCGCTACAGGAAACGAGCCATTGGGTGCGCTGGCAATGGTGAGGCGACCCTCGCCTTTGCCAAGTGCTTCCAAGCACTTCACGGCAACAGCATCATTGACTGAGGCTGACGGCAGTGCAAACTGCGGTCCGTTCTCGCTATGATACAGCCAGCCACTGACGTGACCATGCTGAGTAGTGAGTAGTGCCGGAACAACACTGGGCGCCGTGATCAGCCCCGCTGTCGCCGGTGCTGTAGCTGCTGGTGCCGGTGATGGGTGTGTTGTGGCGGCTGCAGGTGATGGTGCACTGCGAGCAGGTACACGTGGAGCTGCTACACCACCGGGCTGCAATGCACCGCTGTACAGCTGCCCAACGGTCATCTGCGAATGGCCTGTGACAGAGGCGGCGAGGGACGCAGCAGCCGCAAGAGCAGACTCATTGCTGGAGCGAATGGCGATGGCCTGTGACAGAGCAGATATACTTGAGTGCTGTGTACCTACAGGCAGGGAAGACGACGACGCACTGGCAGCAACTTTGCTCGCGGCACTTGTTGCAGCTGTGTGAGAAGAATGTATTCGCGATGTACTGACTGAGCCTGAAGCCAATCCACCGCTGGCTACAGGTGCTGCTTGACTTCTACTTCCCGTTGACACTGAAGAAGTGCTCGAGGACACTGAGCTACGGTGATTGCTAACATTAGCAGACAGTGAGCGAGGCGTAGCTGCACTAGCAGACAGTGAGCGAGGTGTAGCTGCATTAGCAGGCAGTGAGCTACGGTGGTTGCTAACACTAGCAGGCAGTGAGCGAGGTGTAGCTGCATTAGCGGCTGTACTGCGAGCAGGCGTAGCGACACCATTCGATGCTTTCTGACCGACCACAGTAGAGGCAGCTGTGCTGCTGGTTGCTGGGGTAGCAGCCTTCGTAGCTGACCGCGTTGCTATACTGGATCTGGCTGCAGCAGTGGACGATGCGATGGAAGATGAGGCTGCAGACACCAGGGAAGCTGACGCTGTTGTTTTCTTTGCAGTGGGTGTAGATTTGGCCATTGCTGCTGCTGCTGCCGCTGCTATAGACCTACGTGCTGCAGCAGGTGTGGTTGGTGTACTACAGTCAACCCAACGCATGGTCCGGCTTGATGGCTTCGTCTTCGCCACGGCAGTGGGTGTCTTCTTAGCAGCTGGTGTGAGAACGGCAGTGGCAACACTTGCCTTCTTGTTTGCGCTACTAACGGGAGTAGAAGCAGCAGCAGCAGCCACCATTGGCTTCTTGCTCACATTTTCAAGAGGTGTGGTCGCAGGTCGCTTGTAATTCGCAGTAGCAGTGGACGGCTTGGAGCCAGTAAGTGGCACAGAGCTGATGCGTGCCTGTGTTGCCGAGCAAGCACCACCAGCCTTCGGTGTAGCGCTTAGTGTCCTAGCAGTTGTAGGTGTGCTGCTGTTGCTGGTGGCAGGGACGGCGGCCCTAGATTGCTTGAGCGGTGACGCGCTACTGGCACTAGTATCCATGGGGCACGGGGTACTCGCTGCCGTTAATGCCGCTTCTGCTTCCTTCTCTAATCTGCACTGCACAGCAGAAGGGGCAGAATATTGGTTAAGAGGCCGCCGGGGCAGCCGACTGTCGAGGAGCAGCAGGATCGGCACCTGAGGTGAACTTTTCTGGAGAAAATGCACGTGCTCTGTACTTGTCCTATCCAAGGACAGCTTCTCCACAATAGCCTTCTGGTTTTTCGACTGTGCTTTCGAATAGGAAGCTGCTGCCGCCGTTGTTGTTGGTTGTTGGGCAACGCTTGGCTTCTTTAGGACTTCCTTCAACAAGGCACACGATGCAACAGGTTTTGGAAGGTCAGCACTGACGTCCTTGGAACGATTGACCTCTCTGCCACCACAAAAAGGAAAAGAAACCATCACGACCAGTGAACAAGTAAGCGACATCGAGAACACACGCAATCAGACAAAACACACATGCACGTGTCCACTGTACACTGTGCACTATACAGGTAATGCATGCAATGCATATGCCAGGGCTACACTATACAGGTAACGCATGCAATGCATATGCCACGGCTACACTGTACAGTACTCGTAGCAGGATGGGTTTGTTCAGCCTTTCACTGACACAACGCACACCCATACTACAGATCTGTGCGACAGTTGCGCACGCACACGCACACACACGCGCGCGCACACACACACACACACACACATACACACACACAGTGACAACATAGCCCCCCCGTGTGCCTCCTCTCCACAAGGCATAACATTCTCCCCCACGGCACGGGTCAAGGTAAAAGTAGCCAATAGTCAATTCTAAGCATAGGGGCAGGAGGTGTTAGACACCTTGTTTCATGGAGCTGCACATAGTGATGGCGGTGCCCATCTCCTCTTTTGCCCCCCACCCCCCCCCCCCCCACCCCCTCCCCGCAACCAAAGCCACATACTGTAAACTGCCTAATGTTTGCGACGTACTTTAATGTTTGCTAAGTTTGCGAGAAGAGCATAACACGAATATTAACCATCGTGAAATCAAACGTCAACAGTGGGTGTACGTGTGCGGCCACAGCCCACAGTGCTCCGCAAACATTTGCCATCATAACCTCGCTGGTTCTGAGAGATCGCAACAGTTTAGTGACGCGAATATTGGGTGGTTTACAGGACCCAATCCCAGAAGGTCTCCAGGAGTGGTACCGTAACTTACTGGTTATAAGTCGTCTTTTCATACAATGTATGTAAAATGGAACCAAAAATGGGGGGGGGGGGGGGGGGAGGGCTACAGCCTGGATTTGACTTTCATCCAGGATTTTGTACGAAAAGCCTAGAAGTACATGAGTTCGCATGCACGCATCTCGTACCATAACCATGTTTCCGCCCACGCACCCACAGAACAAACACTTACTGAATTAGCTGGATCTTCTTGCGCAGCCTGCTGCGGAGAAGCTCCTGCAGGCGATGAGCAAAGAAGCCCAGATGGCCAGCAGAGTCGAAAACGACTCGGACGTACGCTAGAACGATCGCGAAGAACTTGCGCTCGTTCTCATTCACCCGGTCTTCATAGTACAACTTCCAACGACAAGGCAAACACACACACACACACACACACACACACACACACAAACACACACACACACACACACACAATACAGGATTCATATGTATGGAGGAGCATCTTTTAGAGATAGAGGTTCACATGCCGTAGTCATGTTACTCATGCAGGACCAGAGGAAGCAGTTTTTGTTTGGTCCATACAATTTTGCCACCATGCGCATGTGTGTCATATGAAACCATCCAACGTGTTGGAAGAAAAGTATCTCAATCCTTCTCAGGCTACTTCTGGTCTACTTGAGCGATATTGACACAAGCAACACAAGGAAGAAAGGAAAGAATGAAATGTTCAACTGTACGTCTACACAAAATCAGATGCTAGCGGGGGAGGGAGGGAGAGAGAGAGAGAGGGAGAGAGAGAGAGAGAGAGAGAGAGAGAGAGAGAGAGAGAGAGAGAGAGAGAGGGAGAGAGAGACCACTAACCGTCTCCAATTCAGACAGCTTCTTATCAGCAGCTTGCACAAGCAAGGCCGGATTGATTGGCGTTAAGAGTTTTAGCACATCGACGATCACCAGTTTTGGTTTCTGCATGTAGAAAGCAGCAGCACCAACAACACATTCATGTGGACATTGGGATTATGTGGAACTACAGCAAGCAAGCAACAAGGGTGCATGTGCGGAAGGGGGGCAGCACACTACGGAGTCAGTAACAAAACAAGAGACATGCCGCGGAATAACACAACCGCGCTATTCCAGCAACGGTGGTAACGGGTAGTAGTAGTAGTAGTACTAGTAGCAAGAGTACATAAACCAGAGTGTGCAACTGTGCATATCAGATCTGAAACAGCGCAGTTCGTGCACTACGTCACCCTGATGAGGTCAGCCAAGCCGCGACGGCGTACAGCTCAAATTTTCATGTTTCATAGTCCGGAAATCAGCCAAGTTTGCTTGATTTTATACGTCCAGTTTCAGGATTTCGGAGTTTTGTGTAACTGTGTACGCTGCGTACATCCACCGACAAGTAAAGTCACCAGGCTATCCGCATCAAAAAACCGAAATCAGGACAAACTCAGTGACCTGCACCACCGCGACTGGTTACGCAACTTTTCACCGTACCTGTGGCTTACCATGCCGTCAGAAATGACGTACTGCATGAATTACGCTCCCACAGGAACCATCCCGAGTTGCACACTCTGGTTTATGTACTCTTGGTAGTAGTAGTAGTAGTAGTAGTTGCAGTAGTATTTATTATTTTAATAGGGGAACCCTACAGACGGTGTCGTCTTATTACAGGGAACCCTATGAGTACGAGAGGGTGCATATGGCATGAGAGTACTAGTAGTCACTCGACACAGCCAGGGCACCACAGTAGTCACTCGACATAGCCAGGGCACCAGAGTAGTCACTCGACACAGTCAGGGCATCAGAGTAGTCACTCGACACAGTCAGGGCACCAGAGTAGTCACTCGACACAGTCAGGGCACCAGAGTAGTCACTCGACACAGTCAGGGCACCAGAGTAGTCACTCGACACAGTCAGGGCACCAGAGTAGTCACTCGACACAGTCAGGGCATCAGAGTAGTCACTCGACACAGTCAGGGCACCAGAGTAGTCACTCGACACAGTCAGGGCATCAGAGTAGTCACTCGACACAGTCAGGGCACCAGAGTAGTCACTCGACACAGTCAGGGCATCAGAGTAGTCACTCGACACAGTCAGGGCACCAGAGTAGTCACTCGACACAGTCAGGGCATCAGAGTAGTCACTCGACACAGCCAGGGCATCAGAGTAGTCACTCGACACAGCCAGGGCATCAGAGTAGTCACTCCACACAGTCAGGGCATCAGAGTAGTCACTCGACACAGCCAGGGCATCAGAGTAGTCACTCGACACAGTCAGGGCATCAGAGTAGTCACTCGACACAGCCAGGGCATCAGAGTAGTCACTCCACACAGTCAGGGCATCAGAGTAGTCACTCGACACAGTCGGAGCATCAGAGTAGTCACTCGACACAGCCAGGGCATCAGAGTAGTCACTCGACACAGCCAGGGCATCAGAGTAGTCACTCGACACAGCCAGGGCATCAGAGTAGTCACTCGACACAGCCAGGGCATCAGAGTAGTCACTCGACACAGTCAGGGCATCAGAGTAGTCACTCGACACAGTCAGGGCACCAGAGTAGTCACTCGACACAGCCGGGGCATGACACTCGGCACAGCTAGGCTTGACAGCTTGGCGAGTATCCGATAGCATTTCGGCACATGCAGCATATCGTAGTCTCAGACGGTACACTCGGCACACAAGCGTGGTGAGAAATCAAGGTATCACGTGGACTAGACTACATGTTATGTATATGTATAAAGCTATAAGCAACCTATGCTAACTGATAGTACACGTCCGGATAGGTCTTTGACCAAGCAATTATGAGAAGGAGATGAAGATGACGCGCCACCATTGGTAACAATGAAGGGTAACTGCTGAGCAACAGCTATTGTAGGCCACACTGATATGGCTGTGAGCCAACAACACACCATGGCCACCAGTATTGGCAAGCAGTAGCAGTAACGAAATCCAGAGGTTGGCACCGGGTTAGACCGGTCGAGGAATTCTGCGACGTGTTTGGAGAAAATACCGGGTTCTCGCGACCCGTTTGAGTGATGCAGTCTGTTGTACAGTCACCACTGCACAATGTATCATTCTGGGCATGCGGGCGTGCGTTTGCATGTGTGTGTGTGTGTGTGTGTGTGTGTGTGTGTGTGTGTGTGTGTGTGTGTGTGTGTGTGTGTGTGTGTGTGTGTGTGTGTGTGTGCACTGTACTGCATGGAGGATACATCTTTAGTCCCATTTGCGCTGAGCAAGCATGGCCCACACTGTGACAACATGAGTGACGCGTAGGTTAACCTCTGGCAAGTCAATAACCTAGGATGCATTTTTTTGGCTTTTCATTCATTCATTCATTCATTCATTCATTCATTCATTCTCTCTCTCTCTCTCTCTCTCTCTCTCTCTCTCTCTCTCTCTCTCTCTCTCTCTCTCTCTCTCTCTCTCTCTCTCTCTCTCTCTCTCTCCCCCCTCTCCCCCTCTTCCTTACTGCGTCATAGACGTGCCGTGTAGCGAAACTGTTCCGTGTTACCATCTTGGTGGAAGGAGCCTTCTCATCAAAGCGAGAGCCAAACACTTGCATACACAGCCAGTCACGAACCGCCCAAACCATGGCCTTAGCCTGGGAGGGATTGTCGGTAACGAGCGCCTTCAGCCCCTCCGTTATCTGTATTGCAGTAGCAGAGCGCACAAAGGAGAGGATAGCAACACAAAGGACACATCGAGCCAACCAGACAACAGAGGAACACATCCCCAGCATCTGCGCAGGCAACTGACATAAACACAACAGCAGATCATATCTTATAGTAACAGCACACCAGTGTCTTCCGGCAGCCACATACCGGTAAGAAACAAAATCACAGTACAGTAAAGCCTGTGACTACCGACCACCCCTTGGTGCCAGCAAAAGCTGTCTTTAGTAGCAGGTGGTCTTTAGTTAGAGGTTTGCACCGTGCGACCATATATGGATCCCATCATATGATTATGTATATCAAAATGCAGCTAATACAATTCCCCAGGACTTGCGCAATGCCATTCTTATTTCAAGTCAAACAACACTTGGAGAGAAAGACGGAGAGATGGAGAGAGACAAAGAGAGAGAGAGAAGATTAATTTTTCTGCTGACATAAAATTCAGCTGCTACTTCTGCAGCCAGGAGTCAAATGTTCCCTGTGGAAGTTTCGTTTTGCGCTGGGCTTCAAATTTGTTCATGCGATCAATCGTACCGACTATCCTTGTTGTGACTTCTCGATTGTTTGAACGCGATCCTTCAGCATCAGGACCTTGCGGTGCTGCTTTGTTTCTGGATTCCTTGACGCCATCGTCGATTCATTTGTATGATTGGGGTGACAGAGCCGCTCAGTCTTCGTTTCTCCTCCGAGTAGTAACATCGAGCAGAGAGCGCTTTCGATGCGCTCTCCAAGACGTTCCTATCATGTTTATTATTGACAGCGCTTTAAATTCTGACAGGTGTAGTGCAGTCCACACCGACTCCACAGTCAAAATGGCCTGCGTTCATTTGTTCAGCTGTAGTACCGAAAGATTCCTTTCAGGACCATGGAAAATCAGCAAAATTTCAAGAAGGAGCTTCGAGCACCATTTGGTTTCCTACATCGCGGTCGCTAGTTACGGGTCAAAAATCGTCTTTGGGACAAGAAAAGGCGGTCGCTGGTCGCGTTCAGCAAGTAGTCGCTAGTCACAGTGCATTTCGAATGTGAGACCGTCCGTGCCTGGCCAAGTGGTCGGTAGTACCAGGCTGGTCGCTAGTCACGGTGGTCGGTAGTACCAGGCTGGTCGCTAGTCACGGTGGTCGGTAGTACCAGGCTGGTCGCTAGTCACGGTGGTCTGTAGTACCAGGCTGGTCGCTAGTCACGGTGGTCTGTAGTACCAGGCTGGTCGCTAGTCACGGTGGTCTTTACTTACAGGTTTTGCACTGTTCATTGGTTTGAGGGAGAGATGCAAACGGGAAAAGTCTGAAGAAAAATTGACTGTCACCGCCAGGTCTCGAACTAGGGTCCGAGTACTAGGGACCTCCACTTGAGGCCCGCGATGCTCTAACCACTGAGCTATGGTGTAGCTGTCATCCCAGCAGGGACCATTCAACATTTTCTTTACTGTACAACTACTATATATGCACACATCCCCTTCACACTCGCTCCTCCACTCCACCGTCAATAGCCTGCTCCACCACTCCACACACCAATCTTCCATCTCCACCACGCCACTGCTACCTTTGAGCTGCACGTAATCACTAGTAAAATAGCAAATCGTGTCTTTCCCTCAAACCAGTGAAAATAGTAAATACTTCAAAGTATAGCACTCGAGGGACAGCTAGCCGAGTGCGAGTGGTGGACCACAGCTGACGAGTGCGAGTGGTGGACCACAGCTGACGAGTGCGAGTGGTGGACCACAGCTGACGAGTGCGAGTGGTGGACCACAGCTGACGCAACAGTGACAACATCAAAGTACAGTGTTGCCAACCGCCCGTATTTGTCCGTATTTTTACGGAAAAAAGAAGTTTTGTCCGCAGTACGGATTTCAATCGGATATCCCGCAAACGATCATTTATATGATCAATTGCTAAAACCTTCGTAACTCCATCGTTTCTTGTGCCAATTCAACAATCGAAGGATCTACGTGGCAGCCAAAACTCCAAGCTGTCCAACGCAACACTCACGGAAGCGTTACGATATCGGATTCCAGAAATATAGACCAAAGTTATGACCTGGTGAAGTTGAAAATTGTACTGAATTCGTAGGCTTCGCAAGTGAACTCTGTGGCTGGAAAAGTTGTACAGTATCGTTTTTTCTTCCAAATTACACTAAATCAGTCAAATTGTTGACCTGAAAAACGAGTACGGAAAACTCTGAAAAATTCTGCAAAATGGCACTGGGCAGTACGCATGGGGGTAGAGGGCACTTGGTAACACTGAAAGTATAATTCGTCCTGGAAGGAACATCGCAATCCTGCATTCCAATGGATCACTGCTGGCTAGGCAGTGTACAAAGATGCTCCAGGTCTACTCTGCCAATGCCAGGGTCGCCCATGACAAGCAGAGAACTTTATACAAGGCCAGAAAACGGAGCTCAGAGAATGAAACTACTCCCAAGGAGCACAAGAGAAGAACACAAACAGACACAAACACACAGACACACAGACACACACACAGACACACACAGACAAATACACAGATCAGTACTCACCGAGCTGATACTGCCATCTGCGCTGATGCTCTTCTTGTGCAGAATGGTCTCCACCTGTGCCGGAGAGGAGAGATAGATAGCCAGGCCGACTTGACCAAACATTGTATCTCCTCCACTAGCAAGGGATCTGAAGCACACACACACACACATACATAAACATACATACATACATAAACACACACACACACACACACACACACACACACGCACACACACACACACACACACACACACACACACACACACACACACACACACACACACCACCACCACCACCACCACCAACAACAACAACAACAACATCTCTTATTGGCCACTGGCTATCGTGAGAATAAAGATTTGAAACAACAACAAAAAACGGGAAAACCAAGATCAAAAGCCTATTTGAAAATAAACTACCGCGGATACTATACCGTAAAAGGCCGTATTAACGCCCAACCAGTATGCCCAACCAGTATAACGCCCGCTGCCCGTGTATTGTAAAAGCCATATACATATAACGAAATGCTAACTCTAACGAGTTAACGAGGAGAAGTCTGTCGTTAAAATAGAAATCGTTATACAGAATACTGTACTATTGAGCGTTGAGAATGAGTGAGAATCGTTACCTTTGGTACACGTAAACTAGTCAATTTTGGGAAATGGTTATATATGCGCCAGAGTTAGAATAATGGCTTTTACAGTACATGTCCAGGTGCCCAGCAGCCGGGTGTCAAAACTCTTGTCCCATTTTCTAGCCCACCTCCGTGTAAACGCCCGCCGGCGACATCACAGGCCCAGCACACACAGTGCAGTGCATGCACAGCTCCACGTGTATGTACGGTACCGCAGTAAAACTTAGTGTACAGTACACCGTGCTAACCGTATAACTGTTATGTACATACGGCAGTACGGCATGATGTGAAAATAATCTTACTTCACTTACTGTAGTGTCTTGTATAAAAGCCTGTCTCGTATAGAAGCCTGTTTTGAATACAAGCCTGTATCGTATACAAGCCTGATTTTTAAGATACATGTACACTGTCAGCACATAATCCTGGCTTTAGTATTGACACACATAGAGATATGTGCTTGATTAGAACCCTAGCACTGACACCGGCTTCTACCGGAATAAGAACGGCTTTTTATACGCGGCATTACGGTATCCGAAATGATACTCTGGGCCCAAATTGACGGCCACGTTCTGGACCTTCACTAACGTTTCTGCCCAGGGCCTTGTTACGGGCTTTTACGGTATCTGCGAGAGAGTACTTGCTACGCATGCTAGGCTCTAGGAGACTATTCACTAGATTCCACATCAAAACTAAACCAGGGACCAGCGGACCTGTTGTTGCTGGCCATACCTGTCTTCACTAGCAGTTGGCAGCCGAGAAAAGACTTACCCATAATGATTCCGCACGGAGGAAACAAACTCAGCGGCTGTGCCCGGGCTGCACAGAAAACAAAGACAGCGATACCACCAAGACAGTGTTTTTTAAATACAGTTTCACATCCTGGAAGGAGTTGAACTCAGTTCTGCCACATGTGTACAAAGTGACTACAAACATTTACCTAATGTACACAAGGGTTTTCATTCTGCACCAGGCTGGACACTCAACTCGGTCTGCGAGGTCGAGTTGAAACTCATCCCCAGCTGGAAGTGCATACCATTGTAAACTCTTCACCATGTAAACCCGGGAAGGGTGCTGACCCCATATAAACTCTACGGCAGATTCGTGCCGGGATGAAAGTCGTTGACGTTTGTCAGCAGGAAATCAACTCATCACTGCATGAAATCATCTTGTGAATGTTTCACAGTTCCATTCCGGATTGAAAATTCCATGCAAACTTTAGGGTCATTGAATGCTTTCCTTATAATTTTTTTTGTATACACATCACGCCACACACTAGCTGTTCATCACCACCCAGGAGACCGGGACGGTGAAGATGCGTGTGACCATAATCATCGACAAGCAAACCCGCCATCTCTCGTTTGGAAATTGACTACACCATATGGGCTACACACATACACACGTGTACACATTCGCACCTACACCCATACCCGGTACCCACACACATATCCCCCACCCCCACCTGCCAGGGGCTGGCAGCATGGAGTTCAGCATACAACAGGAGTCTCTCGGCAACACCACTTCTGGGTATTCTCTGTTCCTGACAAGAAAATTTCGCAACCAAAGAGTGGACATTCCAAGTTCCAGTGCTGAATAGTCCATGCTGTTGTATTTCTTTCTGCGGTGAATAACACCACGCGCGGACACACGCACACATTTTTTGTAGTGGCGTGCACGGGTAGTCGGGTACCCGTGCTACCCGTGAGGACCTCGGGTAGACGGGTACAGGATAGTACCAGAAAAACCCGAAGTCGCAGATGACATCTTGTGCAGTGCACGTGTACAAATTCATGTAATACTCCGCGTGTCTACCCAGAGTGTAAGGGAAGGGGTGAATTGTGGTGTTACCATGGAAACATTACCCGATAGGGTACCCGTGCTGCCCGTGGAAAACTACCCAACCCGATACCCGGAGAAAATGCTACCCGACTCAGCACTAACTATTTGTTTGTAAATCCCCAAGTTTAGCTCCAAGTACGAATCTATGACGGTTGAGAGATGTTCAAGTACATGTAATGGTATGATTCTAATGAAGGAGAAAGGCTAGTTAGCAGTGTCCTCAAGAGAAATGTGAGCTTGCATTAAATCCTGACACCACTGGTTATGTAGCCAACAGGTAGTTATTACAAGCAGTTGCTGTACCGTCTACAATAAAATTTTGTACACCATTGACAGGTCATACAAAATATGCTTGAGAGACGGAGGCCATCGTAACAGAACATTCGTAGTGCGTGCATCCATTACCATGAGAATCTTACTTAACTGCTTCGGGCTCAGTCGCAAACACGTCAGCACACACACACACACACACACACACACACACACACACACACACACACACACACACACACACACACACACACACACACACACCACTGCATGTACAAACCTGCAAGCCTTTAGAGTTTCAGTCAGCTTCAGATAGGATTGGAGATCCAAACAAGATGACTTGAGGCAAGTGAAAATCCAGTGCTTCACCCACGCTGTTTGCTTCAAGTGACAGGCAAGAGTCAAAACCTGGAAAGTGGCAGTCAAATACACCACACACATCCACACATGTAGCATCCAGTGCTTCTCCTTCCGCAACCTCCTCTTACACACACATCCACACATGTAGCATCCAGTGCTTCCCCTTCCGCAACCTCCTCTTACACACACATCCACACATGTAGCATCCAGTGCTTCCCCTTCCGCAACCTCCTCTTCGTCCTACCTGTTAGATGCCACAATGAATTTCTTCTTGGAAACATCACGTATTCAGGAACAAAATCACAGTCATAAGATTATCGTATGATTATACAGGAGGCCGAGGGGGTAAGGAAGCCCTGTGTAACATTTTGTAAATGTCAAGCGGATTTTTAGGAGGCTTCTCCTACTTGTAGAGGCCATTTCAGAAATGCAAGCAAACAAGTTTGTCAAGAAAAAAGGCATAAAGATACAGCACATTCAAAATCAAAATATTATTACGTAGAAGGGCTTGTTTGGGCACTGAAAAATGTTCCGTGAAGGTCTCAGAACAATTAGCACAGATATAACAAAGACTCCAGGTTCGATCAGGTTTTAGGCCCTTTCCTATTATTTTACCCAGGAAACCAGTTGCGATTTTTAACAAAATCCGCAATTTCACGGTGACCTTTCTAGCTGGCCAGCAGTACTTCTGCACAACAACTCTACTGAGCTGGGTCAGCTTGATCAGCAGTGTGATTCCTGAGCTATCCAGGCAATGGTTAGGAGGAGCGTGACATGCTGACACACTCAATCACCTGAAACCTACAGAATTAGTAGTCTACACAGTGTGAGAGAAGGCAGAGTAAAAGTCAGCGTAGACCTACGGCCACATGCTCAGTACACAAAGCGATTGATCAACTTGCTGCTGAAAATTCGACCATTATTTTCATGATCGCTAATATATTCGAATTTTGGAGACATCATCTCCTACCAGCTTTCAAGAGCGTCTTTCTCTCTCAAAAAGTTGTCGAAACCACACAGACGGCTTTGCCAATTCATGGCCGCAAGAATGAGCTTGTGGCCACGCCGTTTTCGTCACACCGTGAGAGTACATTAGCACACTGTCCTCTGCGACTCCACAGGCAACGAGGGAGATATTAAATTTTGCTCATTGTACGCTAGACATGAACAGAGTAGGACGCAGGCGTATTCAAACATTTTCATACTATACTTTCGTGCAGAATAGTTCCGCGAGTTGACAAGAGTTTTTCAAAGCAGTCCACAAGATAACAACTGTAAGGCGTGATGTGCAATCTGCGGGATTACTTCTTCTTCTTTGCTGTTGTTGTTTCGAATTCTTTATTCTCACGATGGCACCATCGCCAATAAGAGTTGTTGTTGTTGTTGTAAAATGGACTATAGTAAAAGAAGATTCACGTTTTCCCATTCAAGCAGTTGGAGCAAACTCCAAAGGTAAAAATTTAAATTTAAAATAAACCCGGTAGTGATCCATATGATTGTAACAAGCCAGTGCAGTAATTTACCTTGGCAACACGATTGACTACGAACAAGCGGCTATCAGTGGTGCAGTAGCGAGAATGTCTATAAATGTAAAACACAGGTGCATGTCCGTACACACACACACACACACACACACACACACGCACACACACACACACACACACACACACACACACACACACACACACACACACACCACCACCACCACCACCACCACCAATCAAAATCATCATCACATGATTACTGTAAATAGAACAAAGCCGAACAAAGCCGTCGCCGGGCAACTCATCTAGCAACCATGCCACTCGCAGGCATGTTAGATGGCAGCACTTAATCAAATTCAACAATCGAAGGGTCTATGTGGTCGCGGAAACTCCAAGCTTTCCAATGCTACAATCGCCGAAGAGCTACGACGTCCGAATCCAGAGATATCGCGCGTCGTATTCTTATCTCGGCAAATTCAAATTTTTGATCGATCTATTCGCCATTCTAGGGGAAAATCCCTTTTCGTGTGCTCTTTGACCAACTGAGCACATGATAATGACGTAGTTGGCTGAAGTTTGAATCGCCTCGAAAAGATTTGAGCGTTCTGCGATAGAGGAGAGTGGAATGGCGTAGATGGGGGAATTTGCTCGCATATCGGGCTTGGAGACGACTTTGCTGTGCTCCCGCGCCTGATTTGTGGCAGCTAGTTGATAGAGCCTGGTATCATGGGGTTGCTCTTGCCAAGAGCTCTCCAACGAGCCCAAGATTGTGGAAATGGAGCGAAGGAGGCTAAAGTTATAGCCTGTTGAGTGTGAAAATTGTGCTGAAAATTTAAATTCTGTGCTTCATTCTGTGCTGGAAATCAGTACATAAAGGGTTAAAATGCCAATTGTTGTGACTGTAGATGGGTGAGAAAGGTGACCGGTAGATGGACGTGCCCGGATGACTAGGGACGTCCGGATCTGGGGAGTTTTGCTTCATGTCTCGTGGCTACCTGCCCGACAGGTATTTGCTTCATGCCTCGTGGCTACATGCCTGATAGGTATTTGCTTCATGCCTCATGGCTACCTGCCCGACAGGTATTTGCTTCATGCCTTGTGGCTACATGCCCGACAGGTATTTGCTTCATGCCTCGTGGCTACATGCCCGACAGGTATTTGCTTCATGCCTCTTGGCTACATGCCCGACAGGTATTTGCTTCATGCCTCGTGGCTACATGCCCGACAGGTATTTGCTTCATGCCGCATGGCTACCTGCCCGACAGGTATTTGCGTCATGCCTCGTGGCTACATGCCTGATAGGTATTTGCTTCATGCCTCATGGCTACCTGCCCGACAGGTATTTGCTTCATGCCTCGTGGCTACATGCCCGACAGGTATTTGCTTCATGCCTCGTGGCTACATGCCCGACAGGTATTTGCTTCATGCCGCATGGCTACCTGCCCGACAGGTATTTGCGTCATGCCTCGTGGCTACATGCCTGATAGGTATTTGCTTCATCACGTGAAACCGGACAGCTTCTCAAGCAAAGGCCAGAGTGTGAAAACTACAGTATACATGTGACAGCAGTAATAGAGGGAATCATTCTGATCAGATCTGAAAGGACTGATTCGAGTTTCGTCATACATAGATGTCAGAAATGAGCCCCCCCCCCAACCACCACACACACACGCGCAAAAAGACATGCTCGAGCGAAGAGGGAATGGATTTACCGTATTCCATCCAAGGTATTGATAGTCATCCGGTGGAACCAAGCCAGAACAAGTAACTGCTGGGCACGGCCACGGTCAGTCGTAGAAAGTTCAATTTTGTCTGCACAGATATAACGACAACAACAACAACAACAACAACAACAACAATCTAAAACAAATTCTCTTATTGGCCACTGGCTATCATGAGAATAAAGATTGGAAACAACGTGAGAATAAAGATTTAAAACCACAACAATGTAATACATATGTCAACGGGCGCACTTTCTGGCAGCTGGCAGCAAATGATTAGATCTTGCCTGACTGGCAGTCGTACTTTCACGATTTCTGTAAATTGAGTGCGACCTCTACGTTTCCAGCGCTTGTGAGTCAACTCTCCTCAGCCACACATGCACCACTAAACCCAAGACAGAAGTGGATACTGCTAGATCTTCTTCCAACGCTGCCATTTGTTTCCCCTGGGGTCATCAACAATGACGGCCAGTGCATGAACATCCGGTGAAAACATGAAATAAAATCACACGTTCCTCATTGGGAACGCTGCATTGAAGGCCATGAACATTACCGTGAAGAGCTACAGCCTTTAAATAGGGATGTCAGCGCGGACACTGCGCAGGGCTTTGCGCATTCAATGATGTAATCGATTTTTCAACGCGGCGATGGCAGACTGAAAAAAATGGCGATCGCCAAAAACCGGCTCAGTGAGTCGGTATTTGACGACTCCCCGATGCAGCTCGACCTAGATTTTGAAGTTTGGAACATTTTTAGAGAGAAAGAGAGGGACAGAGAGAGAGAGAGAGAAAGAGAGGGCTAGAAAGAAAGATTACTCAAGCTAATGCTTTAGTAGAGTCACTAGAAGTTCTGGGCACACTGATAGGCTAATATCATCTGACGATTTCCACAGCTTGTGCCGCTTGTTGCAGAGCATAAGTGAAAATGCGCCGCCACAAGATCGGCGATCGTGAAGTCGGCTTTGGGTAGATTTGGCTTTCGCCATCCCGAGGAGCCGCTCCTGTTGCCTGTGAGAACCAAACCACGTCTCCACACGACTACTCGAACAAAACCCTGTCCACACCTGACAATCGATGTCTCTGGAACAACGGCCCATATGCACGGCGATATGTCAGAAATGCAGAAATTCACAAGAACGAACACCGTCACGTGGAGCATGAACGCTTCGGTCAAATTTCCTGCAAGCTCTCAACATCCAACATCAAGTATTTCTGCCGGGTTTACCATTGAATCCAGAGCTTTTCCCCGGTTAAATCCAGAGATTTTCAACTCGGAGATCGTGGCAACGATCGGCATGGTCGCCATTTTACGCTCTGAAAGAACCCTGTCGTTTGGAACGAAAACGGCTTCACGCCTTCCAACGAAAGCTACAAATCGATTCCAGAACACATGGGCGGCCAACATACCAAACAAGATCCCATTCTGGTAAGCAGGTAGCCTGTAACCACCATCTCCTTGCAAGGAAATTTCAGCCATTTCTCCTTCGTTCAAGATCTCAATTTTCTGCAAAAAATAGCCAGTGTTTGGCAAAACTTCTGCATGCCACTTCTGATGCGCGTTAGGCTGCATGCGCGAACTGCATGCGCGAACTGCATGCGCGAACTGCATGCGCAGTGCACGCGCTGAGATCCCTACTTTAAAGCAGCTCGGCGAATACGGCTACTACAGTCCATTCAGAAAAAGATGGACTTCTAGCTTTTGGCCATAAATGGGTCAAACTTTGAGTTTTTTTAGAATTTTTTTCTGCAATCCCCTATGGAATCCTCTTCCAATTATGTTTCTGAAGTTTTTTTGTCCAGAAAGCAAGCCATAACAAGAATAGAATTTCGGCCAGGTTTTGCCCCAACAGCACTGAATTGGGAAAAACCATAAAAATCCAGGCCGTTTGACCCCGCCTGCAAACGTGCATTGTGCGGTTCGAACCCCAGTTCAGGTACCCTTTTTGGACCCTTTTTCAAATTTCAAATTTCGCAGCACTGCACTGTGTACGATGAAATCACGAAAAATCGCCAAATACGGGAGCTCGCCAGAGCCAGAGCCCATCTTTTTATGAATGGACTGTAGTAACATATCCTGAACGCTCAAAAGTGCTCACCCTGACACTCTTGTGGGAGCACATACACATGGAACAGCATCACATGATTTCCATGATCATCCGATACACCAAACCAGCACTTACCAGGCATCACAGCGGATTTATAGCCGCTTCCAACGAAGCCGTGCGGGGTTGTGATCTTTTGCTCTGCCAGCAGCAAGAGTTGAATGAGAAGCCAGCGGATACGGTCCAGTCTTATAGCGAGCAGCAACCTACAGCCGGCCACACGTATACCACACACGCGCAGACATAGTGCACACACATGCACACAACCCGCAAATGCATGCACACACACACACACATACACACACACACACACACACATACACACACATACACTCACCACACACATACATTCACCACACACATACACGCATACAGACACATACACACATACTTGTATACACACATATACACACATATACACACATATACACACACACACACACACACACACACACATTATTAATTTTGTTTGTGAATCCCCAAGTTTAGCTCCAAGTATGAATCTATGACGGTTGAGAGATGTTCAAGTACATGTAATGGTATGATTCTAATGAAGGAGAAAGGCTGGTTAGCAGTGTCCTCAAGAGAAATGTGAGCTTGCATTAAATCCTGACACCACTGGTTATGTAGCCAACAGGTAGTTATTACAAGCAGTTGCTGTACCGTCTACAATAAAATTTTGTACACCATTGACAGGTCATACAAAATATGCTTGAGAGACGGAGGCCATCGTAACAGAGCATTCGTAGTGCGTGAATCCAATACCATGAGAATCTTCCCTAACTGCTTCGGGCTCAGTCGCAAACACGTCAGCACACCCACCCACACCCCACACACAGGCTTGTTTGCAGGGCGACACCTTCTTACATTGGAAGCCATTGACGCAGTAAAGCGCGGGTACAAAGAACCACTTTATCCGAGATAGTACAACCCCAAGGATCTGCCAGAACCGGACACTAAGGGGGTTGTTATACGTGCAACTCCACCCCGGGCTGGAACGAGCAGGAAAACCGCCCAGAGTGTTAACATGTGCACAGCTTGGCTGGTCGTCAGCCCGTTGTGACTTTATACGTGCTCGGGCTGAAAAGCTTGGTTCTCTTTCTCAAGCACTTCTTTTTATTTTCATTTCAAGTTAACGACCTCCAACATCAGTGGCCTACTTTCCTACTTCTCTAAATATGGTCTGTTTGTTATGTGCGTTTTCTGGCCCGCCCACCTGGGATTCGGGCGAGGCGGGCCAGCCCGCTTGACATGTAAACGCACAACACGATTTTCATTGATTCATGTACAAGCCCGAGCTCCTGGCTGGAGTTGCGCATACATGTATAATCAATCACATATTGATTATTGTACTAACTCCATCACTGCATTACAGCCACGAGTAACTGTATGTACGCTGCACTACGACTTACGAGCCCCAGCTAGCGATGGACATCAGTGACAACGGGCTGCCAGTCTTGAACGTTTCTACGGCAGCCACGACGAGGTTATGGAACGCGTCACTAGTGTCCTTCTTGATGTCCTCAACAAAGTTAGGCAGCGGTGACTTCTTGGTGCTGGAGCTGGCAACGGTTCCAGTCGCACGTCTGCAGTCCATGTAAAAGCCAAGCCGCTCAATGAAACAGTGAGATACCCAAGGATTGTCCTGCATCGAAGCAGCCACCATAAGAAAGAAAAGGACATGCATTTTCATGAGTGGTGACAGGTCAGTCTGCATGAGGGCCAGGTCAACATTTCAACTGTTAAAAAGGAGACAAAACCCAAGTAGTAAAGAATAGGGCTTGAAAGTGCTATGTCACAGCATAGCAACAATTTCAAAAATTCAAAAACTGGATCCACTTGGATCCAGTTTTTGTATGGATCCAAGCACATTTCAAGCGGTCTTACCCACAGCATGGTGATGTAGCCAGTGAAACTGACTGATTTGGCTACTGGGGGCGGGGTTACAACTGGTGGCGAAATAAAAGTCACACCTGCATGCGACATGAGTGGGTTGCTATGCACCCACATACTTAGGCAATAGCAAAGTCACACCTTAGTGGATCCAAAAATAGAAATCTGATGCCAAATTACTACTCCCTGGCCGTTTTGACGTCATCACTTTCAAGCCCTATTAGAAAGTCGAATTTATGGCAGGTCACGTGAGCCCAGATAGTCAAATCTCATCAGAAAGCGGTTGGAAAAAACGTCCGTCTGTTTGGATGGCTCATCATTCACGTTCAGTTTCTGCGCATGTACTGTAACCAGCGACTACTACAACCGTGAATCTTCTGCTCTGTGGTGCTGTAGTGTGCATTTCCTCACGCTCTTCACGCGCCGTAACAAGATTTCCAGTGCACATGTACAATTTCTCTCCCGCTTCACCTCGCTGAAAAGGAAACCGTTGATGCCAGTCCTGATCAAGATGACGACGCACGGTGGTCCGATCGGCAATGTCCCGGGGCAGCCTCCACTTGTGTCAATCTCTACATTGATGAGAAGAAGCAACAATGCCGTCCTGTGCGGGTGTCCTGCAGTCACGAGTGACCTCAGTCCGCTACATGACAACATCGTAACTGATACTCGCTCCACAAGAAACACCTAAAAATTATCGTACTTCAGAAGTAGTACATGCATGTCACTTTCACCGGATGATGCACCCAGTGTGCGGACAGTGCTCAACACCGTGCGGAGGCAGAGTGTAATACACAGAACAACAAGGACAATCAAGGCTTGTTTGTTGCTACTTAAAGTTTCATGCTTTCGCAATCATCAGGCAACATGAGGATGGTACTGGCCATGCCGGCATATATGCCAGGAGAGGGTGGGTCTTGTAGCGCTGTGTGGAAAGCTGTGGGTGAATGTGGGGACTGTATAGGTTTCAGGGCTAGCGGTGTTATTTTAGGCAGGAGGCTGTGACCAGTACTATCCTCATGTTGCCTGATGATTGCGAAAGCATGAAACTCTGAGTGAGTAGCGACTAACAAGCCATGATCGCCCTTGGGGTGGTCGTTTAAACCCGGTTTTACTGTACATCACTTTCATAATTATCATACCCGTATCTGTACTGCACAATATCACTAATCAGCCGAAAATTTCTGAAAGCAGAAATAACAGCTAGCTAAACCTCCTTTTCATTCGAAGATTCGGGTGCATTTCGCGGCTAGTCACGCGTGCACTAGAAAACCGAAAAATTGAATTTGCTAACGCGCTCTAGTATCACAACGCAAACACGAGGGAAACGTGAAATTAAGCAATAGTACAGAGTGCGGACGTGCCAGTCTAGCACCAGAATGCCATTGGCCAGTACTGCAATACAATGCAGCAGCAGCAGCACGTTTCTTCACAATCCGCTGAACTCTCAAACTCCATTGCAGCGTAGTCTGTGCACTTGAAAGTACATGCACCTCAAGCTCACGCTCCAGCAGACGTCTCAAGTACGAGATGTACTCGTACGCTGCAGCAGCAAATTACCAATGCGTACCTTGAGGTGATCCGGCGAAATGAGACATCTCGAGCCTATCATTCTCACGGACAGCTCAATGTACAGATAAATCATGAACAGCTGAAGTGAACACGCAAACAGAAAGCGACACGTACACACAGAACAACCCAGTGATTAGCAGTACAACACACACAACGTACACGTATGCGGGGACAAGGTGTACTGTGGTATTCAACTTATCTCCAACAACCACTACACGGAATCTGGATAATTCAAATATGGCTTAATTCGAACATACCGCTTATAGTTAGATGTTTCTTCCAGGACCGATATCCATCAATACGACTCCCACATAACAATGTCTGATAATTCGAACCTCGGACTGGGGATATCCGGTTAATTCGAAGTTCCACGGAATCCACTTACATAGAAAATGTGTGGGATTTGTGCTGATAAAAGTTGGCAAAGCATAATTCGAAGTTCACTGTATATTATCCAAGTCAGCTCAGCGTGCATGAGCAGGCTGTACTGGCCAGTTCAGCGTGTATGAGCAGGCTGTACTGGCCAGTTCAGCGTGCATGAGCAGGCTGTACTGGCCAGTTCAGCGTGCATAAGCAGGCTGTACTGGTCAGTGCAGTTTGCATGAGCAGGCTGTACTGGCCAGTTCAGCGTGCATGAGCAGGCTGTACTGGCCAGTTCAGCGGGCATGAGCAGGCTGTACTGGCCAGTTCAGCGTCCACGAAATCTGTGTCTCTGGTGCACAGCGAAACACTGCGTGACAATGCGAGTTTTTTTTACATACATAATGTGTTGTGGGTTCATGTTTGGATAATTGGAACGTCCGGATAATTAGAAGTTTTTCCCTGGCATTTGGGGGGGGGGGGGGGTGCAAATTATCAGGATTCCACCTGTATTGTCTGAGATTCAACTGGCAAACATACCTTGTACGACTGCCAGGGTAGCAACGTAGGGAAGTCCAGCAGCTGGCTTTGAGACGCCTTGACAAACTCACTGGCCTGATCCATGTAAATCTACACACGGATATGAAAGATCAACGCCCCACAATTAAGCACCTAGGGAGATGCCCACAAACTGCCAGGTTTAAGTGCATCTAGGGAGATGCCCACAAACTGCCAGGTTTAAGTACATCTAGGGAGATGCCCGCAAACTGCCAGGTTTAAGCACAGTATCTAGGGAGATGCCCACAAACTGCCAGGTTTAAGTGCATCTAGGGAGATGCCCGCAAACTGCCAGGTTCAAGCACAGTATCTAGGGAGATGACATAAGATCATAGCACAGTGAAATCTGTCCAAGACGACCACTAGCACTCAAGGGACCTTCAAAGTGTGATCTCTGTCACCAGGTGGGCTCCTTATCCAGGGTCATTTGACTGTCAATAGCACCCCTTCGTCCTGATCGCAGTGTGGTCTTCAGGGACAGGTGGTCGCCTTATCCAAGTGGTCGCCATGACAGGTTTTACTGTACCCGACAGGATGTCTGTTTCGACCCCGGATTCGGAAGTTGTACGTGACCTGTGGTCTACATTAGTCACACACCAATGATACAACTAAGTCTCTATTGGATGTACCTCCAAGTTTCGTATTGAACAGCCCTCATCAGACAGCATTGTTTCACATTCCAGTCACCGCTGTCGTATCCCTAGACGCAACGACTCTCTGGCCTACACAAATGACCACCACAATGTGCTACCGTAAGCAATGTTCCACAAGGTGGTCATTGAGCAACCACTACAGGTTTTCTCTGCAAGCATGTTTCTCAAGCATGAGCACCAACTGTAGCTAAACGAGCATTGCTTGTGCACACATACACAAGTTTTCCGCTCTATCTTCCTGAACGAATGGTTAACCCACAAATTGCAGGGCTTGAACATCTCGCCACAGTTGACGTCACACAGCCAGCAGCAGCAACAGCAGCTGCAGCAACAACAAATAACTCTGGAAAGGGCAGGTTACGTTTTCCGTGATGTCATCCGGTCGCTCAATTGCACCACGGACAAAATACTTCATCTGGTGTGTAAAGAATGGGCCCTGCAGAAACACACACAGATGCACATAATCATGACAAACTTGAAGTCATATCCCGGCCACCAGACCACACTTCTTCCGCAACAAACACAAACACACACACACACACACACACACACACACACATGCAGTGTGCTGTGCACAATTTGGAGAAAGGCACTCACAATAGCATCAAAGGTAGACGAGGTGCGAGCGAACAGCGGCACAAAGAAGCTGATCAGGCACGCAGTGATAGAACGAGACTTCATGCGCTTCAAACGCTCTGGTGACAAACTCTGCACATGAAGAAAACATGCACACAAAGCTCAGCACCAGCCTTTACACTTCAACCACATCATGAACACACCATTGACCATTGGACGCCCATCGCCAGAGGCGATGATAGCGATGCTACAGCAGAAGCCATAGCAACTTGTGCTGGGATTGCACCATTCAACAGCTTGCAAGGCTGAAGAATTGACCACCACTATTCAGCCTGGTCTACACCACACAGCTTTGAAGTGGCTTTTTTCTGGCCAGTGAATCCCTACTTTTTGGTCTTTTTTTCTTCTTTTTTCCCGCACACACATCACACCACATACTCCGGCATGCACTGGCTGTTGGTAACCACCCAGGAGAATGAAAGAAAAGTCAGGAAGAGTCTGAGAAAGAGAAGAAAGACGTGTGTGACCATAATCGTCGGGAATCGAACCCGCAACCTATCGATTGGAAATCGCTGCACATACCACTGCACCATATGGGACACACACACACACACATACACACACACACACACACACACACACACACACACACACACACACACACACACACACACACACACACACACACACACACACACACACATGCAGTCACAAGACTGTTTCGACGGATGTACGGTGTCTCCTTCGCTAAAGGAATCAGGCAGAAGCAAGTCCAAGGCAACCCAATCACAATGACTGCGAGCATGAACACACACACACACACATACACACACATACACATACACATACACAGACACACACACACAGACACACACAAACACACACACATACATACACAAACACACACACACACACACACACACAGACACACACACCAGGCGCGTACGCAGGGTCACCTCTAGGGGGGTTTCCCACCGAATCGCAAACAGTGACTCGTGTTATCCCTTTCTAAAGAGCCCTAGGAAATTTTCAAAATTATGTATTTTTTCGTGTTCTTTGGATCATAACGTCAGTTCTACTCACTTAATCTTCATTATCTTAGGCTTCCTGGAAGTGGAAAGGTACCAGGGCCAGGGAGAGAATGAGGTCGACCATGATAGCCAGGACACAGTACAGTCATGTACATATCAAGCGCTATATGCTATAGCGGTAGAGTGCAGCGACAGTGCGAAAAAATGGTCTAAACTGGGCCAAAGGCTCAAACGCGTCCTGCTCCAGCGATTCCGTTTTTCTTGATCGCAGAGTTTCGATTTTTTGCTGTGTACTCTTGAAAATATCACAAGTGAAGCCCCTGCAAATTTGAGCAAGTCAGCGTGATTGAAAGTCTCAAATTCTCGATACTCGAGTCGCGCTGTGTGCTTTTGAGATCGCGGCTCAACTTATGAACGATTTATCTCAAGATACATTGCTCGCAGCGCGTCGCAAATTGTTTCAACCGACAGCTGAGAATTTTCTATTCGACCTGGATATTTGGATTGTTGGATTTGAGCAAGATTTGACTGAGTTACGATCTGCTGAAGTTTTGCATTCTTCCCAGATCGATCGTGCGCCATACCAAAATATGCCCAAAAACGTTGCTCGTTCGGAACATTTGGGGGGGGGGGGGGTTCCGGGCAACGGGAAACCCCCCTGCGTACGCGCCTGCACACACACACACACACACACACACACACACACACACACACACACACACACACACACACACACACACACACACACTTGCACAGACAGACACGCACACAGACTGCATATCACACAATGCAAGTCCTCTCTCTTCCCTATCTTGAATTTAACTTCGGCGAGCAGTTAGATGCAGCGGTAAGCATGGAGATGCAGCTATTTCTATTTAAAATCTTCTGACTGCAAAATTATGAGACACAACTTACTGCAAACCAGTCTGCACCAGCCAACGCAGTGGAGGTGGCCGCAGGCTGCAACACAGGTGCTGATGTTGAGCCCATACGCACTGCGAGGCTATTGGAGCGTGTGCGGCGATGATTGCCAGAAGGCGACTGACTCGTTGAGCTGGAGTTGGCAGTGGACTGATTCTTCTTGTTCTTGTCGTTCTTTCCGTAGTCTTCCTCATCACTGTCACAATACTTGGTTTTGTTCCAGTGCGAGTATGAATGCATATAGTAACTTGTGCTTGATGCGGACTCGGATTTGCATTCTGAAGCGATACACTGTAGCTTCTCAAACACGAGCAGAACCGTTGACAATGGCGCAGTCTCTATCAACAAGCACGTCTCCTTGTTCCTAGTTGGGTCGTCACGGAAACACATTATCCGCGGACGGTCCTTCATGCGCTTGCGGAACTGCTCCATCACGCCGTCAACACCGTACTCGCACAGCAAGTACTCACACAGCAAGTCCCGGATTTGCCTGCCAGAACAACAAGGGAACAAGGGAACAATGCACACGGACCAGTCAGTATGGACTTTAGTGTGTGCTGCTGCTGCTGCTGCTTTACCTAGCACTGTTCCTGTCCTCTTGCCCTGATCATAATTAAGTCATTTAAAATGCTACAGCACTTCTCATCTTACACAAAACAACTTGACTAGCTACGAGCATGAGGCAGAGCAATAGCTCAATGCTGTACCAGGATCATTTTAAAAGTACCACCAGTTTTACTTCGTTTCCCACAACTGTTACAAAGCACTTGTACAGTCAACTAAAATCCAGACCTAACTATTCCACAACACACGACCTAAACTAGATGTGTACTAAATACTAAAGCTACAGCCTGTCAACACTACCTGTCAACACTACCTGTCAACACTACCTGTCAACACGACCTGTCAACACGACCTGTCAACACTACATGGCATCCTTGGCCGTACGTGTAACACTACCTGTCAACACTACATGGCATCCTTGGCCGTATGTGGCATAACACTATACTTGAGGAGGCGTGATCTGTTTGGCCGAGGCGGCTCTGGCAAGATATTTCAGGCAAGACCAGGGGAAATTTTCATCAGCCACCACACCACAATCGCGCTCTCCAGCCGACCTCGACACCTGTACAGGGCCAACTGCTGCTGCTTACTCCTTATTTAAAAGACCAGGGAAAGAAACAGGAAATTCCTGCACACTGGACCTGTACAGTACTGCCAGGCACCGGAGAACGGCCAGGCTAGAATTTCACCAATTTTTAAGAACGGTCCAGGCTGGATTTTTTTGCAGATAAGAACGGAAACTGTAACGTACACTATAGTGTCAACTTAGAAGCATAACTCTGCATAAATACAGGTGGGTTTGGATGACACATTTCCGTAGTTTCACGGTACAATGTAAGTCAAAACGTGTGAGCTGGCAGGTGTGAATATACGTCACCATGCAACAGTCATGTACATGGCTGTACTGGTACAGTAAAACCTGTAACTAAAGACCAGCACCGTGACTAGCGACCAGCCTGGTACTACCGACCACTTGGCCAGGCACGGACAGTCTCATATTCAAAATGCACTGTGACTAGCGACTACCTGCTGAACGCGACCAGCGACCGCCTTTTCTTGTCCCAAAGACGATTTTTGACCCGTAACTAGCGACCGCGATGTAGGAAATCAAATGTTGCTAAAAGCTCCTTCTTGAAATTTTGCTGATTTTCCAGGGTCCTGAAAGGAATCGTTCAGTACTACAGCTCAACAAATGAACGCAGGCCATTTTGACTGTGGAGTCGGTTGGACTCCACTACACTTGTCAGAATTTCAAGCACTGTCAAGATTAAACATGATAGGAAACGTTTAGGAGAGCGCATCGAAAGCGCTCTCTGCTCGATGTTACTACTCTGAGGAGAAACGAAGACTGAGCGGCTCTGTCACCCCAGTCATACAAACGGATCGACGATGGCGTCAAGGAATCCAGAAACAAAGCAGCACCGCATGGTCCTGATGCTGAAGGATCGTGTTCAAACAATCGCGAAGTCACAACAAGGATAGTCGGTACGATTGATCGCATGAACAAATTTGAAGCCCAGCGCAAAACGAAACTTCCACAGGGAATGTTTGACTCCTGGCTTCAGAAGTAGCAGCTGAATTTGATGTCTTCAAAAAAATTGATCTTATTTCTCTCTTTTTGTCTCTCTCCATCTCTCCATCTTTCTCTCCAAGTGTTGTTTGACCTGAAATAAGAATGGTATTGCGCAAGTCCTCGGGAATTGTATTAGCTGCATTTTGATATACATATCATATAATGGGATTCATATATGGTCGCACGGTGCAAACCTCTAACTAAAGACCACCTGCTACTAAAGACCGCTTTTGCTGGCACCAAGGGGTGGTCGGTAGTCACAGGTTTTACTGTATTTGCATGTACGGTCCACATGTGTTCCAACAGTTGCGCTCACTGAAATCAGACCCAATGTGCAAAGCTGGCGCCCTCAACTTGCACGGCCCTTGACGCCCTGGAAGTGGAACGAATGCAGCTGGACGTACACATGTACACATACAATGTCAATGGTGTAATCGGAACTTGTCCAGGGTGCCGGCTTTGCACTTCGGGTCGGATTTCAGTGAGCGCAACTGTACATACCATGACATGTACATGTGTGGCTGTACCATTGAATAAGAACGAAACGCCTGTGTTCGCGAAAAGTAAGAACGGGCTAGGCTAGAAACCTGCCCCGTTCCTCGGCACCCGGCAGTACTGCAGTTGTAAACATGCATTCATGTATAGTTGCCTACGCACGTGTACCGAACATTCTACCAGTGTGGTCCCAGCCTATGGACGCTCAAATCCCATTGCTCTCATAGCTCTCTTACGAATCAGACGACTGGCTTCCCTTGACCTCGACATAGCGAGCATACCGCACGCATGCATCATACCTGCAGAGAGAAACATTACAACAACAAAATACAAAAACAGAACAGAATTTACAAATCAGCTGCGGCAGAGAATCAGCACAAATGTACAAGGGTAATAATATACAGCATTGCACTAGATCTGTAGACCTACTGAACACCATGCATCCATACCCCAAGCAAATTGTAGTGGTGAAATGAACGCCTAAACTACTATTTGAATGTCCCACTTGTTATCGAACAAAAAACCAAACAAAGGCTCAATACAACATACAATATGGCTGAAAACAGGGTTTGAAGCCATTGCAGGAGTCGTCAGATCAAACAAAAACAGAACTGTGCTGCTACGGAAGCAGTTGAAAAGTATTTCTTTTACAAAACAGAATGCTCGACACCATCACTGAAAAAAAACTGGAACTCAAACTCCACATGGTCTGCAACAGGTGGATATTCATTCCAAAGATCACATTTGATATATTACGCACGCATGAAATTCACGGTCACCCCACCACCCAGTATTCATCCTATCGTTCTTATTGAATGAACGAACAAATGTTTTGATACAATGTCATGTGCATGTTTCAAAGGATCAGTCGGGGAAGTGACATGTACCGGCAAATAGACACAACATTTCTCAAACTCAATCTGACCTCTTCTCCCCTTTGAACTTCTCTATCCGCGCCTTTGCAAGGGAGTAAGACTCGGACATAAAGTTCTGCTTCAGGCGCTTCTCCGGCAAAGTCAGAAGTGACTTGAGTGGCTCGTCATTCTCTCCGACTAAAGAGAACAAGCTAGAGTTAGTGGAAGAAATGAACAACAAAAAGAATAGGAAGGTTTAGAGCAGTTGGCATGCCATACAGACGCAGGTTTGCAATGCAACAGACCACCTAACCCCAGTACTACAAACACTGGGCTGCGCACTTGAAAGAAGCGCTGGCCACAATCCAGAGCCCGTTTTCTTACAGCCCTGCTGAGGTTACATAATAACAGGTCAGCCTAGGCTTAGGGCATAACTATAGCACAATACAATGCACAAGAACACAGGAGATATCCATTGACTGGCGATGGACAATACACAGCTCACAGACAACAGGAGAGGGTAGCACATGGTCCAAAACACCTGAAACACGGCGCCGGTATCAGACTCAAACCTACTCATTCAGCAGTTGCTTGTGCGTGCAATTCGCAGGGCTTTTCTCCGTCGCAGCATCGCTCGACTTCTTTAACCGCTGCCACAGGTCCTTGTAGCGACCAGTCCTGGGCGGTAATGCCATTGCCATGCTATAGCCCAGTTTGGCATGAAGCCTAGATAAAGACAAGTGGAGAAAAAGAGCACGCCCAGCAATGAGATCAGTCAGACTACACACTACAGACTACACGACACAGCACGGCTTGTATTCTGTGGGCCACAAGTAACGCTATGACAATGGCAGGAACCCAAACTGCAAGGTGTGCCACGCACAGAACAGAATGCAAGCAGCCACGCAACGGTTACTGCTTCCAAATAGAATGAAAGAACAGGCTAGCTTAGTGGGAAATCAGCTGAAAATCAGCCATAGTAACGCCATCAGCAAACATGCTTAACTGTACACCAGTCCGGAGGGCCATTTGTACACATCGGGATGAAAGCAGACAAAAGCATTGCCGGCCAAGAAATTATATTGCTGTACATACAAAGACAAAGGTAATCCCAAAAAAATGGATGCCACTCTGCTTGGATGGGGAAGCAGTAGAGAATCCTCAACAAGCACCATTACAAACCTAACCTGGACAAAAGGCTTGGCAGCACTGATCGAGGAGGATCCCAAAACTCATTCCTACAGGACACGGGAGCAGAAAGAGGCGATGAGTAAAGAAACACAGGCGTAAACGACATTACGCGTTCTACCTTGTAGTACTATGTACGGGTGTCTTCAGATCAGCGCAGAGTCCCTTTAGACGCATGCATAACAGAAAGTGCTAACTACAATTGTAAGTCCCTCTACCCATCCCAGTGCAGCATCAATGTGTCTAATAGTAGCAGCAGGGCATACACAGACAGGCACAGCACTCTCTATTGACACATCAAGGTTGTATACTGCGGAGCAGGATCATCAGGAATGTTGTAGCACGGCACAACATCATATAGCAACTACATGGTATAGCATAGCAGACAGTTGCATTCCCAGCAGAAACATGGACACACTGGCACCCAATCAAACTCTGCACAACGTACTTGTCTCTTTCAAGGCTCCACAGGGACGGATGGAAGAAACAGGCCATAAAGACGGTCAGCAGATACAGTGCCTTCTTGAACTGCTTGGTCTCCAGAGCTACGACAATAGTGCTGTTGGTGTCTTGGGCAACCTTCATCACGTACTTCAAGCTTCAGAACAGAGAGAATGGACAAAACCAACACATGCATTGGGCCGGCCATTGGCCCAGTGACACATACACAAGCGAAGGCAGCGGGGCAAGAACCACAAGCACAGGTCAGCGGCCGAGCATTTGAGTGACACTAGGGAGGTTTAGTCCCACGTAACAAATACGGGAACGTGGATGATACACGTAAAGTTCATGCAATGAACCCACGTTCGCAATGTTGTCTTTAGTCACACGGAACAAACAAAAGCATGAAGCAAAAGGCCCAAACTTGGTCAAAGATGAAGCTTCGAAGCTCATCGAATATTTTGATTTCGTGCTTCGAAAACTTCTTCAGCTGAGCACCCTCACAGCTTGCACAATGCGCTGAATTCTGATTTTCACCCCCGTTCCGGCGGAACGTGGGGGAGCCTCCATACACGGTATGTCGTGAATCAAAAAACGTCTGTACGTGGGTCACTGAATATCACGTGGTACACACACGTAAAGTACACACGGATTACATGGGACTAAACCTCCCTACTACCGCCAACGAATAGAATACACGGAGTAGCAACGTAATCATCACCTACCTATGATGTGGTCGACAGAGATGGTCGTCGCGGCAGTCCTCACATCCGTCCGGCGCGTGCTCATCTTCAAACTCGCACTCGCCGGGCCAGTAGTTGTAGCGACAGAACTCGCACGAGTCGTGGCAATCGCAGCAGCATTTTTGGCGGTTGCCAGTACCATAGTCGGCAAACATGTCCCATGGCTCGACCCCGTGAATATAATGACGAGATCGACTGCGGCGGACCTCATCCGACGACCTGTAGTACTTCTGCACGCCGCTTCTGATTTTCTCAACAAGTTCCTTAGCGGCATTGACTGAAAAAGACAACATTGGACAAGGCACAATAAACAGACACATACCAACAAGCAGACAAGTATCAACGTGTGGTACTTTGTTGAGTCAGAATGTAAGCATGCATCACCAGTGGTCACAATTCAACCATGAAAACCATATACACAGGGCGTTTGATCGTTTAGAAACGCTAGCTGTGCACACTGAGAACTGAGTTAACGATGCTAGGCCACTATCAATACATTGCACAGGCAGCAAAGAACGAGACACACAAGGCACCAGAGCAGCACGGAAACAACGATAGAGGCGAGGCCATGCATGCGTATGCGAGGGAGGTACCAGAACACACATATAGCATACCCACAGCACACCCACAGCACACCCACAGCACAGCACACCCACAGCACAGCATACCCACAGCACAGCACACCCACAGCACAGCACGCCCACAGCACAGCACACCCACAGCACAGCACACCCACAGCACAGCACACCCACAGCACAGCATACCCACAGCACACCCACAGCACAGCACACCCACAGCACAGCACACCCACAGCACACCCACAGCACACCCACAGCACAGCATACCCACAGCACAGCACACCCACAGCACAGCACACCCACAGCACAGCACACCCACAGCACAGCACACCCACAGCACAGCACACCCACAGCACAGCACACCCACAGCACAGCACACCCACAGCACATCCACAGCACAGCACACCCACAGCACAGCACAGCACACCCACAGCACAGCACACCCACAGCACAGCATACCCACAGCACATCCACAGCACGCCCACTACACAGCACAGCACACCCACAGCACAGCACACCCACAGCACAGCACACCCACAGCACAGCACACCCACAGCACATCCACAGCACGCCCACTACACAGCACAGCCCAGCCCAGCACACATACAGGTGTCACGCAAAGCCGGGTGGTCGTCTTTGGGCAGGAGGGCGTTGATTTCGTCCAGGTCGATTGGTGTCTTGATTACCACTGATGCCAGCTCGTCCAGGCCAGCTCTCCGGCGTGTTTTCTTCCACTCTTGTGACTGGCTGTGCGCGTTGCAGTGAGCTGACGATGCAGCCTTCCACCATGCACACTGTTGTGCAAACACACACAAAGAAAAACACATTTTAAATACAAAAAAGTTTTCCCGTTTGCATCTTTCCCTGAAACCAATGAATATTTTAAACACAAAGAGGAAGGCAAATAGTACTGACACCGTCCGATCCCCCCCCCCTATATTTGCTATATCACGAGATTCGCTGTAAGCGAGTTCGTTATTATAGTAGTGGAGTCGACTGTATAAGGACTTCGAAGTAAATCCTGGCGTTCTAGGAAGGCATTAGTACCCGTACTTCTGTGCTGAGGTGATGATGGTGCAATATTGTTGTGAGTATGAGTGTGCTAATGTTGGCATCGCAATAGGTGAATAATCTCAAGCCAGACACCGCCATCCATTTGCTAAAGTCCCAAGCCAACAATTCCATGCAACAATCTCAAGCTGGTAATGGCAAACCAGAGCTAATAGGCAATACCATGGCTGGCTACAATCGTCCACATCGCGTGCTTATTGCCATATGCCTTCGTGATTTCGTCATCTCCCTCCAACTAGGATTGCACTCTTTGGACATTGGAATAGGAAGACTACGAAATTCCAAAGAAATATTTTAACTACATGTAGGAACATTCACTGGTTTGAGGGAAAGACACAAACATGTAGGAACATGTGTATTATGTAGAACCAGAGACAAACTTCATTTTTCTGAAGGTGTGAGTACGCTGCACCGGCATTTGGTGCAGCCAGCACACACGCATAGATGATAAACTGATCATCTGAGAGCACAAAAAGCTGTCCATGTCACACACACGCAGCATAACAATACAGTGCACAGTGGACTCAGCAACAACCTACTGGGGGGGGTATACAGTATTCCTACCTGTGCAGCTGGCTTGCCACAAGCATAGCACTCGCAGTACGCACAGTGGTTAGCATTGCTCGATACTGGTCCCAGAGAACTGCTTTGCATCTTCCTGTCAGCAAGAAAAGATAAGAATACGCGTGACTCAGCATTCGTGGCATTCACCTGCATCTTTCGCAAGCCCAGATATTGCTCTGGTCCCTGCCATAAATGACATGTATGTGACTGTATACAGTGTATAATAGTGGACAATACACAGCAATTCTCCTCTTCAAATTTAGCTCCTGGTCTTGGGGATGATTTCTTTACTGTATACTGCAGTGCGGTACTCGGGTTGTGGGTAATCTAATCTAGCATGACCAATGATTTGACACCGGGTAAGTATTGACAGGACTACCGTAGGCCAACCTCAGACAATAGAGAGTTTCTGCCACACGGTAAAACGTACCGAAGTACGCATGGAAACCTCGTCGCGGTACGGAATCAAGTTTCACACGGACTGGTCTCCGTGTGAAAACTGAGCGCGCAGATCTGCAGAGTACATGTGGCGGGAAGTTTGAGCATGCTACAAGCATGTTACGTACAGCAGAACCGGTGCAACGTACGAAAAATCCGTGTCAAACTTCACTGCAGTTGACACGAAGTTTGGTACGTAGGTCCGTGTAGCAGAAACTCACTAATACCTTGACGTTTACAAGAGAAGTTAGGAACAAATCTCTGCAGCGATTTCCATCTATGGTTGCCACTGCAATAGATTCGAAGCTTGAACGTTTACACATTTGCTGTGCCCATAACAGCAGCAGCAGCAGCAGCTACAGCTGGATACAGACTACAGCAGTAACGCAGGTCAAAACCTCACCTAAAATGGTACGTGGAACACTTCTCACGAGGATGGGGTGCAGGCGAAGGCGGAGCTGCTGCAACTGCTGCAACGCTGACTGGGGGACTGTCATCATCGCACACAATCACAACATCACTATCTGTGCTACTTCTTGCAGACGTTACTGCTGCTGCTGAGACTGGTGGAGCCTTCTCGATGATCATCAAATCATCGTCGATGACAATAACCTTGTCGGCTGGCTGAGTGGCTACACTATGACGACGGTTAGCTGCGGTGGCGGCAGTGGTGGTAGACGCACTGCCAGCCGCTGTTGATGAAGCGCTAGATGCTGGTGCTGGCGCCAGCGCCTGCTGTGCGGCCACATCCTTACCCTCGCGCATCAACACAAGCGACTGGCATTGCTCAGAGCTCAGCAGCAGCTTGGCCTGGTTGACCTGGAATGCTAGCTTGTTGCGGGAGCTAGACAGGCTACGGTACTAGATATCACAACATGATACAAGCAGACCAAGGCAGAAAAAAGAGGGGCGAACAATAAGAAGAAAGGAACACAATACATACAAGGTTTTCTTAGAGACAAAAATGCAAGCATACTTAGAGAAAAAATCAAACTGTAGCCTCCTCAGAAGCAACATTTTCAAGACGAAAGCGCCTCACTGCCTTGTAATTTCACATGGCCTGTAGTTTTCGACGCTGAAGACGATGGAATAGTCCGTGACGCTGCGACCCGACCAGCACAAGTTGATATTCATACCCTGAAAAAGCGCTGAGCGCAGAGCTCCTAAATATTGTCGTATGAAAACAAACTGGACTTCGGGTCTCAAGGGCACATCTCCTCTCTCAGATAAAGCAATACACTCGATGTGATACAGTCCGTATCGCCTATAAGGTTGGCGGCTATAGTAATATACCGGATATAGTGATCAATTTCTCAAATTCATTTTCATTTGCCATAACTAAGTATACACAGTTATCGCGTATAGTAATAATCGTCTATAGTGATCAAATTCATATTTCAAAAGACGTCTATTACACTATTTTTGCATCGGTTATAGTGATTGATGTAAAATGAAGCGATGTCAGAGGAGAACAGGGTGTTACTTCTTCGTGAAGAACTTGTCCAGTGAGTGTTGTTTGGTGAGTTTTGCTTGTACAGGTTGCCAAAATATGCCTCCATCATGAGGAAATCCTGATTTTGTGTGTCAGGCGCTACAGCCAGCTACATGACATTGTACATGTATGTAGTGAGTATGTGCACGGCGCGCTGAGTCATTTGACACCCCACTCGCATACAGTGCATGCAGTATCGGTCATAGTAATATATCGCTTATAGTGATAAAATGCTCAAAATCAAACACCAACGCTATAGGCGATACTGACTGTATTCTACAAGTTGACCTGGCCACGCTGAAAAGCAGTGCGATGTCGGATACTCCCATTGGAAGTATAGAAACTTGTTTCCAAGAAATCAGCGTCTTGATGCGAGGGAGAAAAGTCACTAATGTAACCCAACCTATCAACCCAATAGGCAGGGCCGGCGCCACTGGTACGGCCGGCATGGCCATGGCCGTACCAACTTCCCAAAAAGTCGGTCCACGTGGAACGTCCAAAACCGGGGAGAAAAAGTTTCGATGTATGATTTTGTACAGGGAGTCGCCCAGAGTGCAGGATTCGCCGTCTAAATTCCAAAAATTTCTGGAGGACCCCCAGACCCCCTTAAAGATGGCCCTTCGGCCGCACCGCTCCGCGGAAGCCGCCTCCGGCCCTGATAGGTACAAATCATTCAAGATATCAGATACGTGTCATCAAGAGTTCATAACCCCCAAGAGTGTGCAACGGGCATAGACCTAGCGCTCGGCGAAATTCCTACATTACGTCATGCGCAGCTTGTCATCCGAGGTAAATTTGGGTTCTTTGCGATTTCTGGAAACTATACCCTGAACCGCTCCTAACTCAAGGCTGTAGCCTCGACTTTTCGAAGCTTTTTTCAAGACAGTTCGGACGTACAAGTCGTACTTTCTCAAAAACAAACTCTTTCTCCAAGAATCCATGGACATCGCGACAGGAAGAAGTGAGGACGCTGTTAAAGGGGAAGTTAAGGCAAAAATTAAAATTTCACCAGTTGTAGTCTTCGGGGTGCTGAGTCGAATGGTCTTGGTCCGAGGAAGCTGAGACGCTCCCTTCCTACTTGAATCCCAATCGAACTCGCGCACTTCCACCGAAACTGGGTGACTGCGCCCTACTAGATGGGGATTTGTATGCAAAATGTCACTAAAAGTGCCTTAACTTCCCCTTTAAAAATATTGCATTGCCGTCGAGGACAATCATTCTGATAGCTGTGCAACTCAGCCGAAAAATGCTCCTTCGAAGACGATTTCAAATGGTTGACTCCCGGGAACTTGAGAGAATACGTCGAGGAAAGACCCGGAAATATTATGCCGATGGCCTGGGGAAGAAATTGTTCTTGAAGAGACTGCCTGCACTGGTGAAAGAAGAAGGCGATGAAGAGTCACCATTGCATCGAAAAAATAAATAGTTTTGTCTTTAGGATCGTGTGCTTCGTTTCACTTTTGCTTCTTGAGGCTCAGACTCAGACTAGAATCGCAGATTAGGCAGTTTACCCTGGGGAAGCATCCTGGTTTGACTGTAAATTTTAGAAGAATTCATCGGTGTGACTCATCGCACTGCACCAAAAATGACGCAATGAAGGAATTCCGCCGAGCGGGCTTCCACACAGGGACTGATCAGGAGTTGCACACTCTTGGGGGTTATGAACTCTTGGTGTCATCCCCATTACCGGTATTTAGTTAATTTAGTTATTTTTCATCAAAAATCATTAAAAAAATGCTTACCCTATTCATCAATTGCTTTAGTTCATCCTGTCCAGCACGCTCCTCATCGTTACTACCACCACAGTCAGAGCTCTTGCTGTCGCAAGACGCATGACTGACAGACCCTACTGACTTTTCCAGAGAGGAATTCGACATAGACTCATTGGCTGGCTCAGCCAGACCACCAGGGAGACAGATGCGCTTAGCGGGAGGCTCACTCTTCATGCACAAACAAGAGAGACCGAGAACATAAACATCACCATTCGCCATACGGGTGTACAGCTAAGCTAGTGTAGTAGGATAGACTAACCTCCTTTTCTTCAGCTGGCAGCGATCCAGCCATGTTCTGGAGTCAATTGGCACCTCCCAAAAACAGGAATCAGTAAAATCAGTATTCAACTAAGAACGTGAGCCTGAACATTTCGGAATGATTATTGTAAAGAGCCAATTGCAGAAACGGAGTGTAGTCTAGACTGTCAGTGAAAAAAAAACAAGTACTTCAGGAACCTTGAGAAGGAGTCTCTACTTTCCTGCTGTCGTGTTTCTCCTGCTCCATCAGTCCATGCATCGACGGTCATGAAGGCAAAATCATTTCATTGCTTCTCGATCTTGCTCAGCGAAAGCAAAGCTCCTGCCTGCATGCTACATCCACATGATCAGATGACCCGATTTGCATGCGGCGGGAAAATTCGTCTTGTGGGGAATCCCCTAGCCAACAAAGGGAGTCGGTATTTGACGACTCCCTCCCTGCGCCGGCCTGGTTTGGTTTGTGAAGCTCAGGGATCCCGGGAGTCGAATCCCGGTCCTGCCTGCCTGGTACAAACCCGGGCAGTACAGTAGATCTACGGGTACCGGGTACACAGTACAATCACATCAGTCATGTACGTGAGTAGCGTACGAAATAATCATGTCCAGTTTGTCTTGAGTTGAGATTGAATACAGCTCCTACAGACTAGATCTTGAGAAGATGAGATGAGATTTTGGGCCTATAGTTTGCTATAGCCTCCCATCCTATTAGTTATCGTCACTTGGTAGATTGCTTCATCATGGCTGAGGGTGAAGAGCCACCGAAGCGGAAGCGCCGCAACCTGCTGAAATTGTATTATGGCGTTTCTGAAAACCAATCAGAAGCCAACATTGATCCAACTGACATCAACAGTCCACATTTTCAGTCGGCAGCGTACATGGAGCAGCTGTTGCAGAGCAAGTCCTTGGCTGAACTAATGGACAAAGAGGATGAGATGCATCAGCGTAAGAGCAGTGCCAGCATGATGAACTTACCTCTGTTCTGGATGTGTCATTTCTGTATGAAAAACACCACCATGTACTCCCAGATGAAGCCTCAACATCAAACTATTTGACAAAGAAAAGAGTTTAATTATTATAGTGACGCACCGTCTGAGACTGTGGTGGTAGTGGTGACGGTATTTCAATGTCGGAGATGATTGTGAATTAGTTGCGCATATGCCTCTATACCAGTACACCTTCGAGTTTCGCCACGAAAAGATCTCAGTGTTTAGGGTTGGTTCACATATCGCCGGTACGCGCCAGGAGTCACCGGCAGTGGGCCTCTTGCAACCACTCCCGGCGCATTGCAATTTTGTGAACCAGTGCAGTCGTAACAAAATCATACGGTAAATAATTGCAAGGGACCGCCGGCAAAGTTGGGCGGTGCCCTACTCTTGCGATCTGCCCCGGCACAGATCCCGTAGAATTTTGACCAAAAGTGGTTTTGTGAACCGTTCGTGCCGGTGATCACCGGTGACGGGAGCCAGACTTTGTCAAACCAAGACTCGGCCTAAATTTTCCTAAGTTGAAGCTAGAGATGAGGTCCGTTCGCCATTCTTGTAGTCGCTTCAAGGTGGCAAATTAAGTCAGCATACCAACCCGTCCTTCTCGGATGATCTGCTTGACTGTTGCGCAACTTATGAGACAAATACAATTGAAACAAATAAAAATACGATGGATACATTGGCAAGTTCTTGTGACTTCATCAACGTTTGCATGCTAAATTTCGACACCATCGCTTGCTAGACTGCAATAAAATGTGTAGAAGTAGTTTCATGATCTCCAGTAAAAGGTAGCACTGAGTGGCCATCACCGAAAAACCTTGAACTACTGAAGAAACTAAGAATTCAAGCTTCAATTGGCAAACCTGTCGTAGCATTTGGGCACATTCTGTACTACGTTGTAGATTTGGTACTCGAACCTTATGCGGGACGGATCGGGAGCTGGACCTCACATTCAAGCTACAGCATGACGCAAAAGCGCGATGAACATACACGTTTTCAAAATGCCAAGGACATATTTATTCAATAATATGTTTGTTTTCCAAGTCAAGCTCAGTGAATTTTGCAGGCATTGAGCATTGTTTGAAATGAGCTCAGTGAAATAGATGATGTACCATAATTCCCTGAAATTAAAGCCACGCTAAAAAGGAATGCTGCCCATTGAGTAATGAACTCCAGGGTTGACATCTGTTCGAGATGTTCAATCCTGGTTCGAAAATAACTCCCACGAGTATTTTGACACATGCATTGGTGCGATGGTTAACATGCCAACTACTATCATGTCCTGTGCATTATACAGTACGTCGCTCCAATGGTGAAACAAAACAACCTACTGGTAATGCTAGCTAACAATGATATCATGATGAAAAGAACTGGATGGCCTTTAAAAATCCCGCTGAATAAAAAGTTAAAAACATCTCTCAAGCACTTTAGTTTTTGGAAGATGCCGTTCGTTTCACTGTGATAGCTGGCATCACCATCAAGCATCAGCAGTGTTTATTTCAAGAAATACGACAGAACAGCACTCTGCAACTAAAATGTCATGCCACATGATCCATACCGCTTGCATTCCGGCTCTGTGCGACGGAAAATAGGTTTTGCATCCTTGCGACTCCATGGCCATAATCGTGCTACCCCACTGCAGGCAGTGACCACGATTGAGAGCATTGTCCGGTCACGTGCAAAGTGTTGCCATGTAACTTGCTCACTTGAGCTCGCAGCGTGAGCGCACGCGGACTGGCCCTCTACACACACAGAGTAACGCGTGCAATGTTGATTGCACCATTGTTAATTATTTGACCTGAACTGCCACGCCATGCCTGTGAATGCATTAGAACCCGTCTTCGTTGAGATCTCATGTCAGTACCCTGTTGTTGTTGTGATATAGGCTAGTTTTTAAAATAGTGACTACTGCTCTGGCGGTGACTGAACACCCAACTAGTGCTCAAGCAAATAATCAATAGATAGATACTATAACAGATTTACTAGTCTACTGTAGGGTGTGTTGCAGAATTAGGGACGTGTGCTCACACCCCAATCTATCCCATGATGGGTGCATGCAGTCTTGTACCTGTACTGGCTGACAGTGGGGGGGGGGGGGGTATAGTCGCAGTACACTGCAGCGCTAGGAATGCATATAAATGAACAGTAGCGGATTTAATCAGCTTAACGCTATTTGATCTATTGAAGTGAGGCTGAGGTTTCATTTCTGCTGTTTTGCTAAAGACTGTCACTGCCACTATTGTATGCGTGTGTGGGGGGTGGGGGTATGTGTGTGTGCATTATCTGTTTCCGCTTGCAGGTGCAAGCATGATGCATCTCTGTATATACAGTAGCTGTTATTATAACTGTTGTTAACATGCCTTGGCCCTTGCTGGCTTCTTCATGGTTTTCTTTTCTGATGCAGAAATCAAGGTTCTCGACCGTGACATGCAGACCCTCGTGTACGACAATTACAACAAGTTTATTAGTGCAACAGACATGATACGAAAGGTATGCTGTGGTGTTACATCACCTAGCTATGGACCATGTGTCTCTCATTCTCTTTCTCACTTTCTCCTCCGTCTTTCATCAGTGCAAAAGTGGAAATCTCTTTCAAGTTGGCCACCGTATGACTTTGTTTCCTGTAGGTGTGTGCACTTTTTACGTAAGTTGTTGCGTGTAGCCATAGCTTGGATAGACATTGTATGTATGTATGTATGTATGTATGTATGTATGTATGTATGTATGTATGACTATGTATGTATGGAGGAGGTGTGTGTGTGTGTGGGGGGGGGGGGGGGGGGGGTGCTGGCCAGAAATGGTATTTCTACATGCGTTGTGATTCCATTGCAGAGCAGAACAAGTCGTGGCCCATTAGATAGCCTTGTAAGCTTTTGAGTGATGCGATTCCACCACAAGTATGTGCCTTTGCATGGCATAGGTTGCGATCTCTGCCTCCAATGATGGACTGTTTAGGAGAAGTGTCTATCGTGTGTAAATGTATGTTTGTATGTATGTCTGCTTCAGATGAAAAGCGATTTTAAGAAGATGGAAGATGAGATGGACAGATTGTCCTCCAACATGCAGCAAATCCAGGTGGTTAGCGACACCATCAACAAGTCGCTGGATGGCCAGCGTCAGGAACTTGGCAAGTTGGCGGGTGTGCATAGCTTGTTAAAGAAGGTGAGTACGGAGGGATCCACCCAGCAGCGCGCGCGTGTGTGTGTGTGTGTGTGTGTGTGTGTGTGTGTGTGTGTGTGTGGATACCAGGCTAAAAATAGTGGCGGTCAATTCATCAGCCTTGCAAGCTGTTGAATGGTGTAATCCCAGCACAAGTTACTATGTCTAACATAGCTGTTCGCTATCATCGCTCCCGCGATGGGCATGTCTGAGGTGTCTGAGAGGTGAGGTGTGTGTGTGCACAAGTTGCTATGTCTAACATAGCTGTTCGCTATCATCTCTTCCGCGATGGGCATGTGTGTGTGTGTGTGTGTGTGTGTGTGTGTGTGTGTGTGTGTGTGTGTGTGTGTGTGTGTGTGTGTGTGTGTGTGTGTGTGTGTGTGTGTGTATGTGCGTATGTGTGTGTGTGTGTGTTTGTGTGTGTGTACACAGTCCTTCCATGCTGCCTGTGGGCATGATCATTGCATTGACTGACTTCCATGCACAAGATTTCTGTCTTAGCTGGAATGCCATCAAATGAACGGGGAGCTGAAGAACGAACAGGCTAGGATTTCACCAAGCGCACCATTCCAATGTACACCGTATTCGCGCGATTAGTGCCCCTGGGGCACTATTGTTTCATTGTTCACCACAGATGGGACAGTATTCAAGAGAGGGCACTATTTTTTCAATGCTGGTACATTTGGATAATCCAGCATAAAAACAAAGAAAAACGGAGCCAAAGTTTACCTTAAACTATCACGACTCAACAGAAACGGCAACAAGAACTGCGATTTTGATCCTGAAACCATCAGTGCAATGGCATGGACAAGACTCTTACTAGCAAAACAACACCAAACTTGCACACGCGCTTGGTTACAAGCGGGGGGGGGGGGGGCACTATTCAAGAGAGGGTTTTAATTTTTGTACTGGCTCTTAGAGACTGGAGCACTATTCGAGATAGGGCACTATTCAAGAGAGGGCTCTAATCGCGCGAGTACGATACACGGTGACTCAACTCTGCATAGAGTCATATCAAGAGTACATAACCCCCCAGAGTGTGCAACTCCGATCCAGCTCTGCATAGGGTCTTGGTCGAGCGGAATCGGATCTTCTGATGTCATGCGTACACTCCACACCAGCGCAAGGCCGGTCTCGAGGCAGGGCACCATTGTTTTTGATCCGAGAGTACACGCAACTCCCCGGGTTCCCCTCAGATGTGTACGGTATTATGACGCAAAGATCCGATTCCGCTCGACCAAGACCCTATGCAGAGCTGGATCACACTCTGGGGGGGGGGGGGGGGATATGTACTCTTGGTCATATATATTAGACTGTAGTCCATGAAAACAAGAACGGCCTGGGCTAGGAGGCTGACCCCCCAGTTCTTCGGCGCCTGACAGTATTGTACTATTGGTTTGTTACTAAGTAACATTAAGTCTTAATGACATTATGTTGGTGATGCAGTGCATTTGGTACAATGCCTTGTCTAGCAGTAGCATCCACATCTGCATTGCACTCAGCCACTTGGAATGTTGCTTCCTATCTGAGGGGTTGACATGTCTGTGGAGTGTGCACCGTCCAGGAGTGTTCTATGCTAGTGCTGTGTTGTCTGAAGTGAACCTTTGATCCAGTTGTCTGCAGTGTGTTTTGTGAGTGGGCCATTGGTGTCCTACTTTGTGAAGCTGTTGAAAACTTGCCTTTTATTACCGCAGTGTACAATGTGGCTCCTGGGTATTGCTAATAGTTCAGTGCTCAGGGCAATGCCACAACCTGCCATGTCACTTACGTTCACTACATCTTTTCCTTGCTGCAGCTACAATTCCTGTTTGAGCTTCCATCTCGCCTGAAGAAGTGCATGACAATGGATGCTGATGGGCAGGCAGTCCGGTGAGTCGTTAACCCATGAAGTTGTCTCTGCAAGTGAACAACACTGCTGGAAATAGATGGACGCCACAGTCATCGTACATATGTATGCGCTGGGAGAGGGGTAAGGGGAGAATGGAGAGTAAACGTGGCCAGCTCTCTGTCTAGCTCGCTTTTCCGGATTCTAGACTGTATCACTTCGGGCTCAACTCGCACTGCAAACATCCTTGTGTTTCCAACTTACTTACGAAAAGAAGCCTCGATCGAAAGGAAAAGCACCATGTTATGTAACACGGCAGGGCAACATAAAAGCGCGTGTGAAACCAGAGACCCGGACCTATGCGAATGAGGGCCGATGTATCGCCTGACATGAATGCGTACAAAGAGAGCGTAAGCGGCAGACAGCTTTGTCGTGCACCAAGATGCCAACGCGCGTGACCACACAGCATGACAATGAACATGACAGCTAGACTACTCCAAGCATGAATGCAGGAAACCAGTACACATGCACATGCGTGCACATCTCCCCCTTCACTCACGAAATGGCATCTGAGTAGGTACATGAGCAAGGCAGTGCAGCAGCAAGAATGAACGCACCGGAAGGCAGCACATGGAAAATGCAGGCAGACAGCCACAAGAGAAAACAAACAACCGGAATAAACTAGAGACAGTACACCAGTGTCAGAGTACCGGCGCTCTCACTAACTGAACAGTGCAGCTAATTGTCCGGCTCGACGGGACGCCTTGTCAACTTGGTGAACTCTGGTCGCTTGAAATGGAAGCTGAAGACGTCTTTACCCGCTGACTGTTATGTTCACAGCCACCCGAAGACAGGTCGAGCAGGAGAACAATATTATTACATTATACTATCAGAGATGGAAAGGGAAAGTTCGACTGACCAGGAAAACAGCATGGTCAAAACCACGGCTACTCCCAGCCCTGGCAAGTGAAGAGGTCAGCACTGACATGCTCAAACGGAAGAGCAGGAGGCGGGTCACGCATCAGCGTCTCCTTGGGCTGTGAGCTCTGCATCTCACGACAGGACGGGCGGTTATGGACGACATTGGCAATGTCATTGTTAATGTGAGGCCAGTACACAATTTGGCGAGCTCTGCGTTTCGTGCGTTCCAAACCTTGATGTGATGCGTGGAGGTCAATCAGCAAACGACGTCGCAAACTCTGGGGAATGACGAGGCGTGGACCACTGTACATCTCATCGTTGATTGATCGCCCGTCCCACTTGGAACGGAACTCCGATGTTGAGCCGTCAGCTGTGTCAACCGCGATGGTGACGTGTTCATACGCACCGGTCACTTGCGCTGCCCAAGACTGACGATGTTAGCTGCTTGCGTGGGCCACCCACGCCAATGGCAGAGGCGGTCTGCTGCCAGAGGTAACTGGTCGACGACGTAGGATCCAACAGCGCTGTGCCTTGTACCCTCCTGCCGTTGTGACTGAGGACGACAGGCACCGTCATGAATGATAGCGGCAATGCTTCGGGTGACTTGTCCTCCTCACGCTGCTCAGCTGGTGCCATGGCGGTGCCGAGGGTGGACATCACGTGAGTGGTATGTGTTTCAGTGTACAACTCGGCTGAAGCGTCAACTGTGACGTGAGCCGTGTGACCACCGTGTCTCTCCGCTGACACTGGCTTGGTCGGCTTGGTGCCACCGGACGCATCTCGCTTTGGTGTGTCGGAGTGCAGCAGTACGTGGTGTCGCCGTTGACAGGCACCACAGCTCATCTTGCACGTAGTGGACCAACGGCCACCCGGCAGGCAGCAACTGCAGATGACCTTGCAGGCGCGCACAAACTCCCATCGTTGCTGAATCGTGAGAGATTTGAACTTCGGGCACACGCTCAGGTGATGTGTGCCCTTGCAGCTCGCGCACTGGTCTGGACTGACCGCAAAGGTGAAGTTTCCTGATCGTGACGGACACTTGGGCGCGACGCTGGGTGGACATGGCTTCTGGGACTGCCAGACTACTCCAAACATGAATGCATGAACCAGTACACGTGCACATGCATGCACAGATCGGCTACATGTGCCTTTCATTGCGGCCAGGACCTTCTTTTGAAAATGAAAAGCCCAGCCTTTTATTACCACTATTAGGCCACACCGTTTTTATCTATGTTCCGCGTCCCCCGCGTGCTTGTATTTCACAGCCGGATTTATAGATTTTTTTGTTTTTGAAAATACAATACAAAATTTAATGCAAACCCAGAAAACCAGAAAAGGAAAATATGTAACCCAAAAGAAGAAGAAAAACGGAACGTGATTGTTACATGGTAACTATTATGTTTGCATCATTTGTTCCACACATGTACATGTCATGTACATGTGTGTGTAATAAGCTGGGCCGCTAGTCACACAATCATCATGCCGCCTGTGTTTGGACCACAAGCATGGCAGAGGCGTGGCTTCCCATCCAGCTGATAATGCTGACACAATTTGGCCAGTTGTTACCAATCAGTAGCGTTAGCATGTGCTATAAACTTACTTGGCGACATTCATTGTATTGAAATGAATACATAACCCAATGCTGTACACAGCAAACTGTTTCGGGGGATACACTCATGTATTCATGTATATGTATGCATGTGTGAATTAATAATGTTCAATGTACATGAACAGTGCCAGGTCTAAGCTTCACTGTACACAAATGCAATGCACGTACACTGGGTTTTTTTTGGTGGTTTTTTCCCGCCCTCCCTCATTGATTTCATCGAATAAGGTGACACGAAACATAGAAAAAACGGCGTGGCCTTATAAAGTATTATTAAACTCAATGAGAAATTTGAGGATGGCAATAAACAGAATCAGCTGAAGCGTAATGAGAAATTTGAGCAGATATGCTTCTCTCAGCACTGCAAATTCACCACTCAGTATCAGTGGAAGCTTGAAAGTTTACTTGAAACTGATACTGAGTTGTGAGTTTGAAAGTGCTGAGGGAAGGAGCATGTCTGCTCGAAGGTTCTCATTGCGTTATGAAGCTGCAGGACACCTCACTCCTATTCCATGTACATGTACATACAAACTATTGTGCTACTGTAGTGTGCTACTGTTGTTTGCACTGAGCAAACATGAAGTTATTTACACCTGTCTGCCACACTGCTTGCTATCATTCTGGCTTCCTGGCCACTTTTCTTGTGTTGCTATAGGTATTATGTAAAGGCGAGGCACGTTCTCAAGGAGTATGAGCACATGCCATCCTTTCAGATCATCCAGCGCGACTGCCTGCAGATCGTCGACCAGCTGCGGGAAAAGCTGAGAGGAATGCTGCGGAGCACTTCGGTAGGTCCTTCGACTGCACGTACGCCAGTGGTAGTCTGCTGTGGACAGTGTGCGGCACATGTGTGTGTGGGGGGGGGGGGGGGGGTGAGTGTGTGGGTGTGGGTGCCTGTGCCTGTGCGTGTGTGGGTGTGGTGCATTGGACTTGTAAACTGTGTAGATACTGATCCCGTTATATATATAAGTTGGAAAGACGAGCTTGCTTTCTTGCTAATTTGACTGGCACTCATGCATTGTTACATGACTGTGTTGTTAAAAGTTGAAACAATCACCCAGGGGCGGACACCGCTTGAGGCGTGATGTGTATCGCATTTGCCCATAGTCTGCCCCTGCTATAAAACTGTGTAGATGTTGTGCTCATGATCATTCCATTCTCATTCCTGACCTGTACCGCGCTTTGCCCGTGTGCTACCACCCCTTTACTGACAGTCACAACCGCAGAAGCTGGCCGAGTGCGTTGAGTTGCTGCTGGAGCTGGACGAGCCGGCCGAGGAACTGTGCGACGAGTACATCAAGCAAGCCAGCCACCAGATCAGCCTGGACCTGAAGAAGCTGTCGCAGCTCGGAGGCGACGGCGACTCTGGTGCGGGGGAAGCGGAGGAACGTGTACGCCTGGCCTCTGACGTCCTAGAGTTCGCCGACCTGGGCTGCAACAGTGTGCTGAGCGACGTAGCTCTGCTTATTGCCAACTTTACCGATCTCTTCTTGCGGCGATCTACTGATGAACAGTAAGTGCTTTTCACAATCATCCAAACCTAGGAATATAACCCCATTCCCCCCCCCCCCCCCCCCCCAGCATGTGACACGAACGCTTGCCTGATTTCCCAGTGACTGTGTGTGTGTGTGTTAGGAAGGTACGCGTTGGGTCGACTCAGGTTGCTTCACTCACCAGTCGCTGATTTCACGATCTTGAGCTGTGTAGAAACTAGAAAGCTGATATTCTCCTTTTTCGATCCAAAGTGTCCAGAGCGAAACAATCACATGACCCTAGCACCATGTATTCTGATACATGTATTCCTGTGCTTTCCAATGTGTGCCCACTCCTACCTCCAGCTTAGCGCCATGTATTCTGATATTCATGTACTTTCCGATGTGTGTCCACCCGTACCTCCAGCTTCAGCTACGCCTCATTTTTTTTTTTATACAGGTTTTTAAAAACTTGTTATTGCCTATAAAAACTCAGCCTTGGCATTTATTGTATGTTGTAATACCATCATCATGCTAGTGCATGTACTGCTGTGTTTTACACACTTAGGAATTCTGCTGGTGGATTGGAGGGGGAAAGAGATCGAATTTGTTTCATTTGCATCTTTCCCTCAAACCAATGAATTTGTTTCATGTTCCTCTTGTATTTCAGGGGAGTTGCCCACAGAATCAAGCGCGTTGCGCAGCCAAGACTGATTGGCTTCATCAAGGCCACCCTGAAGGAGTTCTTTCAGATTGTCAAACGTCGGTTTGAAAGTGAGGTAAGTCTCATTGCAAGCTGCCCCATGTGTTAAAGGATGATTCACAATACCACTTTCTGCGATGCAATGCGATGCACTGATTACGATGTGTACGAACCCTGGAGTGACTTTTCGACCGTCATTTTTCTACCTCAACAAGGTCACGGTAGTGGTGCAAACAAAATGTGATCGATTGATTCTGAAGTACCCTGTGGATCTGGGATATGGATCTGGATTCGGATCCGATGAAACAATCACCTAAATACCTAAATTTCGGCACAAAAAAATACAACAAAACTCTAGCAGCAGCCTACTTTTCTGACTAGTCGTCTTACTTCACAGAGCTAAGCAAGATGTGCGTCATCACCTGTGGTCGCTATTGAAACGAAAATCAGAAAATTGCGGATTTGGAAAGTTTGGTGTAGCGTATGCAAGTGAGAGATATCTCCTTCGAACCAATATCAAAATTTGTTTTCCTTTTGGACCCTACTTTTTGATGGGGTTTCTATATGTCTGAGTATTACATGCAATAGCACATGCCTTTGAATTCTCTGCTCGTTCTCTTGTTACTACTGCAGGTGCCCGAGGGCAGTGACCAGTTTCTTGTGAGAGCGCTGGACCGCTTTCATCGCAAGTTGCTGAGCGTACACAAGCTGATGCCTGTTGCACAGATTGACGAGTATGTACCTTGTACACGTAGTGCATGCTAGCGTTGCTGTACCACCTTGCTGCTCTGTTTTGTGGACTCTTTACTTAGTAATGGAGGACAGTACACTCAAACGCCTCTTATCCGGACGCCTCAGATACGGGCACGTCTCTCTACCGGGCACCTTCACCTTGAGTTCCTATGGCAAAAATGTGTTGAATTTGGGGGGGGTTGAACTTTTTTCATATGTGCAAGTGCTTCTTTGTCACGGCCGACCTGTGAAATCCACACATTTTTTTATCAATAGATTCTTTCTGTAACCTGAACATGTACAATACGTGCCAAATACACTTCTTCAAAAATTGATTATGGCACATGGTAGATGAGTTTTCCTGAGATACGGCCAAATCTGAGATACGGGCAGTACGCGGTCCCAAGGTGCCCGGATAAGAGACGTCCGAGTGTAGTACCATTACTCAGCGTGCCTGCTCTAGAGTAGTTTTGTCGGCTACGAATGTAGCTGTGGTAAAGATTGGTGTTGTAGCTGAATCTTGCATGATATTTTCTTGCGGCCGTCTCCTTGAGTCCGCATATCCTCCATGTAAAACCGGTTTGTTTGTGCTGTAGCACAAAGTCATGTTGTCTTACTTGTAAGGTACAGGGTACATGACTGTATATGTGTTGTGCTCTGTTGTGTTTTCCTTGTTATAATGCTTTGGGTCAGAACTTGTGCACAGATGAAAAGGGAAATCTGAAACTCGCCATGTGCTCCGTTTAACTTTGTTTCTCAGGTTGGCAGCGGAAATGGTTTCATCGACTACAGTACTGCGTGTGACGTTCTTCTCTGACAAGCTACGGGATCAATTTGCAGGTACACGCATACCTCCCTTATCCGGGCGGTCCGGGACCGGGTGCTGCCCAGAACTTCGAGATGTCCGTAACTCGGGTTCTTTTGTGACTGTGAAGTCCATGCGAAATTGTGTTGCTGCTGCCTGGTGCATTTCAGCTCTTTCACCGTGCATGCCTGGTGTGCACCGTGCGTTGCATGTTCTTCTTTTTCTCATCTCTCTCGTTCTTATTGTTCTCTCTTGGTATTCGTCTTCCTCCTCTCTGTGTCCTCTCTTGTGCTGGCACTGCCACTCACCACCAATATAGCATACCTAGCTGATGCTCGCCAAGCCATTGCCACACAGTCAATGGTACCATCTGGAGCTGGCGCGCAAGCTGGTGAGAACACAAGCCAGTCAGCTCCACTCACTGCTCTCTTCCAGGAAGTGTCTGGAAAGATCACGGAGGAGTTCAAGGCGACTATCAACAGCCTAAAGGTATGAGTAGTGCCGCTATCTGCACGATTTTAGTGACTTAGGGTCTTGAAGCTGTGGCTCTGCAGGAAGATGCAATGTTCTACCGCAGCGTACTAGGGGCATGTTGTATGACAGAAAGGTGAGCAACTGGCAACAATTGGACTTTTGGTTCTGTAGTGTAACGACGTCGAGAACTCACTCGGTTTTCACGAAGAAAGGTATTTGTCACCTTAGTGCATTGGTTCTCTTTCACCCCACTCCTCCATCTTGTGTGTACTTGAAGTACTAGTATGGACAGCTTGACTGGAGTCTCTGTTGAGTGTAGTTCGAAGTATGAGCTTTGAAGTCGCCTACCGCCAGAGTGTTTGGTGAATGCTCCCCTCTTATTCGCATCTCGCTTGGGACTTGGTGCTACTGTTGTTTCTGCTTCGTTGTGATGGTTTTCCTTGCCAGGTGTACGTGTCTCCTGAGGTGGTGTTTGCGTCACAGCCCAGGTTCCGCGTGCCATTCTGTCGCCAGCAGATACGCCAGGGTCTCGTTGTCAAGCATCTGTATCACATAGTGGACACAGCAGCAGTAAGTCAATGCATAGCACACAGCGACTGACTTTATGTCCATGAGCAGTGCTAATACTCAGTTTAATATCTACACATTCTGCTGTCACGACATTACTTGTACATACGTTTTATTCTTGTCTGATGATCCGCTTAAAATTATGGGTGTTAGCGGCCGTCCTCCAAACGCACAACAAGGCAAGGTGGGTCCATAGGTTTCCAAGAAACATAGCTTCAATTTTCCATCTTGTTCACAGTTTTACTACTACCCGTCTACAGGTGTGTAGACATGAGTTCAATGTGCATGCAATCTCACTTGTGTCCTCTTCTTCTTTCCACCGGCGGGGCTGGCTACAGGACATGTGCAAGGTGACCACATCTCGGTCAACACCTCCGCCTCCGGTGCTGTTGCTGCTCCTCTCTCGCCTTTGCCTGGAGATGAAGGACTCGGTCATTGGCTATCTGGTGAGTATGGGGGAGGTGTTTGTACTCGTGTCCACCTCTATCATATGTATGTAACAGCATCACACAGCTCCTGTGTGATTGACTGTCCTTGCAGTAATCCCAATTACTACACCGATGTAAGCCCAGAATACCATCATCTTAGTGAACTTCAGGTTATCAGCTATCGCTTTACAGCAGGGCCTTTGCCGGGGTGATCGATGTGAATTTTCCTTGAGAACACTGCTTGATGTGTGTGTGTGTGTGTGTGTGTGTGTGTGTGTGTGTGTGTGTGTGTGTGTAATGTTGCGTGGACTTCAGGTCAGCCTGGCGGACGAGGCGTTTCCTGCGAGCGAACGATCATCTGGTGCAACGCCCATCGCCGACCTGTGCAAGTATGCTGGTACCACAGCTCAGGTGAGGTGTTAGACTCGACCACATACATGACTGTATGCTACTACTATGCCATACAGTATAGCCTATAGGACAAGCGGCCTGTTATCTCTGTACTACTTAAGCATGCTACGCTGATATGGAAACCATTTCGCCTGGGTCTCTGAGCAGATGAGAAGCGTTCCGGATCACGTATTTCAGAATCACCCTTTTTTTTAAGTGGTCTGATGTATTTCGTGAACCCTCAAAACCCTTGGCAATCTACTGACTGGCGCGTGCTTTCAAGATGCTATTGGTTTTGTGAGGGAAGGGTGTAAATAAAAAATGTGGAAGAAGGAGCTGATTTTGCAGTGCTGATTGGAGAGCTGATTTTTGTGACCTTTTTCACTTGTTCTCCCTGTTGCATTCTTCTCTGTTTAGGAGTTGTTGGATCACTTTGTGAGCGTACAAGGCTTATCAATTTCACAGGTACATGGCGTGTCTGCGCATGCGTGTGTATGCCTACATATCACTGTGTGTATGGGTGTGAGCATGCATGACTGCACGCATGTCTGATCCGTGCTCTGACTATTTCATCCTTGCACAATTATTGGACTGAAATGGATTTGGAAAGGAGACGACGACAAGAGGTGCATCGACTGCTCTTGCTGAAAACCCTTTTTTCAATATGACAATGTGTTTCAGCATCATTTTTCTTGCATGGAACTCCCCACTGTGTATCCTCACTCATGTTGTGGTGTGGTCTTTTTGGCAACCACTTGATGTGCAGATGATCCGCAAGAGTGTGGAGACACGCGACTGGCTAAGCACCTTGGAGCCGAGGACGGTCAGACCAGTCATGAAGCGCGTCGTTGAGGACGTTTCCATCCTCGACCACCATGTCGGGCAGCTTTTCGAGGAGGGAACGAGACGCGGCGATCACAGTTCGGGTAGGTTGCAATGTGTGTATCACTTTGACGCAGTTCTAGTGGATGACTGCTATTGTGTGCATTCACCCTACTCACCTTTCCTCAACGGGTATTCTTGTATTTAATGATGATGCTTTGCGTAGTTGATAACACGTCAAGAAGTGCATGCTTGTGGTGTCCGGCTAAATATTCTACTGTTGCTCTGTGCGTGTGCATGTGTGTGTCTGTGTATACATGCGTTGATGTGATTGGTCTTAGATGACAGTCGTGCCAGCCGCCGTAGGAATATACCAACTGGCACTCGGGCGTGGAACTATGCACCAAAGTAGGTTCATCGTCACTCTCCCCTCCTTTTCGTCTGCATCACTATGCATGATGACTACTTGATGCAGCGCTGCCTAGTACATACCGAATAATGTGAACTGATTGGTCTCAATGGGTGTGCGCATGTACCAGATGAATACCAGGGCTCAAGGAAAGGCAGGGTGGGAGTGCACAGCGCTCTCCTACCCTGCTGACATGCCATTTTGGGGAAAGGGCTAGCCTCTTACGGGAGACATAGTGTAGTGAATTTCCACTGCAACGTATCTCAAACATAAAAGTTGATGGACTCCACGCAACCAGCCACCCTTTCCTAACATAATCCCAAAGGGGCATACTAGTCGGCGATTATTAGCCCAGGCACTGTATGTCCGAGGTTGAAGGGCTTGTCAGTGGCTTATGCCGAGTTGACATGTCCGGGAACCAGGTAATTCAGACGACTTTGTTCAGTGTAAACTGCTGTGGGAGTGTACCAGACATACAGAGTCCAGATAGCTGGGAACTACTTCGAATACCTACAGCGCTCCTCCTTGTATAGCGCATGTAGAGTACTCCAAATAGTGCATGTACCGGTCCTTTGCTTACCAGAATACGCTGATGCTCTTCCACTCTGTCTTGACGCCTTCACCCCCCCCCCCCCCCTACAAATTATCCCTGTACACTGTTTAAAATGCTTTCCTCATCAAGGTGTTTATAGTTGATTTTTGACTGACCTCGGATATGGCGAGTTGGGCTTGAGCATCATTTTGTAGTTGTGTGTCCAACCATATGGTTTCTCTCTTCTTGTTGTGACTCACATGACAGTGCGTTCGACACCAACTTGATGAGCAACATCCAGAAGCTGTTTTCTGAGCGCATCGAGATCTTCGGCTCCGTGGAGTTCAACAAAGTGTCTGTTGTGACGGGCATCGTCAAGATTGCACTCAAGGTGTGTAGGGTGGGGTAGGGTGCAAGTGCATGGTCGCATCTTCGCGTGCAGATGTGTGTGCGTGCATCGAGTATGTATCCAGTTTAGGAGAGGGCGTCAATAAATATACTTCGAAGTAGTATTGACGGCCTCTCCTAACCGGATACTTACTCACATTATGTGGACGGAGATGCCTGCAGATTGGGATGAACTACATACTTGGCTTGCGTACACTCTCTTTGAGCGTGGGTATCTTGCTGACTAGTGCTTAGTTATGCTTCTGTCCATGGCATGGCTTATGATTGTGTGAAGACCCCAGTGCTCTTATGAAGTACATGATGTTGTTTCCTGCAAGGAAATCAGCTGCCTTGTACCAGTACATGTACACAGTCGTGTTTAGCGTTATGTTTTTTCTTATCTCACGTGCTGTGTCTTTTCGTCTTGTGTGCTACTTTATTGTATCTGGTGCAGACTTTCCTAGAATGTGTGCGCCTGCGCACTTTTGGCAAGTATGGCCTGCAGCAGGTACAGGTGGATACGCACTACCTGCAGATCTATCTCTGGCGCTTTGTCTCTGATGAAAAGTAAGCCACACGTGTACTCGTATTGGTGATACTGCTGGCATAGTCCCTGACGGGTTATGGTGTGTAGCAAGTGAAATCAAAACCTGATTCGATGTATAAACTATAAACCAATAATGATCTGTATGCTGATTGATGAATATCCTAACCGCTTCTCTACTATAGGTCTCCAGCAGTGTGTGGTGATGCTGTTATCATTGGTTTGAGGAATGAGATCTACAGTAGAGCCGGGGGGGGGGGGGGGGCTGCATGTCGCTACATAGCACACTTGGGTGTGAACTACTGTGCGTACACTGGCATCCTTCTGCACAGGCCATGGAATTATTATGACTTTCCGCCCCTTGATCGCTTACTGGAGGTGATCAATATCAGCCCTTCTTTCTCGCTAAACTGTTGCCCAATACTCGTATGGGATTGCAGCCTCCCCTCCCCTCCCCTTCCCTCCCATGCAGCATTATAATTATAATGAGGCGTCCATGTAATGTGTTGATTTCATCTAGAAACGTGATGGTGTGCTTGTTTTTCTCCTCCGCTTGCTGTAATAGCCTTGTGAAAGTCCTGGTGGACGAAATCGTCAGTAGTACAGTTCAGCGCTGCACAGACCCTGTCGTCATGGAACCAAGTGTAAGAACAACATTTAATGTAGGATTTATATGTATTCATAAGGCTGAGGGAGTTGAAGTATGATTATGATACATGTACGTACATTGTATAGAACTATAGAATAGTATAGATTGTATAGGTTTTGTAGTTGGAGGAAAGCAAACTAATGCACGCAGCGCAGAATTCACTGGACATTTTGACAAGGCCTATCCGTACCACCACTCTTCAAAGTCATTACAATGGTGATATGAGCTGCAGCAAACAAGACTTGGCGCTTATATCTAGCTTTTGGATGGTGAGTATAGGTACCTAAAAGAGCGTGAGTAAATGATGAAGATGTAAGTTTGCTTCTTCCAACATGAAGCTCATACTTTTTGCTGGCTTGGCTGACACTTGACTGACTTGCAACTGCGATCGAGACCACTTCGAGCCTTCCTCTCAGCAAACCTGCAAGAAAGCATCAGCTGTTCGATCCTGTTCTAGATTGTACCAACCAAACGTGCCTGAAACCTCCAGACTCTTTTTCTCTAAACAAAATTTCGCACAATCTCACCGTCGATACAAAAATGGGAAAAGTTGAGTTGCCTAATGTCCCTCTTTAGAAGTAAAAACCCGGCGGTTTTCTCTTACTCTTCCCCCGTTATCTTTGTTTGCCTGTTCTCTTGTCCTGTGTGCGGCTTTGCGTGTCCAACAACGTAGGTGATAGATGTCATCTGCTCGCAGAACTAACCTACTCAGTGTGGCGAAGCTGCCAGTCAACAAATGTTTGTACATACGTCCAGTCTGTAGATAGCGTCGTTGTCCTTTATACCATCACCCAGCATTAATGCATTGTCTTACCAGTATTGTCTTACCAGCATAGCATGCTGGTACAAGTTTCGTCATACGTTGCTTTCTGGTTTAGAAAACGTGGAGTGGCCTTTATTTGTGCTGAATATTGTATCATTTCATGTTTCCATTTAGGGAAAGTCTGTAAATATTTTTTTTAAATATATAAATCTAGTTTCTGCTTGTTTCACAATAAGCTTACAGACGCTGCCTAGTTGTGTGCGCTCTTCCGGTGTGAACTGGCGCATGGTTGTGCTGACTGACGATAGGCATTGCTGGTTCAGCAGCCTTTTCCTTGCTCTTGCTGTATTTTCAAAACCATTCATACTTGTTCTTGCATATGCATTTATTTCAAAAAATCATTATTTTTTACCATGATTATGGATCACCACTCCGACCACACGTTTTTTCGTTAAATACCGGCAATAGAATTTACAATGTAGAAGAATTTCACATGAATAGATTATTCAAATATGTACGGTTGTGCTTGAACAATGACTGTGTGACTGTGCACCTCCCCAGACTCGACCGCAGGGACTGAACCGTGTCTTATCTACGTGCTACAACATGTACAAGTAAAGAGAATGAAGACGCGTTTATCCCGTAATTACCGTATGCTCTTTGTCAGTCATGATGTCTGATGTAGAGATTATTCAAATACATCATCAGCTGAGATGCTTTGTATGGAACAGCAGCTTTTTTCATGGCACAGTGATGCATTAGCAATGTATATAGGGTACTTTATAGCTCCCAAAAGCGAATCAGCTGACTCACGCCGCTGATAGTTCGAGGCAAGAATCCATAGCCCCTACTATAGGTTATGGACTATTGTTGGCGCTCATAAACAACTCCGCTGGCTCGCCACCATAACATCACGTGGACAACATCAATTGCCCGTGAACGCATCCCTGGCCTTGCAATGGGGTCTGCCTAATCACATAGACAAGAAGGGACCATGACTGTGGACTACATGTCATGGCCGGACATACATGTATCCTCAGGTACAGTCAGACCTCGCTTATCCGGTCCTCGTTTATCCGGATCCCTCGCCATCCGGTAGAAAATCGTTGGTTACCGATTTACAGCATATGCCGTGCACACCTACAGTATGTGTGTTCGATTATCCGCTTCCCTCGCCGATCCGGATATTTTTTGTGGAAAACGGATGTGTGCGGTTATGCGAGTCCTGACTGTATACGGTGTACATGTACATGCCAAGTGGTGGAACACTTGCCGCATTGTCAAATAATTGCCGTTATGAAGAGTGACAAGACAAGAGGCAGAGCCATGCCACAAAGGTAGCAGAACGACAGATTACAGCCATGTACTTCTAAAGTGAAGTGGAAGTATTCGCGTCACATTGTGAAAGCTCAATCTGTATTACTAGTACTACACAGACAGGGTACACGTCATGGGAAAATCCTACTAACTTGTTAGCATAAACAATACAATATACAATGTACTGTAGTTATCATAAGTACATCTGCAATGAAACAATGTTGTGTGTTTCATGGCGTGTTTTGTGAAAAGAAAGCAGCATGATTTTCATGGCAGTATTGCAAATTTCCAAGCAAATTAGATCGATAGCCTAGAAAATGATTTTTCAAGAGTTCATGATAAGGATACTGATCAATAATGATGATGTACATGTAGTGTATGTAGTGCATGCATATATGCAACACCTAAAGTCATTGTGCCTGCACAAGGAAGCAACAATAAGATACCACGGCTACTACCGGTAGGTACTTGCAACGAACGAGTATACACGTAAATAGGAGCTAGTTGCAAGAAGAAGACGAGACAACACAAAGCATTGTAAGCACGCCGCCAGCACACGGCAGCGCGTGGCATTCAAGTCGCTAAGACAGAGCCAACAGCGGAGGCAAGTATCCTGGGCTGATTGCCCGCAGTGGTCAGCACGGAGCGCCGATGGTACAGCTCTAGACTCGGCCGCAGGTACGCGCCATCACCGGGAATAGCTGACGCCGTCTGGCTCAGGATCACCTGCAACACAGAGTGACAATGCAAAGTGCAGAGCAACATAGCACAATGTACTTCTGAAGGGTGGAAAGGAGTCACGCCAACAGACTCAGCAGTACCGGTTTAGAATTAAAAAGTAAAAACTTACTAAAAATAAGTAGTGTTACGGCTAACGAACGAATATTTGACTTATCGAACGAATATCGAATATTCTTTAGGAAAAATAGCTTTGAGCGACTGCTCCTTCATGTGCACATCCATGCACATACCACCACACAATTCAAGGTCACGACATCGGTACTAGCACCACTACCACAGATTGACATGTTAAGAGCGCATACACATGTACATATCACTACATGTACATCCGTTCTAGAACTACGATAGAGCGACACTTGAACAGAGTGCCCATATGTGTCACAGCGTCTGTACAACCGCAGATCGACACATTAACATACTTAACTGTACACTTCCTTGAAACGAATATTCCAAAGGGGAAACTATTCCTTCTATCGCGTTTCTAAACGAATACCAATCGAATATTCGAATACTCCTTGCAGCCACCGTAAAAAAAAAAGTATCAAAGTATGAGCTGGAAACACACAAGAGCATGTCGCTGAAGTAGGCGGAAGTCAAAGTGTAACAATCCAATGGCACATTGGCATTTTTGACATCAAGGTACAGTGTGCGGCAAAAACCGCACAAGTCATACAATCATATTGGTGCAGATCAGAACTTCCACAACTCGTGAGAGAGAAAGGCAGAATCCATTTGGGCGCTTCATGCAGTTTCATATCAGAGCCAACTGTGTTTTGGGCAAACCGCCACAACTCAAATTAGCGCTGCTAATGTGTGATAGCAGCATGAATTTGAGTTGTGACGGTTTGCCCAAACACAGTCATTTAGTCATGAAGAAAACATGATAGGACATGAAGATTTTAAATGGCATATCATTATCACGAGATAGATGGAGAGGAGAAGACAATTTCGAAATAGGACACATACACGTCATAAATTTTTAAAAGTACAAACACGCGGATGAAGACACGGACACAGAGAGCAACCGGTACTCACTCACCTTGCAATCATCGTCGGCATTTTTCAGCTGCTGTCGGATTGCCAGGTCTTTTCTAGCCGTCAGCGCGTGGCCCTTCATGCACTTCAGGATGCTGTCAAAACTCCGGTCAGCTGCACGCTGAAAGTGACTCTGCACCAAAGCGCCACAGCTGGGAGTTTGGGACATCTGCTGAACGTCCAGCTGACTGGCATCGGGGAGTAATGTTCTCACACTGCTCAACAACTCCTCACCAACGAGCTGTAAAGACAAGCCACAGCTCTCAAAAATACTCTTGGCCGTAAACTTCTCCAGGCACTGTTCAGGTGAAACATCCGGGGCTTCTGTCTCTGCTGCCGCAGCTGCCATGGTGGCAAGAGCAGCAGCCTGTTTCTGCTGTTCTTGAGCCAAGACGGACCAGTCAATGTCCTCCACCGAGGCGCCGGTTGTGGGGATGTCATTCTCCGTTGATGCATCTTCGTCCGCCTTCGCAGTATCGTCACCGGCGCAGCTCTCAGCACGAAGGATTTCATTCAAGTCGTCATCATCGCTCATAGCATCCATATCTTCATACAGAGCAGCAGCAGCGCGAACACCAGCATCCTTCCCAACAGTAGCAGCAGCAGCTGCAGCACCGCCGGGCATTGCACCACTATCCAAACCGGTAACTGCAGCTGCCGACGGCAAGATGAGCAGAGATTGAACCCCTGGTGCAGCAGATTTGGGCTGCTCGTCGACAGGACCTGCAGCATGCAATAGCGCAAGGAATTCCTCATCTTCGTCCTCACTGCACCATGATTGGTACAAGGAGTACACGGGATGCTCACCATCATCATCGTTATCACTTCCTTCGCCCATACTTTCTTCACCTTCATGGTCATCGTCGCGAGTCATCTCTGATTCAGCTTGCTGCATGGGGGACCAGGAGCCCTCTGAGAAGTCGTCACCTAGCTCTCTATCAGCGGCCATGCGATCACCTGATGTACCGGCCCTGCTGGACACCAGTTGTCGAACCTCGGTCTGCGTCAACTTCTTCACAAGTACAGCCTTGAGCATGCGCTTGCGGCCAAACGATTCTGAAGAGCTGCTCGGTGCTACACCCATAGGTGCCTCGTTACCTGGTAGGTCATCGTCGCTACCCCCGTCACTGTCGTTATCATCGCTGTCACTGGCGTCATGGTCATCATTGTCACCATCAGTGCCATCGTCTACCTCATCCATCACTTCAAGATCACCTTCTATGCCCTCTGCATCCTCACTGTGCAAGGAATATACACCACCAGCAGCAGCAAGACGCAGGTAGACGAATATGATACATGGTGTGCACGGAAAATATTTCAAACGATAGAGTCCACTATACCTATGACAATAGAGCACTACTCAATCACGATCACAATCGCAGCAGATCTGACAGCACAACAACATACTGATGTAGGAACTTTCCCTTCCCCGGCTGTATATCAAGGATCAACATTGGACATTCTCGCCAGACAAGGCGCTCTGATCGTATGCTACGGTAAAAGGACCGGGGCTCACCAGATAGCAAAGATGCTGCTTCCCCCTCCCCCTCACGCGCGCGCGCGCACACACACACACACACACACACACACACACACGTATAAACACCGGCGGGATGGGCTGGAGCAAACAAATACCACAAAGCAGGCAAGAAATAAAACTTACGTTTCAAAGCCCTCCAGCGGTTGAGCAAATCCCTCACCATCATCACTTTCGCTTTCGCTCAAATCGTAGCCAATATCCTCCATTTCACTGCGCTGTCGGGAACCGCCCTCCTCCTCCTGGCCATCACCATAATTGCTATCTCCTGCTTCTGCTGAACCTGCTAGCTGCCCCGGACCAAAGCCAAGCCTCCGCTCCCTGTCAACATCACTCTCGGCCCCGGATACAGAAACGCCGGCGGTAGCACTGGTTGCAGCAACAGATTCGGCTTGGCTGGGCAAGTCTCTATCCGCACCATCTGCATCCAAATTGATTGGCTCATGACGGTCACCGGTCCTGCTTCGATTACTGCTGCTAGCTGGCGGTAGCAGACGCTCTCCTCTGCCTGCAATCGAACGAGATTCAAGATCAGTGTCTAAGGGCTCATGATGATGCTTGTCCTTGCCAGCTCTACTGCCACCACCGCTGCTGCTGCCACTTCTGCTGTGCTGTTGGTGATGAGACCTTGCTCCTGCAGAATCCGAGCGTGGCGGTCGCGTGGCAGAGGAGCGAGATGAAGACGACTCCCTTGAGTGGCGATCCGGCCGCTTGTCTACCCTACTGCGTTCCTTACCGTGAGCCTGCTGCTGCTGTTGGTGTGGCTGCTGACTTCCAGCTGTTCTGATGCGAGGTGAGGGTGTATCGTGGTGCATGGCACCACTGCCGTGTACAAGCTGATGCCGATCATGCGCCAAGTCAGCATGCGTCTTGCCGTGATGCCTGCTGCTGCTGCTACTGCCAGCAGCAGTGTGGCCGTGATCGTGCAAACGCCGATCACTCCGATCGCCGCCTGACCGGCTCCTGTGGTGCCCTTCTGGTGACCTGGCGTGCTTGGATGACAACTGCTGGCGGTCACGGTCGGAGATCTCGGACACATTGCGGCCTCGATCACGATCGCCATGTTCATGGTGATGTGTGCCCCTGCTCGAGGATGACCGATGTGAAGAAGCTGACTTGTCCGAAGCAGCGGCATGGTGAGAAGAAAGGTCAACGTGGCTGTCATGGCGGCTGCTAGATGATGATGCATGGTGTCGAGAATGCACACCGACACCACCACCACCACCACCACCACTGCTGCCACTACTAGTTGTTGCAGAGCCCGGTGCAGCGTGTGTGTGGCGAGAAGAGTGGGACGAGGATGTGCGCGACGAATGACCCGTGGCAAAGTTAGCGTCGTGAGGGTCAGCAGCGTCACTCGTGCGCGACACACGGCGACCACTGGCATGAGAATGATGGGCTGAGCTGGTACTTGTGCTGCTGCTGCCAGTGTGATGGCTGGAAGACGAACGTACCCGGCTGCTGCTGCTGCTGCCTGCAGACTCTTCAGAATGGTGCGATTTGGTCGAGATTGTCCGCTCAAAGCGCTCGGCTTTATACTGATGGTCAGAGTGTTCTTGATGCTCTCGTTTAGATGGCTTGGCACTGTCCGTACTAAGTCGCTTGCTCGCCGTATCTGCACTGGCACCGCGACCAACATCGGCACCAGCATCACCACGGTCATCATAGCTCGTATGCCGCCTGCGCTTGGCAGCCGGGTACTCATCATGACTTGGCCTGCTGCTGCTGCCGCCGCCGCCCTTGGCCTCCGCAGGGTTTCTCCTGCTGCTGGACTCGGAGCGCTCCAGGGCCTCGTCGCCACCAGGTGCATAGCGCTTACGTTTGTGCGAGGCGGCAGGAGAGTGTCCCCTGGACGATAGCGACCGATGGTGTGTTGCCTCGTCGTTGGATATAGTCCTGGTGGTGGGCTTTTTGTGCCAGGGCGTGTCAACTGCAAAGGCAGACCAGGAAAGCAAAGAAAGCACAGCTATTGTACACGGTCGATGGCGCTTCGCAAAGGAAAGCCACTACGGTAATGATGGCTGCTCCAGCAGCAGAAATAAAGCTACTTTCCTCTGCATACTAGTACATACTAGTACATACTAGTACATACTAGTACATACTAGTACATACTAGTACATACTAGTACATACTAGTACATACTGTGCAAAAAGGTACATGTACATGAACATCGAAGCAGCTTCCAGCTACTGCACAGCTACTGCACAGCTACTGCACAGCTACTGCAAGAGTTGAATCTCAAACGCGTGCTTTGTTGTACGACGTGCGTCATCCGCTCTAAAAAAAAGGGTGACGTCAGCAACAAATTCCGCTGTGAACCAGACCAGCTACAGAAGTGCATACTCTTGTTTATGTACTCTTGGACACACCACTGTGTTTAGGCACAACAACCAGCAATCACTCACCAGACGACGACGAAGGAGCATCGATGTTGATCATTCGATCCTTGCTACCATGGGCATCAGAGGAGGACGAGGAAGAGTAGGTTCCCTTCTTCTCGGGGTGAGCATTCTTGCAGTTGCTGCCATATGGACAGTCGCCGGTCTTTTCCCACATGCGACATGGCTCTAGATCTGGCACAGACACAACCGATGGCTTCCGACGAGTCGGGGATGCATGGCGCACCTTGCGCTGCACGTGACAAAAAAAACATTTAGCAAAGGACCAAGATTGGTTTATCTCCAGAGGTCAGTTATTGCAGGGCTTGAAGAAAACAAGATACAGACATACAAGTCAATAGAATCAGCTTCAACAAAGCCGCAAGCAAAACAAGTGGGCTTTAAATAGAACAGTCATGGTCGATGCATTGCTGTCTCTGCGGATGAAGAGCTACACAGCATACACACATTTTTTTAGGAGCACTGTGGGAAAACTACGAACCCAACTACAATGTATGATCAAGTCTCAGCAAGTCGATCAGGCAAGATGCAGCACATGCTAACTAGTATCTGAGACGTACATACCGCCCATATAAATGGCAATAATACAACCCCTTATGCACGCCACCAGTCCTCTAAATCTACTATTTGTACGCAGAATACATTATGAACAAGCACAATGAATTACTTGGTTTAAACAGCAGAGATGCGATAGAAACGGCGAGAAGAAGAGTTGCCAGAAACAACACCGGTCAAATGCATAACATTATACACATAGAAGGCATGACAAAAGGCACGAGCTTTATCCGTTGGTTGTCCATTATTGACAACCAACGGATAAAGGGATTGTAGGCTTTGTAACAATAGATTGCACGCTAGTTTGGTGTCTTCATGCTTGCACCTTTAGGGGTCGTCGCAAAAGTGTTGTGTCATCTCTGAAACGAACATCAATCATTGGGGAGGGGGGGGGGGGGGGGGGGGGGAGGGCGAGCCAAAATCACAAGTGGACCGATACTGTACATATGTACAATGCATGCGATTTTCGTCGTCCGGCATAGGGGTCCGAGTACGAAATGAACGACGTTCCTTTCAGGGACAAAAAAACTTTTGCGACGACCCCTTAGTCATTCCTTCTAAGTAACGTGTATGACGTTATGCCTTTTACCGTGTTGTTTCTGGCTACTCTTCTTAACGCTGTTTCTCTCACAATACATGACGTGAAATTTTGCCATAAGCCACCTAGGTGAACACAGCATCATTTACTTATTCCAAACAAGACATGGCTTGGAACGGCTAATGACATCTTCATATGGCAATTGTGCATTTTTATAGATCACTACGGCTAGGAAAAAGTGGGAATATCTCCCGGCATTTTTTTTAAGAAAAGAAAGACGGGGAGAGGTCATGTTTACACTTTGCATGCTATAGCACTTCTAGGACGTGTACATCATAGCTGTTGATAATGATTATGTGTAGGGTTCTCCTTTGATCAGGAGTAAGTGCATTTCTCCAAATGATAAGCGGCATACACGTTGTGTGCGTGTGTGTGACCAATACAGCACTGCATGCACCAAAGCCATATTGGCAACATTAATCTTAGACCCAGTGTAGTAGGTGATGACCATATTTCCCACGTGACGTATATTATAACTAAGAATGTGCAACTCAAGCCCCTGCTGCCCCGACAGAATTTCAAGTTGACGCCATTTTTATGATACAATGCGCATCGTACAAGTATTATCACAAGTATCCTGGGCCTGTGGTGGACGAATCCCCATTTGATCCTGTACAAACTAGTGCAAGGAAACATGTGTGATGCGCTGACACCCAGTACAAACGTCGTAAATCACTCGTGCGAGGAGCATTGCATCATAAAAATGAAATCAACTTGAAACTCTGTCAGGACTGCATGGCATGCTTGAGTTGCACATTTGTCTGTCCGCAGATTGAGTATTGGGGCTATGTACTCTTGATACTACAGCATGCTCAACAGCAGTTCGTGGAACTAGTTACCTCGCATGCAAACACATGCAGTGGCTCCAATTTGTACAATGCTATGCAATCAGGTAAACATAAAACCCATCAAAATTTCAATATTGCTTGAACTCGCCATGAGCTGCATCAAGGAAATACCTTCCAGCTTTAACACTGATATAACAATTTCGTCTCGGTGTGTAATTTGAAGCCCATATCATGAAAGGAGGTAATCGAACAAAATAACTAAAAATTAATATGTGCGAGTGACAACAAAAATTCTGCGAAGATTTCCCAGTAAAAACATACCGATGAGTCACCACTGCGCTCTGATCCTAGTCTGGAAAATACCGTTCCCTTAGGGGGCTTATTCGCCTCGATGATAGTATTCCCACCATGGAGAGTTACTTTTCTTCTGCCAGACATGGAAAATTCGTTCAATCTCAAGTTCAAATCACTCTCATGAAGCTAGTTGTTCAGTACCACTGAGCACAAGCAAACCTACAGGCTAAGAGAAGCATTATTGAAATTCAACAGAAGACATTGGATGATGAAGAGCTTTCTCTGGCTGTAGCTCTAAAGACAAGCAACTTTGCAGTTGGATTGGCTTTGAAATTGATTGTCGAAATGATCGCTAGCTCAGCAGCAGGAGTAAAAAGTTTCAAAAAAAAACTTTCCCAGATCCCGGGACCGGGATATGACGGGCTTTCACGACTCCCGCGATCGATCCCCGGTTGTACTAGTATTTTGATACAGTACGAGTACAGTCGACTACAATTGTAGTCATGTACTCAGTACTATTGTACATAGACTTGCAATAATCAGATAATTGGTGTTGTGAATAAACCCGTTCTCACTCAGTAGACTTGTAGTGTCAGTACAATGTGCGAGCTTGGGGATAATATGCTGTATGTACTGTGTTGAATTTTTAGAGTCGTACAAACAAAATATAACAGGCGAAGCTGCCTTCTGAGTCCTGACATCTACCTGTGCCTGCGGTACTATACTACTCCACACTCCCGTCTTGGTTGTAGTACCAATGCAGTTTGGGGTGCCGATCATTACATCCTTGTTTGCCTTTCAAAGATTTATTTTAAAGTAAGTATCATCCAGATATCCCAAAGCAAGAGTTCATAACTCTTGCCAAAAGTAAGATATTAAATGCAGTTTAGTAGTTGAGTTACCTTTTATTGTATTGCCATAGCGACCAAACATAAATCTTCAATTGATGACTTGGGTCTTGCTGAATGAGCTGAGCCTGAGGGCAAGAGTACATGAAACCTGGGTTTCGATGTACAGTCAGACCTCGCTTAACCGCACACATCTGTTTTCCACAAAAACATCCGGATAGGCGAGGTAACCGGATACCGTATATTCTCTATTATAAGCACAGGTCTCCATTACTAGCACGGTCTCTAATACTAGCACACTGTGAGCACCTTTCGAAACATTATAAGCACAGTCTCTATTATTAGCACGGTCCTGTTGGAAATCAATGCGGCATGCATGATATCTAGCATGCATTTCTTCTTGCTCTGTATGGATGTATTGGTTGAAAAAATATAAGCACAGTCTCCAATATAAGCGCGGTCTCCAATATAAGCACGGGGTAGAGGGGTGTTGAAAAAATATAAGCACGGCGCTTATAATAGAGAATATACGGTAACTGAACACACATACTGTATATGCATGTGGTATGTCAAAAGCAGTGACATCATACATACATGTAGACAGGTCCTATGCAGTACAACTAGCGTGCCCAGTATGTAAAACAAGCGAGAAAAATGACAAGTGCATGCAACTGAGTGCTGTCCGCGCACACCCAGCAGGTCAAGGACCTCATTTGCTTGTACAACTCCTTGATACTAGCTTCTGCAAGCGCTAGCCAGCCACATGCAACCGGATACGACGAAGCATTTTGTACACATTTTAACCAGTTTGTACACAAAATCATGCACCGGTATGTGGATCGCGAGGTCCGGTTATGTTGTATGCATAACATATGCTGCACATCGGTAACCAGCGATTTTCTTCCGGATGGCGAGGGATCCGGATAAATGAAGACCGGATAAACGAGGTCTGACTGTACTCTTGGCTGAGGGCGTACAACTGTTACAATATATATACCGTATTGTCTCTAATATAAGCACAGTCTCCAATAATAGAACACCTTGGGACGGCATTCAAAAAATAAAGTGCTCAGTCTCCATTATAAGCACACTGTGTAAATTCATTATCTGTACCGGCGAAAAAACCCTGAAATGTGTGTGTCTGACATGAATTTGGCATGACAATATGCCTCTGAAATGAGGTTGAAATAATAATGGAACAGTCTCCAATCTCCATTAATAGCACGGGGCGGAGGTACATTGAAAAAATAAAGGACCATGCTTATATTAGAGATAATACGGTAGTGTTACCAAGAGTACATAACCCCCGGGGGTTATGTACTCTTGCTGTTACCAAGAGTACATATCCTCCCATTGGGGTTATGTACTCTACTCTTGCTGTTACAAGTACTTTATACTTCTCTCTGAGCTAGCTGGTGGTTATTTCAACCCAGAACTAACCAGGGATATCTGTTGTGGTTCTGCTCCGAGCTACAGATGCTTTCATATACATGTACCGCATATAGCATTTAGTTTTACCGTCACGGAAACCTCGCACTAGCGGCCATGTTTGATACTAAGTCTTATCAAAGTAGCTCTCAGCATTACCAAACAGCTATGTGTCTTCAGGTAGAGATCCGGCAAGGTTGCCGTGACAAAGAGTTTAAACATTGTATGGCAGGTTTTTTTACATCCAGACTGGGGAATGGCTTATTTGTTCATAAGCTAATGGCACCGAAATCTAATATCCGCCCGGTCAACGGTTTTTAACTTTTATGTGCCGGTGGTAGTACATGCACACACTGCAAGTCCGGCCTGTGAACATCTCCGCGATCCACTTAATGGCCGCACTGCTGGGTCCTTCACATGTACACTGCTGCTCAATGAAATCCGATAGCGTGAACCAAGTGTGCGCCCTGAGCCAGTTCACAATCCAGCATTTACAAGTCTAGTGGTACACAGCGCCTGGTGTGGCATTGGCTCGTTTGGTCGGATTTCATTCAAGCGGAGCATGACTGTGCCATGCCCACAACATAGGCACATTGTTGTGTATGCAAGTTAGTCATAATATATCTACTACACCGTTTGCTACTGTATTGCGCATGCTCGCATATTGTTGCTTTACCTGACCAAGAGTAATGTCTTCCAAATGCTAGTGTTTGTGAGTGCCAGTGAGAATGCATGAATGTAATGGTGTGTTAGTCCGCAAGGGGACATAACACACATGCTCACAGATACCCCCCTCTCTCTCTCTCTCCGTTGGCCTCAATTCCTTGGGTGTTCGTAATTGCCAGGTTCAATGTAGTAATGCCCACTAATGGTAGCTGCTTCACTCAATAAAATGACTCCCGGTATGTAGATCTACAAAGTTCTGGGCCTGCACATACATGCACTTACATGACATTGTACATGTAGCACCGGCCGCTAGCACTAGTGACATGCACACACACCGTGATACACACACACACACACACACACACACACACACACACACACACACACACACACACACACACACACACACACACACACACACACACACACACACACCGGCATTCACGGCTTCTAAAGCAACAGCGATGGTCCACTGAGGAACTGAGGAGAGTTTTAATTAACTGTAGTGAATAATAAATACTACGCATGAGGCTAAAATGAGTACCGTGAACGGTGCAGCGCTAGCCTGCGACTCTGGTATTGATACTAGTTCATTTGATTATATAATTATGACCGATAAATGATGGACTAAAACGATCCAGGTAGGGAATAGTGTGCTTTGATACGGACATTTATGCTTTGATGTGTTCTGCATGAGCTTGTGTGCATCGCCAAGGTGGATGGGCTATCAGGCAAAACATTCCAGAGTATATCTAATTACAGCTCAACTTCATCAAGCAGCGTCATGTCAGCCTGACAAGACTGAAATAATGCTGAGGAGAGTTTAAACAGGGATTACAAAAAAAACTCAAGTCATGCCTGGTCATAAAAACGGAAAAAATCTTCAAAACTGATACAAGTACAAGACCAGTGCCACTCAATGAAGTCTGTCTTCGTGAGCGAGTTACGGGTGCGGGCCAAGCTGTATAGCCTTTAGACAAGCGAGCATTGGGTAAGGTGCCGCTGCTGATTGCCGATTTGTTCTTCAGTCCAGATTTCATTGGCTGTCACTTTAGGCAAGCATCACTGAAACAGATATAGTACTGAGGTACGCATCACTGGGCTGGTCTCTTCGAGACTGGGCTGGCCCCTTGGCTGCAGTGACTGCGCTGCAGGTAGCAGCATTATGGCGACACGTACTGGATATGGATTTCAATGCAGAGCTATTGGATAGAGACCGGCACGGTGGAATACCAGTCAACTGCACTGGCTACAGCGCTATTCGTGTAGTCTGCAGGTAACACTATACCAGTACAGTGTCAGCTCACACGCAAACACACATACGCGCACATTCAAACATGCATGCACACACTGCATCAACTGCAGTGCAAGACCCGGAGCAGCTACATAACAGTGACATGGGACACCATCCTAGCATGAACACATGTGATGTGTTTCGGTGGACATGGATTCACGCGACTCTTTGAGTTGACAGCGGACCTGGTTTGCAAATGCATAGCATAGCACATCTACTGGAGGTCACTGACCGTAGGCTTTTAGGGGACATTTAGGCAGTCAACCATCGCTCTCACCGCCCTCGTCGTCACCATCATCGTCGTCGTCGTCGTCGTCGTCATCCTCCTCCTCATCATCATCATCCTCCTCAACATCAACATCGCTACCTTCGCTCTTGATCGTGCGGCGTGAAGTACTGGTGCCGGTTACATTCCTATGAGGTGAACAGTGTGATACGGCCACTGTTGAAGAAGCCCTATTCAGCTGTAGCTCCGGAACATGGCACACCTCCATCATACTTGCATCCATCGGGATACCCTTGGCTTGCAGCTGAGAACTCATCGCATGGATCTGACCAACTGGAGGGAAGCAGCCAAACGAGAACACGAACAATGTAAGACTCAACGTTTGAACTACAACCGCACACACACCTGTGCACCCTACATGTACTTGATTGGTTGGGGTGAATATTTACCAGTACCCGGCAGTGACATAATCATACAGGACCAGGCTGTAAAGGTTGGCTTCATTGCTTTCTTCACTTCAATGATGGGCAATCACATAACGCTGCAAACTGTAGCGGGTGACTAGTGGAGTGGGTGCCTTCGCTACACATTGTACAAATAGCGACTCAGCTTACCAATTGCTTCATGAGCATTCCTCAAGCTTGCATTTTCCTGCCGTAAGGTGTCGTTTTCATCATCAACTGCCTTTAGCCGCTCTAGCGTGAGCTGGAGCACGCCGGACTTCTGGATCTGAGCAGCAAGACAATAACACAACAATTCAGCGGGCTCAGTGCTGGCCCCTGGCAAGTGAGCAGAATGCTACGGTCTTGATACAACCGGTTCCTAGTCAGGGAAACAGGAAAATGTATGTAGTGCATGTATCCGGCTGGGACACTTTGTACTCAGGGTTTGCTTCACGAACCGAGCTCATCCGCATTGTACAGTATGTCAGACGGCTCAAAATCATTGCTTGAGTAGTTAGCATGCAGGGGATAATTAATTATGATTGGGGGGGGGGGGGGGGGAGGGGGGGGGGGATACACGGGGATCACCTGTATCTGGGGCATAACTTGCAGACAGGGATCACCTGTATACGGGGATCACATGTACCCAGGGGATCACCTGTACACGGGTACTTCCAGGGTCTCTTGAGCAGTCGGCTTGAAGTAGACCGACAGGCTTACTGTACCTTTGTGTCTTTTCCTGCCACACGTTTTCTCAGCTCCTTGATTTTGTCATTGATACTCAAACGATAGCGTGCTTCTATCACATTGTGAGACGGGTTCCTTTTTGTCTTGCCTTTGCGCTGCATGTCCAGACAGAAAAAGGGTGTGCATATACATTACAACCATACACCACTATGATTTGACCACTTGACGCCCATCGCCGGAGGCGATGATAGCGATGCTACAGCAGAAGCCGTAGCAACTTGTGCTGGGATTGCACCACTGAACAGCTTGCAAGGCTGAAGAATTGACCGCCACTATTCCGCCTGGTCTACACCACACAGCTAGCTATGAAGTGGCTCAGTTTTTTGGCCAGTGAATCCCTACCGTCTTTCACTGGCCAACCATGCACACATACACACACAGCGATCGTATTTAGTAGAGTGAAACTGCAACACAACATTCCTCCCTGGGACAAATAATGTTACAACCCGGCAATACTGTGTAGCCAAGCAACTGCTGCATCCATCCAAGAATCAAATGCCGAAAAATGACTGCAACAGGATAGGCCCCAGGGACCTAAAAAAATGTACTTTTAACACATAAATGCAAATAGAAAAATATGTCAGTATATCCAGGTTACTTTATACTCGACTGTTTCGCTGTACTCTGAATCACAGTGGTCACGGGTAAAGTACAGGACAGTGTACACCTGACATGGGGCCCGGTAACAATGGAGTTTATTATCTCTGTTGTCGGTGCGCGATTCCCCCCCCCCCCCCCGTTCCAATTTGCTGCTCTCATTTACCCTTTAATGATAGCTTGCATAGACCTCGGTCCTACCGGTAGGACCATCATACACAGACATGCTGCATGGCCTCTGTTCTAACATTGACCTAAAACTTGACCCTAAACTGTTGCTCAGGGGCTAATGAAGAAGTCCACACATTTTAGACGTGATCGCACAAGGCATACTACGAAATTCCATGGTAACAGCCCATGGTAACCATGGAAACGGTGTATGGAATTATGCATTCCACTGCCTTGGCAGACTAATAAAAACATTAGTACCTCACCACGATTGATGTGCCATGGTCAATATTCACTTTGGACAGAGTTGCTAGCGCTCCGACAGGAGTATGTGCGGCCATTTTGACAATTGATAAAATTGCGCGTATGCAATGCACTGGACATAGCCTTGCATTTTGCGCCATTACTTTGCCTGACAAAGACCTCATCTAAACAATTGTTTCAAGAAATTTCTCAACCGAAAGCACTTTTGCAGCGAGATTTCTTGGGTCCTACCGGTAGGACCCGTGGTCCTACCGGTAGGACGGCATGCAAGCTATCATTAATAATACTGCCAGCTTCGATGCTTTAGCACAGCTCACTACTGGTTTGCTGTTGCTGCTGTCCTAGCCTCTACTCTTACCCTTACTCTTTTCACTACTGTAAAACCGGAAAGTCTAACGAGTCACAAACGTTTTAACGACCAATTTTTTCGTTATTTGAAGAAACGTTATCGCGAACCTGGTTTGAGATGCATGTGTAAAGATGTGCATACATGATTGTACACACGAAGTCATGACAGATGGGTGGCCAGGTAGCCATCGTTAAACTTTCTGCACGTTATCATACCAAAATTACAAAAACGTTAAACTTTTTGGTCGTTAAGCTTTCCGGTTTTACAGTATACTAGAGCTTGCTTTTCTTTGGCTCTTCAGAGAGAGGCTGAATTGAGACGAGTGAGTGACTGTTACATCTTTTCCACACTGCTGTTATCCGACTTGATCCGACCTGAAGGTTCCGCAAGTCTTGACTTCTTGGTACCCTGGGTTGGCATTTACGCTTGGGTTTCCAGGCGAGCACATATACTTCGTGCAAACGAGTTTCGGGGTAACTAACACGCCAGGGCGATCAGCCAGACACAACACTAGGTGCTGTGACCAGGATTATTCTTGGTCTCAAAAGTCAGTAGTTATGCTCGCAGTATTCTCTCTCTCTCTCTCTCTCTCTCTCTCTCTCTCTCTCTCTCTCTCTCTCTCTCTCTCTCTCTCTCTCTCTCTCTCTCTCTCTCTCTCTCTCTCTCCCTCGCTCAATACAGCAATGACACAATTTATTACACAGCCGCACACACACACTCACTCTTTTAGAGATCTTCTCCGCAGCCGTCAAGGAACTGGCACACGCAGCCGCTGACCGACTCAGCTTGGCAGGTCCTGGCTTGCTGCGTGACGGTAGTCGGGCGGGTTCCACCTCCTGCTGGGCACTCGCAGCGGTCGGCTCCTGCTCCGTGGCTTCCGCCACCGAAGCCATGGATACAGGCGTTGACGGGCGACGTGCTGGTGGCTGGGTCAACGCACTTTTCACCGTAGATGCAGAAGGTGTTAATTGCGGGATTTGCAGTGGTTGCAGCGGCGGTGGGTTACTGGCTATAGCGACTGGCGCCACGGTCTCCGTGTTGCTGGCCGGCTGACTGGCAAGTTTCTCTAGCTTGATGATCAGGTCGTTTCCTAGTGGCTGTGCTGCCTGTATGAAGGGTTGCATGGCAGTGGCTGGCTGTGCTATGGGCTGTACGCAGCAAAGCAAAGCACAATCACACACACACACACACACACACACACACACACACACACACACACACACACACACACACACACAGACGCACACACCATTCCAATTGCACTCCCAGTAGGCTTATTGACGTTATTGTAAACAACTGCTGTACAAAATCGGTGAGGCCAGTACATGTTGGAGTATGTACTAGCATAAGTCGAGTTTGCTGATAACATTATCGCCTTACTGCTCGCTATGTAAGCACACTGTGTCACTCTCCTCAGGGCATGTACTGAGTCCGTAGGCGTAGTTCACTGAGTTCAACAAGTTCTGCAACTTTGAGTTCGTGGAACTATGAGACTTGCTTATACAGTCTTCAAACGGATCTAAACCGCTGCGTTGCTAGACGAGGATTGAATTAGCGCACTGGCTGGACTTCGAAGTAAAACCTGTGTTCGCAACCCTTACGAGACAAGTCGTTTTAGGACCGGCCCAACCCTGTGTTTCTACATACAAGCTCATACATTTGAAACTAAGCAAAGCTTGCTGTGTTTTCTCGCAGTTAGAGTGTGCAACATCTGATGCTTTGAGCTGATTTAGCCTTGCAGACTCATGCTTTTTTCACTGTCCACTAGACGTCATTGTGATCAGTTCGGCCAATCATTCCGAGCTCCACCTATGCAAAGCTTGCTGCGCTTCTTGCAGTTAGAGCACTCTCACGTGTGATGCCCTGAGCTGAGCCGGAGGTGATCTATAAATGCATGTATTTCGTTATTCACTAGACTTAGTGATTGCGATCATTTTGGCCAGTCACTACAAGCTCCGTTGATGAGACCTAACAAGGTCAGAATAGCTAGGCTGTCCGTTGATTACGGTAGATCTAAACCTGCACGTGTGTAGAATGGACCAGCCGTATGGTGTGCACCCAGTGATTAGGCGGTCAACTGTACCGATATGAGAGCAACCCTGTAGACGGCTGGGGCCCCAAGAAATCCTACAGAGAGTAAGACTGCACGTTGGGCCTGCCCCCAGATACCGTAAAAGCACTACTGACCTGGAGCAGAGCCATGTTTGGCGGGAAGGCTGCACCAAGCGGATGGCCGGCGTACGGATTGAGCGACAGCGGTGCGCCACCGGATGCCACCGACACGAGGGGTGCCAGAATAGCAGGAGGCACGCTCGTAGCACTGGACGCAGCGACGGGCGGTGCGGCCATATGCAGCAGCGGGAACGGCAGCTGGTTAGTTGCAACACGTGGCATAGCCGCCGGCGCCGCCTGCAGGGTCAGGGGACGGTGCTGGTGTATCTGCTGCGCGAGCTGCTGCAGCTGCTGCTGAGGCTGCAGTTGTTGCTGCTGCTGCTGCTGTTGCAGTTGCTGCAGTTGCTGCTGCTGTTGTATCTGTTGTGATTGGTGTTGCTGGCTGCTTTGCTCCATTGTTTGGCGGTGCTGCAGCTGCGAAAGAAGACTCTGTAATGTATTGTACGCAGCTGGGTCCTGCACTGACAGCTGATTACTAGAGCCAGTAGACGACGCCATAGCCATTGTTGATTGACCACCGCCCGCCTGGCTGCAACTAGCAGTTCCTTGAATTAGCGGAGACGACTGGCCTTCATTGCTGAGAATGCCAGAGCTGGAGAGGGTGCCTAGGTCAACACCGTGGGCATACGTGCTTGAATCCGATGACTGCACATGCCCACCGTGGCCGCCACTGCTTGCTCCAGAGCTGCTCGCAGCATCTTGACTGCCCTGGGCCAGTAACGTCGCCACCGTAACCAGCTTGTCGAGCTCCGACGGCTGAGGCTGTGTAACTCGTGCTACATTTCAACACACATACACACACACACACACACACATGCATGCAAGTACATAGTCATGCACAGGTATGCACGGCACACACACACGTACGTACGCATGCACACACACACACACATTATAAATATTTCATTATAGTACTACAGTATCTACAGCGCAATGTACTTCTAAGCAACGTCACCGAAATGCTTCTAATGAAGCTAAATCCCTCTCTAACAAAGCATTGGACAAACAAAGCCAGGTACAAACAAATGGCAAACGTTTCTGGCAAGGACAAGTCCTCACTTATATCTTAGAATAGAATGCTGCGGCCACGGCACGAACGCTGATCTACATGTACTCATTAGCAGCTATCACTCTGCTTCAAGTTCATGCAAACTCAGCTCCAAACCAGAGCATCATCCCTGCATGCCGCATACACCCTGGCCAACGGCTGTTGCACTAGCCGCCAAGGAAATCCACCCTCTGTGGGCTGAAATTCCAGACATTCATTACAGTACAAACAAGTGATCACTAGGACGTGATTGACGGTTTGCCTCCAAGGGAGGGGGGGGGGGGGGGGTTATGCAGCAGCATGGTTTATACAACAGGGAAAATGCGTACAACAAAGTTACAGTTCTGAAAGTGCATGTGCGAGGATGTCTCCACCAAATCAAGGAACTCGTATTCGACTAGCTTGCTATAAGTACATGGCTTGATTGTAGCAAGAGTCCATAACCACAAGATGAAGTCATCTCTGTACATGACACTGTCATCTGGTGTGATGCGCACCGACATCACGGAACCACGAACCGGGGAATCGGCTACATGGACCCGCGTTACATCATTACCGATCTCCTAAGGCGTCCAGTTTACAAACATATACATGTACGTCTTTCTCGGAGACTTCGGGAGATTTTAAATGCGTGCGTATGTGTGTGTGTGGGGGGGGGGGGGGGGTGTGCGCGCACACGTGCATGCGTGTGCGTGTTGTCTTCGAATTTGTATTTACCGCATTGTGCGTTGCAATCACTGTGCCTAAGCAGTAGCAAAGTTCTTAGTACACACTGTACAGTCAGCTTGGGCATCATTTCACCAGGATGTATTCGAGATTTCGAGGTAATGTGGAGTCAGTGGCCCCATACGGCATACCTCACAGAGATCAGAGTCACATGTGGGGTACAGGCCTGGGGCCATGCATGTAAATCACAGTGAGTAGTAACAGGTTGCTCCTGATCCACTCATCTCATTCAGCAGATCTACCAGGTGTTCAGCATGCACCGCTAGCGCTGGAGTACCTGTTCTGGGGCCATCGTGTCCGGATTACGATTCATTTTTTAATCATCATGATGCAATTACAGCGTATGTACGTCTGCAAAGTGGTTATGCGTGCAACAACGTTCTCCTAAGCCCTTTGCAAAAGAAGGAATGAGTAGAAAACTATGCTAGCACTAGGGTATTTACTTTGATCTGCTCTGCCGAGCGCCAGAGTCAGGAGATCCAATAGAGATTTCGTCGTCATTTTAGTCGGCCTCGAGTTCGGAATCGCAGCGTTCAACGATCGCGTCGCTCCACCACTTACTGCCGTTCTAGTAGCGAATGTGGGGGATACGAGCGGCTACTTATCGTGCGCGGTGCGTGCACAGAACGCAGCCTTGCTCTTGCATCGTTGCGTCTCTCGAGATTGAGCCTCTACTGCTCTAGATCTAGTCTACCAGCACACGCCTCCACTGGGCCAGGACTGTTAGGAGGTAGATTCACGACTTCTTCATTTCAGTCCGCGAGAACAACGCCATTCTTGATCTCGATGCCTCACTATGAAGATGTGCACGGGCACCTCGCATGAACACTAATACTTCTTATGTTGCTTTCGTGCCAGTTCACATAGCTAGCCTAGCCCCACCTTCTATCTCTCGCGGTTTTACGTAGCTCGCTTGACCTTCGGGGGCTCGAGCTTACTGCACAAATAATTATACTGCAATGCAATCGAGTTGGCAAGTCACACTACACTCTACGCTACAACACACAAGCACGCTAGCAGGTGATGAAAGATTTGGTCAGGGAGTATCAAAACGACATGACATTACGGACAGTTTTGTCAGAAAACTACAGAAACAGCATACTGGTATAATTATGAAGTCTAGTCGACATGAAAATCTTCATTGAAAGCGCCCCACCAGAAGGCATCGCGCCATATGCACCCGCCAGATATATGGCGCATGGCGGGTGCACGGTGCAGATGAATATGGCCTCACCATTTCTTGGCTGCTGCTCCATGATTGCAACACAAGTGCGAGCCGCATGGGTACACTGCCTGCACTGATGTGTGCACTGAATACACGCCGACGATACGCAACTCTGGCTGCGCAGCTCACTCTCGACTCCAGCGGAGCTATAAATCTAGGCGGCGCAAGCACCTGGTTGGCAAACGGTTCACTCGGAGAGAGCTCTACCCACGAACGAGACGTCCCGTCGTTCCCTTCTTCCTTCGTTCTAACATTGTGGCTGCAAGCACAGCGGACTGCTTGCGAGCTCCGTCCATTCACCATCACTCGCTGGCTGATGCCATGGTCGAGTGAAACATTTTTTTCTGCCGCGTGGGCTTGCGTTGGCCATCATTTCAACACCCTGACTCAGCTAGCGCTATCTAGCAATACTATAGCATGCAGCCAGTTGGCACCATACCAAGCTACATCCATGATCCAGGCTAAGCTCTGAGTGCTGACAGTGCTGTGTGCATGTGGTGCAGTGGGCAGCTGTAGTGTAGTGTAGTGTAGAGTGTATGTAGATGCTGTCCTAGTGCATGGCGCGCGTGCGCTGTGGCACAAAAACAGTCAGCGCCAAATTGCAAACCAGGCATGGCAGAGCACTACTGTACCAGGTGACTGACGCTCGTACTGGCTGTCGTAGTGCTGCGATGAGTCAGGGAGTGCGAATGAAAGACTCAAAAGAGTCTAGTTGTCTGTTGACTGCCATTGCCAAGTGCCACTGCCATGTGCAGAGTCAGTCCTGATCACGGCTGATGTCAATTATTCCACTGCACATACATGTAACAAGTAACAATAGTAACACAGTAATAACATGCATGCCAAGGCGCGAGAGTGGTCGATCGACGGACGTCGGTCGCTAGTTGCGCACTGGTTACAGGTATCTTGCAGGGATAAGCATAGCCATACTTCTATTATTAGTAGACACAACGACGGTTACGTGTCGTGACAACTAAAAAGTAAAAGACCATACACGCATACTCCACAGCCATAATGATAGGCATACGCATAGGACAAAGACTATTTTAATAAAAGTCATTGAGTAATGAGTGTGACCCCTACCCTTAGTTACCATGCTTACTGGTACCATGGTCCTAGCTAGGTGCTACTATTAATAATTTTAATATTAGTAATAATTATTTTGTCATGTAGTCTACTCTTTATTTTCCACTTCTTTGTACTAGCACAGCCAGTGTCAGTAGAAGTACCCTGAGTACGAGTACTGCCAGTAGCACCTGCTGCATAACTTATACCGTACTGGCAATATGGTCGCAGTGAGGCCATGAAGCGTTACATTGGCACATGTTTACCGCACGCAGGGCGTTACATGCAAAGTCGCACAGGAGCCGTTACACAGGTTTCTATATTGCCGCAGTCCTTTTTTTGCTATTGCCGCATCACTTTTTTGCTATTGCCGCATCATTTTTTGCAAACTGCAATGAAAAGATCGCCGCACCCCGCCGGACGCGCGTTACGAACGCAACGAAAATTTGTCGCACTAGCCTGGTCGCGCGTTACGCCGCACCCCCCTGCGTTACGCGTTACGCGGCAACATCCTTGCTACCAGCACCAATACAATGGTATTACCATTACTGGCATTAGTATTACCATTGGTACCTACATGACTAAGAAGAAGCCTTGCTTCAAGTAAGTTGCTTGGTATTATGCATGCCACCTGCAGTCCTGCACCTGCGGCAGTGTGACGACACGTGACCCCACGTGATCGGAAGTGTCGTCGGGTTGAAAGAGAGATGAGAGAGAGACTCAGACTGAGAGAGCTAGAGTTGAGGTCAGAAAGAAACGGAGTTGGTCTTTCGGTGACAACGAATGCTAATCATGGGATGTCCGCTTTCTTATTTCAGTCAAACTGTTTTTTCTATATTGGACATTCGACGAAGATGTTGTAGCGCCTTCGGCAATACTTGTTGCTTCCTACTTGGGAGCTCGCGATTTTCCTACCGACTGGATCTCACTTTACTGACTCACGACTGCCATCCGGAGAATTCCAGATAACACGAGAAGTCCATCGAACCTTCCTCTCCGCAAACTTGCAAGAATCGCCATAAGTCGCTTCCTCTTTTTCGCACTGTTGTCCCCAGCGTGGGCTTGCGACTACTACTAGACTACTAAGTAACTACAAGAAGCCTTGCTTGGTAGTTTATCATGTTTTTCGATTTTGACAGCATGTTACAAGGCGAGGACGCGTAGTGCTCCTGACTACAATTGTTGGCAGAGGCAGCAACGCGACAACGTGAGCAATACTGCGGCGGCAACACGACGAGATCTACAACACAAAAAAAGAAAATTTTCTGAATCCCACCAACCCCTAGAGTAACGAGGGTCCGAACCTGGGTTTTCCCAATACGGTTCAAATGGTCGCAAAACCGGGACTCTGCCAACCGGGTTATGGTAGTTGGCGCTTTTGATGCTCTTGCTGATGCGGAAGCTTGGACGGTTTTCAGGAGGATTGTTCATGGTACGTTGCTTTTTATTCTTCGCTGTGTTGAGTTGTGTTGTGTTGTGCGCTTCAGACCCTATTGCAGTGCTCTTGGAACTTGCCAGGCTTGTGTTTGTGTAAAGAACAACAGAAAATGTACTAACTGTGTGCCAAGTGCAGGAATCTCTCCACTGCAATTGCAGTCTGTCATTCGGTTTCCTCCAGCCAGCCAGTCACTCATCCGGGTATCTCACAGACGCCAGTAGGTGATGTGCAGCTGCCATCGAGTTGTCCTCCACTGCAAGGGACTGCAGCTGGGTCAACGCCAGGAAGCAGACCGCTGGATGGATCCTACAACAGTGATGTCAATTTGTTGGCAACATTGGACCAGTCCCAGCCACCATCATCGGATAGCCGACCGCAAGGACATCGATCAGTCGTTACATCTCAAGCACAGGATGCGGAATCACCCCCCACAACAAACACACCGCTGGTTGAGGATGTAACCTCTGAAGTTATTCGCCAGATTAACACCGCGTACGAAGTCGTCGTGAAGTGGAGGCGGAACCTTTTCATGATCCCATTTGGCTCGGCAGGGCAGAAGTTCACTGAATTGTTGGCGAAATACATTCAGAACTTTGCGGATGGCTCTCCACTTCGGTGCATAGCGTGGAAGGCAGTCTGCGTCGCTTCTGCAGAAGACGCGCAACTCCAAGATCATGACGGATCAGTCAGCTCATCTTCTTCGGCGGTTAGAGCTCTGGAAGGACAGCAAGATCGTGGATCTTGTGTCGGAGGGTGCATGCATTCAGAATCATTTACCGCCGATGCATACGTCTCGTTCCAATGAGGAGTCCGACAAGAGTGATGTGTTCTCTTATCTAGTGTTTGGCGGTAAAATCCATTCAGCAATTTGGTATCTATCTCCAGAGTCAGCCGATGGTGTCTTGCACTTAGATGACCCGGTGGACGAATCTTCTACAAGAACAGTTAGAGATGTGTTGATATCAAAGCACCCCACACCCGTTGACCCTCCGGAATCCATCCTACTGGAGGGCGATGCAGCAATAGTCAACCCTATCTTATTCCAGAGGATATCGCCCGAGCTGATTCGCAAGATGTCTTGACAGATGAAGGGTTCGTCTGGCCCATCCGGTGTTGATGCAGATGGGTGGTGCAGAATGCTCACCAGTTACAAAGCTGCATCTGATCACCTCTGTCGCGGCGCTCGCAGCGCAGTGCTTGTGTACAGAGGCAATACCGGCTTCCGATGTGAGTGCATTTACCACATCTAGACTCATCCCGTTGGCCAAGAAGCCGTCTGGTGTTCGCCCTATTGCTGTCGGCGAAGTGCTCCGTCGTGTCTGATCGGTCGGGCAGTGATGTCTGTGATCAAGCCCGACGTTCTAGGTGCTGTCGCTCCCATGCAGCTCTGTGTGGGTGTGCCATCTGCCTGCGAAGCTGCTGTACACGCTATGCGGAAGATTTTCAACCGTGATGATACAGAGGCGGTTCTCTTCGTGGATGCGACAAACGCATTTAACTCCCTGAACCGCAATGCAGCACTTCACAATATTCCTAGGATCTGCCCGGCTCTGGGAAGGGTATTTCAGAATACCTACAGTACTCAGATAAGACTAGACTGTTTGTGGCTGGTGGCGGCGAGGTTCTCTCCCAAGAAGGAACATGTCAGGGCGATCCCCTGTCCATGGCCTATTACTGTATCAAGAGTTCATAACCCCCAGGGCCCAGGGGGTTATGAACTCTTGCTATTATGCTGTAGCAACCGTACCGCTAGTTCAGAGGTTGCAGGAGGTTGTTGGTTGGTTGGTTTTTATTTCACTTCGCACATTCAAACGGGATGACGACCCAATAAAATGACGGCGAAGGCTTAGCCTAGAAGTGGCTATGGAAGAACATAGTAAAAGCTATGGAAGCACATAGAAAGAGAATAGGATACTAATAACTGCGAGTAAACGGGGGGGGGGGGGGAGAGAGAGAGAGAGAGAATACGATGTATCTGTGATACTACGTGAGGATTACTGAACTGCACGGGGAGGGAGAGCAGAGCGATCAGCAGCAACCCGAACTACTCCCTACAGGCGTATGGTACACATGCATGCTTAAACTCAGGTAGCCGGGTAATTGTGCGGACCTCACCAGGAAGAGCGTTCCACAGCAGAGCACCAGCAACAGAAAATCTCCGCTGACCGCGGCGGCTACGGTTTGCCTGGCTTAGTAGGCCATTTGACTGCTGATGGCGGGTAGGAGTGCCTTGTGCCGGGGTCAAGAGCTGGGCGAGCACAGGGCTGGTGCGGGCGTGGATGCACCGCCAGATGGTGATCAATATTTTCTGCCTGTAGAGCTCGCTGACACGGTACGAGTACAGGGAGTGAGCAGTGAGCAGCGGCTGCATGGCTGTCCGGTGCGGGTTGCCATCGATACAGCGGATGGCTCTGTTTTGCGCGGTTTGCAGTCGTTTCAGTTGACCCTCTCGCATTGCGGCTGAAAAGCAGCAGGAGCCATAAAGCAGGTCGGGCATTATGACCGCCTTCACATACACTTGACGAGAGCGCCTTCATAGGCTTCGGCGTGCCCGCCACAAGGCGCCAATTTTCTTGGCAACCTTGGTGACCACATAGTTTACATGGGTGTCCCAATCTAGGCGATTGTCAAGGTGAACGCCGAGGTAGCGCGCCGCAGAAGACGCTGAGGGGAGGAGACAGGCGCCGCTTTTGACTGTTACTTCCTGTACGTGCTGCTGGGGACTGGGGAGAGATAGTCAGAACCTGGCTCTTGGTGGCGTTCAAGATGAGGCCTCGGGACTTCAGCCAACCGGCCAGAGCAGTTGCCGCTGTGGTGAGGGTTCTGGACGCTTCCGCCGCTGAGGCCTGGGAGTCGTACAGGGCTATGTCATCTGCAAATTGTACACTTGGCACAGGCGAAGAAACCCAAGGGGACATCTCGTGTGTATATGCTGAAGAGGACAGGGCCGAGAACAGAGCCTTGGGGCACTCCGCAGGTGCAAGCCAGAGCAGGGCTGGTTGAAGGCGAGATGAGGATCTGCTGCTTGCGGCCGGACAAGTAGTCGACGAACCAACTAAGGGCTTTTCCAGAAATTCCAACCGCAAGGAGGTCTTGAATTACAGCCCTGTGGTCTTACCACTGTCTCTCGCCTTCTGCAGATTATCAGTCAGCACGCAGAGGGCGTCTTCCGTGGAACATTTCTCACGGAAGACAAATTGTGTTTCGGGTAATGCCTTGGTCAAGTCCAAAATAATGACGAACTAACTGGTGTTGCACTACCCTCTCCAGTAACTTGGACACTATTGGGAGAAGGGATACAGGTCTATAGTTGGTGGGGACTGATGGGTCACCGGCCTTGTACAGTGGCACGACAGACGCCAATTTAAATGCGGATGGAATGGTTCCAGTCCTCAGCGAGGTGCAGAACAGCACAGCAAGAGAATATGCAAGCAAGTCAGCGCACTGCTGTAGCAGAGAGCCCGGTATGCCGTCACTACCTGTGACTTTCCGCGCATCCAACTTCTCAAGGAGACGTCGGACGTCAGCAGGAGTCACAGGATCAAGTTCGGTCAAGGAGACGGGTCCAGCGGGACCGTGCGGGGTACAGAGTTGCTCAGGACGGTTGGGATCGGTGACAATGGAGTGGAACGTGTCGGCCATCTCACTGATGCTACAACTAGGATCTTGGCGGCAAACCCCGATGTCGACCAGGAGTGGTATGCCGACGACGATGCAGCTGGCGGTGATATTTATTTTATTTTATTTTATTCCAAGCAATACATGGCTGGGGTAGCCAATGACCACTTTGCGTGGCGATTGCAGGGTTTTTATAGCCAACCATGGCTAACATGGAAAAGAATAAGAAGTCAAAAAGAAAAGGAAAAGAAGAAAGGAGCAAATATGGACTAAAATTGTGGTCTACTGGTAAAGCAAGGCGTTCTTGAATGCTGTTAAAGTAGAAAGGCCCTTTGTCTCCTGGTGCAGCTTAAGCCAATGCAAATAGCCATTGAAAAGGGGGGAGTGTTGCGATGCAGAAGAGCGGGCTAGAGGAAGGTAGAGTTGGTTCCTAGTGGAGTTATCCCGTCGGAACCAGTCAAATGGTTTAAGATGCGGGGTATTTTGGAAAGTCGAATACGATGGATAAGACAGCACGTCATGATTCGTCGTCTTTCAAGGAGAGGTCTGGTCGAGGATAACATATAGAGAGCAACACTAGAAAGGGACTTGGGCATATGATAAAGAATCTTTTAACTTAAGGAGGGAACGATTGTAAGTTCCCTCCTTTTAAAAGATTCTTTATCATATGCCCAAGTCCCTTTCTAGTGTCGCTCTCTATATGTTATCCTCGACCAGACCTCTCCTAACTCCCTCGCCAGCTACTGGAAAGATGTTAACATTATCGGACCTGAGTATGGATACAATCCCAATCCCACGAAGACCACTCTCCTGGTGAAGCCTCGGTACCTGGACCGGGCTGAGGAGGTGTTCCAGGGGACGGGAGTCTGCGTCACGGCGGCGGGTCACCAATATCTCAGCGGGATCATTGGCTGTGAAGAGTAGTCCCATCGTGCCGGAGATAGGTACGTCAACAACTGGCGACGGGAGCTGATGACTTTCGCTGAAATGGCCGAAATGCAACCCCAGGCCGCCTACGCTGTGCTCACAAAGGGCTTATGGTCCAAATGGTCCTACCACTTGAGAGCATCATGGATAAACTCCGTCACCCTGGCCCCTCTAGATGAGGCATTGGATTATCATTTTCTTCCTGCCCTTTTGGGCCAGGGAATGGCAGCTGACAGCTCACTGAGACAGCTTCTGTCCCTCCCGACACGATTCGGGGACTTGGCTATCCCTGTGGTAGCAAAGTCTGCAGAGGCAGACCATCAGGCATCACTTGCCATCACGGCGTCAATGGTGAACTTGATCGGCGCCTACCGTAACGAGAGCGTCCGAGACTCTCCAACCATCAGTCCGGACCAAAACACGCAGAGCATCTTGAGCATCGCAGAGGGCGTGGCCAATCCTCAGTTCTGGCAATCCATTCCATGCAACATTAGTCTTTTAAAGAGAAAGGATATAGGCATGTAAGGACCGGAGTGTAGGAGGATGATATAACATGGATGACGACTACCGGTACTGCAGGATCTAGAAAAATCATACCGGGTTAATTAAAACTGAGGGGAAGTGGTAGAACACATGATGGAAATACACTAAAGCTAAAATCTGCAAGAGAATTGAGGTCCTCCTTTGAAGGCAGGCGCATCAAACCCACTACTGATGACTGGCTTCATCTATCGCACAAAAAGTAGCCATAATAAGTATTATTGTTTCTTGAAAAATCCCTCTGCGCATGAAAAAGTTCCCACTATGCTACAACTACATTAAATTTTGTACTACATTGTACTGTACATGCGCAAGCAGTTGCACGGTACGAGTACCGTTTTGAAATGCTGGAACAATCCCAGTTGCTAGTTTCATGCCCATGCACATTTATCTACATGTCTGTACATGTGAGTTCCCTTCGGGAACGGACACGATAATAATTTACTTATTTTACTTACAGTCAACTTCGCTTATAACGACACTCGGCGCGGCATCAAAAAGGTGTCCTGATTCCCGAAGTGTCGTTATACCCGAAGTCTCATTATTATGTATTGCAGTGGGATGGGACTTTGCGCTGAGACTGGGCATGGAAATTCTGTCGTTGTTCGCGAATTGTCGTTATATCCGCAGTCGTTATTAGCGAAGTTGACTGTATGTACATGTATTGTATGATTGCGAACAAATTTCAGCAAACAGGATTTTGCAGATGTACATGGCCCCTGTGCGGTGCCGTGTGAAATATCCAAAGGACAAATGAAAACTGTATCACATGCACAGTACACCCCTAGTATAGTACTGTCATGGATGCAAAAAAATAGCACTGTCTGACAAATTGCAAAGTCAATAAGGGAACAGATTTGGAGAGCCTGAGCAAAATCTTCCGGGAAAGAGAGGAAGAAGAATGGGAGTGTGGTGATGTCACGTGTAGGGAGGGTGTAGGTGTAGTTTGCTAGTTCTTCTCTCCCAGCTACAGTACAGTAGAATGCCGATTACTTGTATCCGAATGACTACTATCCGAACAGCCAGTTAATCATCCGAAATGCCTGTTTGCACTGAATTCAAGGGACAACAAAATGAGCAAGTTAGTTTGTATCGAAGTTTCCCCCACCCAATGCACCATTGAACATGGTGCACAGGATGTACATGTATGGCAACAGGTTGGCATCAGATTTTGCCCCCATGTCATTTTGAGGCACTGGAGTGTGTCTAATTCCTGTGGTACTGCCGAAGAGAATGAGAAATGATGAAAATATGAGGGACTGTGTATGGTTTAGATTGGTGTGTGCCCACCCCCTTATCCGATCATACTCCTCATCCGAACACCCCGGAGACAGCCCCGTGCCCCGAGGGGGGGGGGGGGGGGGGCAGCGGATAAGCGGCACAGTCTACTGTATTATTAATTATTATAGTTGCCTCTCAGTGTCAGCAGCGCTGTGGGCAGCACAACATTGGAATCAAGTACAACTCAGCGAAGGTATATGCATGTGTCCATTAGCTGCATAACAGGTACACGTAGAATGAATTCGGACCATGGGGGTAGGAGGTGAAAGAACTTGACAGTCATGTTATATATAATGCTTTTACAGTACTCAAGTCGAACTCCGCGCTTTGAAATTGCCGAGATTGCAGCTCAACTTACGAATGATTTATCTCAAGAACCATTCGTGAATTGTTTCTACCGACAGCTGAGATTTTTCTATTCGACCTGGATATTTGGATTGTTGGATTTGAGCGAGATTTGACTGAGTTACGATCTGTTGAAGTTTTGCATTCTTGTCAGATCGAACGCGCACCCGACCAAACTTGAATGTCCAAAATCGTTGCTCGTTTGGAACATTTGGGAGGTTTCCGGGCAACGGGAAACCCCCCTGCGTACGCGCCTGAATTGTGCAAGTAGGAGCCAAGCATCTCCGCGGATTTCAGCAGCAATCCTTAGACTCCACTGATTATGACTATAGATGTAGTATGAGCAGAGCATCATGATAATCAGTGTATGTGCGGAGTACTCCATCATGATAATCAGTGTATTTGCGGAGTACTCCATCATGATAATCAGTGTATGTGTGGAGTACTCCATACCTGGGCAGTACTGTTGTGCATCGGACCACACGCACTAAACTGCCATGGTCCCGTTGTCGTGACAAACACCATCCGTGCCGCACGTCTGGGAGGCCACACAGCACGTGTAGTGATCCTGGTAGTCGCAGCATTGCTCGTTCGGTGGACACGGATCGTTGCTGCAGGTCAGTTTATGCGGCGGCTGAACCGGATAGGGCGGATCGTAGCCGCAAGCCTTGCCCTGGCATCGGGTGTGCGGCAGTATGGCCGCGGTGAACAGCTCCCACGTGGCCATATGCTGCTCTGGTGCTGCGTAGTCAAACGGTCCCCTCCAATACCGGCCAAACAGTGGACCCGATATGTTGTGGTACGGTGTTCCATCTAAGTACTGTATTCTACAGTGATCTACGGACGGCTCACAATGGGTATTGTTCAGTACTGCAGCCATGTTGCCCATTAGGAAATTGTGATAGCGTTGTCGATGTGGCTCGTCCGACACGTCCATGAGGTAGCGCAGGTAGCGCATGAACAGGCCCTTGAAGATGCGCTGGTCCAGATCGCAGAAGTTGGCCGTCGCGTTTGTTGTGATGTTCGGCTCGCAGTACTCCACAAACACGCCCTGCTCATTGGTGTAGGTAACGATGGTTGCATTGGCAATCTTATGTGCTAGCTCAATATAGTCACTGTCGTTCAGCATGTGCGAGAGCTCTATGAGTCCACCGATCATGACACCCATGTTGTAGCTGGGCCCATACTCGTTCATTGGCGTGCAGTTCTGCGGATGCATGTTCATGCCATCGGACACCAGGAAGGTTTCATTGTTGACCATGTTTTGCCTCTCCAGATAGCGCCACGTCCTCAGCGTCAGGTTCTTCAGAGTCTCGTTCGTCGAGCCAGTCAGACGAAACAGCCGTCCGGACAGGTGCATGAGCTGCAGGTCGGTGATGCACTGCTTCTTCTGGTTATAACTATCAAACCAGTAGCCACCGCCGCAGGTCTCGTTCGTGTCCCAGCCGCGCACATAGCACAGGTCCAACAGCTGCTGGGAGACTTGCAGGAAGTCGGGAAAGCCGAAAACCTGCACGGCGAGAATGCGATGCACACCGGGCGCGTGAAAGGAATCAACTGGCGGTTGAAGAGCGGTATAGACACAGGTAGTCTACTAGAGCATGCCGCAATGCAGTAACAACATAACCTGGTACCGGGAATACAGCCCTCTGTCATGTCTGCTACGATGAAGTTGACGGTCCCATCCCTTTATACCCAGGACCTGCCCCATCTACTACATGTACTATGATATAATGACATCCAGGAGCGATCAAAGAATACACGACGGACGTCAGGAGTAGTCTCCTACCACCCTAGCATAATCTGTCCCTGCTGGAAATTGCGGCAAAAATCCTCGAAAACTTGGCAGGAAACAACAAAAAATGCGGCAAAAAGTGCGGAACTTGCCAGGAACTCGCGGAATTATTGGCAGATAATTGCGGATTTGGGCCAAATCACAACATTTGTTGCATCCTTAGAATCGCTATTTGCGTACTGTGCAAATAACCTACGTACAGAATCATGGAAAACACTATAATACTGCGTGAAAAGTGCATAGAAATGTAAAAAGAAGTGCAGAAAACAACAAAAAACGCGGGGAAATCGCGGATTTTTCAGAAAATCGCGGGTTTTGGCCAAAATCGCGAAATTTGTTGCATCCGTGGAATCGCGATTTCCTGGAGGGACAGCATAATGAGGGTCAGAACCGGGTGCGACACCCATATGGTTCAGACGGTCCGCGGACCGGGGCTCTGCCAACCGCGGAAGGTTGTAGTAAGGTCACTGTTTCCGAACACAGTGTCCTCCACCTTGTTTCATGCTGTCAATCTAACAATATGTACTATGATCTAGCCTAGGACTTGCCTCATCCAAGATTACTCGGGCTGTCCCGAATCATGCATAGTGAGCAAGATGCTCAGTTAGGCCCCAGCGGCAAATGCTAGCACCCAAAGTAGCATAAAAGGGCCTTTTTGTGACTCCACACGATGCTAGCATAAACAGCAGTTTTTACCGGCATCCGATACATTTTTGCCAATTTTGGCATTCTGGATGTGGAATTCGGTCTAGATTACACTATGAAACTAGTATTACGGTACTACCACATTGATAATTGCATGCACTACATTCAATTTGTTTGCATTACCTAGTTGTGACCAAGACCCACATTGCCATTGGTACTTCTTGGTATTTGCTCTTTTGTATTGCAAATATTTCCATAGCAACATGATGCCAACATCGCACCTTTAAAAACTCTTTTTACATACCTGCTTTGTGAGAATTCATAAATAGCACGGAACACCGTTTTCAACCCAAATGTTTCACCATTACCATTAATAGGTAGCATAATTCGTGTTGTCTAGCATCCAAACTAGCATCTTTCTGAGTTGTCAGCTAGCATCCCAAAAAGCATCTTGGCAACATTTAGGCCAAGTAAAAAAAATCCTAGTTTATCGTCCCCGCCCGCCCCATTTTTCGAGGCCGCCCGGAATTTATTTTTATTTTTTAAATCTAGAATTTTGCCAAAAAGCTTGATTTTTTACGTCGGCTAAGGCTTGAAAACACAGCTTCGTCAACATGTTCCCTTTATGACTGACTATTGGTTACTGTCCTGACTGGTTCTTTCCCTTCTGCAGCTTTCTATCATTTATCTGGTGGTCTGTGTGAACCAAACAGTATTGGGGTTTGTGTCTTATGAGTGGAGTGACAATCTGTCGATCCAAAGATTTTGCATGTAATTGTTTATGTACATATAACTGTTATAGCATTGTGTATTCCATACACTACCACTATTCTGTTGCAGATTGTTGCACATGATGTGTCATTGTTTACCAAGAACTATACTAGTCTGTAGCACATCAAAAAATATAAAATAAAAATAAAATCCGCCCTCCCTCCCCGATTTTTGTGAAAAAAGGACGATAAACTGGGATTTTATTTTACTTGGCCTTAGCTAGCATCTGCCGCTGGGGCCTATAGGCTATGCTCAGTCAAGTCAGCTCCTGTTAGCCTTACATGGCAAGGACTACTCCCGACTGTAGCGCGTCCGTGCGATTCTTTGCCACTTTGATATCCATCAATCACAGCGACATACTGATAACGAGATCTCAGTGGCATGCAGAGTAGATCTACATGACCAAGTATTAGTTGGGCATGAAAACAAGGTCTCACCTCGTATATCCTCGCGTAACTCAAGCCGTACCACGCGAGGTCATCATAAGACGGTATTGGCCCGTAAGCAAGCTTCAGGTCCCAAAGTTCCCGATAAGAATTTTTCACCACAGAGAGGTAGCGCGTGTGATTGGCATAGTAGGCGAAGTTTGCAAATGCTTCAAGCACGGCCCCATTCTGCCAAAAGCCGTCGAAACCATTCCATGTCTCGTACGAGTAGAAGCCGTTCAGCGGGTCGGGAAACCAGTTCTGCTGCATGGAAAACTGTGCTTTGCAGGACCAGTATGCCGCCGTGTCGTTCGGAAACATGTCATGCGAGCAGTGAGAGTTTGCTGGGATCGGCGCGGTGCCTGTCCGCCATGGACGACTTGTGCCGAGACGCTCCCGACCTTGCAGCATCCTCTCCCTCCAAGTGCCGGACAAAGCCTCTCCGCGATCATCGGCCGCATGGTGTGTGATCATGCTATGGACGCCATGTGGAGCGGCAAACCACAGCGAGACGGCGGCCAGGAGCAAGGAGCCCATGACGACTCCAATCACCGAAGCGTCGCACCTCCGGTGCGGACGACTGGGTGCGGGAAGAATCATCAATACTTCACACAAGTAAGGAGGCTTTCATGCGCTGTGTCCGACTATTCAATACTAGTGATCTTGTCCAACTATTCACACTCACAGGACCGAGGAATGGCTGTGATTAGTTTACGCGGCTATGAATCAATTTCCATCAGGGGGCTGAGCTGAGGTCCAGCGAGGATCAAGGAGCCGGAGAGTGAAGTATTTTTTTACACTGACTTTCGTCTCCGTTTCCTTGACGTTGCTGAAGTGAATTAGGAACTTGCCACGTGCACAGCGCGCGGCTCCCACCCGGAATCTAGCGGCACAGCGCGATGGTAGATCTACATGGTGGGCATGGGGAGAAGAAAAAATGCCATTCAATCAAGAGTGGCGAGTGACCATGGTGACGGGTTATGAACTCCCAAGAACAGGGATTGAATGTGGATTGGTGCACCCCAATAATACACATACATTTTCAGTCATCATCTGATTCGTGACCGGCATTCCAGACAGGTATGTCAGTACAGTACTCACTACTACTAGTAGTAGTACTAGTAGTACATTCTTTGTCATTCACCACTGCACCTCTTGTTGACCGGCTAAGTCAATCAACAAAGCTACTTACTTACCTTGGCCTGGGTACATGTGATTCAAGAACGACCAGTGCTACTGCTAGTGATGACACCTGTCCTTGGCATGACTACTGACATGATCATTGTCCTCATGAGTCATGGCCCCATGGGACATGGGCCCAGTAACCAGGGCACTGAGGGCTAGGCTAGGGTGTGTCAAAATAATTACTACTGTATGTGTCACAGCTGGACTCCATACTAGGCAAGTGTAGGCATACAACTACCATATTTGCCTTTGCTGGACTACATGTATAACGCCCAACTGAGCACATGTACTAGAATGCGCAACCCGGTTAACCCCTTTTCTGAGCAACGTGTTGGCAAAGTACATGTAAAGACAAAGGACCAATAATAATTCTGGACTCGGATGGAGAGCCAAGGATAGATTTATAGGAACTACAGTACCGTCGGTCAGTGTGCAATGTTATAGCATGCGCTGATTGTTTAGTAACTGGTGGTGTTAGTGGACATTATAGCGTAACTTGTAGTTCCTTGGTCCTTATTCTTTTCTATCCCAATAGTATCCCGGGTCTGGGGTATTTTTGGTGAAGAAAAGTCGCTCTGGAATGCATAAACTGTATGGGTGCTACCAAGAGTACATGAAAACCAGAGTGTGCAGCTTGGGGCCTTTTCTGCTATGGGTGTCTGTCACGGCGAAATTCCGTGATTACATCATATTTGGCCCAGATCTGAGGCGGGAAATGGTGTAGTGCGTACAACTGAGCTGCAGTTGTGCAGAATTAGACCTGCTTGAATCCTGCTTGTACGCACTACATCACTAAAATGATGTAATCACGGAATTTCGCTGTGACAGCAACCCATCCGAGCTGCACACTCTGGTTTTCATGTACTCTTGGTGCTACGGGGTTGTGATAATTATTATATATATGCACTGTGTGCTTGGGAAGACCGGTTTGGACTCCAGTCACGGGGTTGGTACAACTGCCAGGACCCCAGAAATGTCCTGCTCGTGACCATGGTGACCAGGATGTGCCCGGAATCAGATCTGTACGGTATTATGACGCAAAGATCCAATCACGCTCCACCAAGACCCTATGCAGAGCTGGATCGGACGTTGCACACACGGTAATTTGGTCTACATGACTGTATGCACTGGGATAGTACAGTGTAGTTAGAGGTTCATTGTACTCTTGACAGGGATTACTGTAACATACATGTACAAGTAGATTGAAAAGCTGAAAGGATTGCACGATTTTCGAAAACTGCAGACAAAGCTGTATGTCGGGTGAAATGAGGGCATGTGTACAAGCAAGAGTCCATAAGTTACAAGTTATAACCTCCTCATGCAGGGGGGGGGGGGGGAGGGCTCTTGGTTGCAAAAGTCGCATCAAGAGTACAGTGGATATCGGTTATAAAGTCATCGGACATAGTGATATATATATTGATACAAAATGAAAATATCAAAAGCAAAACCAGAAAAAGCCAGTCAAATTATCATTATAACCAATATATCGTATATAGCGATAAATCGGCTATAAGGATACAGAATCACCATTCAAAACACCTCTTTGCACAGAAAAATTATCGTCTATAGTGATAGCAACACACAAGTGTGAGGCATTGATGTCTCGACTTGGAGCCACATGTGTGTTGTCATAGGGTATTCTGGTCTGGTGCTTCCTGGATGATGCCTTTGGGCCAAGAAGTTCTTCACTCTATACTGGAGAAGGTGCAGTAGCATCCATCACGTATCAGTACGCTACATTAGCACGATCGAGTACCCACACGTGTATAATGTGTATGTGTGACGCGCGCAGTTGAAAATCGCCGGTAGTGATATACCGGTTATAGTGATAAAATGTGAAAAATCAGAAGGGCACGTTATAACCAATATCTACTGTACTAGAACACTAATAATAATGTGATGTATCTACTCTTAAAAAATTTCACGGTTCGCGTGAGACTCGGCTGGAAGCCGGGTTTTCCGCATCCGTAGGAACGCCACCACCCTTCAAGGATCAAGGCGCAGATGCAGCTCCTAAAGCGGTGGGAGGTGAGTAGATCAGCTCACCAGCAAGTGGTCAAAGACCGAAAATCCCATTCACTGCATCCATGTTTTCCTCGTGCCAGGCCACGAGTTCCCAATTAACTGTGGGTCGCAGCACGGCTGGAAAAAATCCTTCCGCTTCCAAGCAGGACTTGAACCTGGTACCCTCTGTTTCTCAATCATGGTCTTAGACCATCCCACTATGCCTGCCTGCTCTTGGTCAACAAGTAATTGGTAGGAATAATGGCATGAAACGATTTGGGCCATTTCAGCCAATCAGCGACCGTTCTGAGCGGGGGTATATAGAGCGATATACCCCGCCGGGGTCAATAATATACCCCGCTGGGGTCACGAATATTCCCCGGGTCACGCCAATAACTTTTTGAATAAGGGAGATTTTAGTGCTGGTCACGCTCTATTTGGGACAGTATATGGGATAAATGGATCATACCATTCGTACTCTGTGTATACCGTGTCCCTTATATTTTCCCTCGTGCTAACGCACTCGTGAAAATATTCGGCGGTATACCCCTCGTACTCATGGGATAATCCATACGTGTTTTAGTTATTACATTTTTATGTGACAGCATTCCACTGATGACAGTCACAAGAAACGTTATGGAACTTGGACTTTCTTCATTTTTTGCTGTTGTTATGAGGGCACAATTTATCTTATTTATTGCCATTTTACGACTATTGTCTCCTCGTCGATTGTCCAAATAATAATAATCATAATAATAATACATTGTGGAAGGCGTTGCGCATTACAACGAAAAGTTGTTGTGAATTCCGCATGGAATTTGCTGTTACGATATAATTGGAGGTGGTGAAGACAGTCCGATCTGAATAAAAGCAAGGGTTTGAAAGACCAGCGGGCAAACGCAGAACAGTACATGTGACACACACACCCCTGACTGGAAGCTTGTTGTCTTTTATATGCACTACAGTACATGTGTGGCCAGCAGCACACTAATGAGTTTGGCATGCATAGCTTGCAGAGCCAAGCAGGGCCAGGTCCCGGCGTGGAGCTTGCATCCACTCAAAGGCAAGCAGCTGGTACACTGAGAACGGATTGACTGCACAACAATCCAATGCATGTTCAAGGTACATATAGGTGTTGTTTAACCTACAGAAAGGAAACCACCTCTAAAGCACGACCACAAAAGGATGGTGGCGGTGGGGCGCTCTCACGCTCTTGTACTTTACGGTACGTGTATATGGCATATGGGCACGGGACTATTAATGGAGCTCACAGTCACCTCCCCCCCCCCCCCCCCCCCACACACACACGCAAGACTACATCCTGACTTAACTACGTACATTATGAAGTCCTAAAAACAAACAAGTTTGAAACAACATTCATATGAAGGAAAGGAAGAACAAAAACACATGCGCCAGCGCACGAGTACATGTGGAACAAATGTTGCAGGACAGGGAAAAAGGGCTGCCCTAAGGCACAGCCACAACACGCAAATACCAAAGAAGCAGCGTGTAATTAGTGGAGGTGCAGCGCTAGAGTGGCTATGACAAATTACTAACGTGAAATCCAAGACAGTGCCCACCGAGAAGTCTGAGTGCAAGACAGGACAGGAGTCTGTAACACCACAACAGCACAAGGACACGTGTTGCATGTAAATACATAGCACTGGCACCCAGCAGCAGCAGCATACAGCAGCACTAATCTATGCACGATACCTGCGTGGTACAGCAGAGCACACTTCTTTTCGTCGTGGAAGTAGAACATACCGGGGTTGCGGACTGGTGCGTCCAGGGCAGGAGCAAACACAAGTGACACCAGAGGCTCCAGAGCACATGCACCGCATCTACAGAGCAGAACAGAAACTAAGAACAAGCGACAACAGGACAGACTGCGATAGGACGTGAGTCTAGAGATAAGCCGGAACTACAATAAAAACAGAATACTAGCATGTATAAAACCCTGGTGGGAACACCACGTCACCCAGTACAATGTCAAGATATAGCTGAGTAAGACTACTGAACAGCAAGCGCCGTCGTCACACTAGGGAACAAACGGACCAGCAGCGAGCAAAAGATTCCGGTATGTGAAGTGCACACTGTGAACTGATGTGGTTTTGGTGGGATAGCAGGCTACCTGTCGCTGTGCAGTTGATGAGCCGACATTGGCGCTGGTGTTGAAGCTGAAGTCCGGCTCCTTAGCATCTTCTAACAGCGAACGCGAGTCCCATAGTCTCACTGTGCAGTCAAGAGACCCACTGGAGAGAAGGCCAGAATCGTGACTGAACGCCAGAGACGTCACACTGTCCGTGTGACCCAGCAGTGTGGTTACAATAGAGCCGTTCGACAGGTCCCACAGCCGCACCGATCCGTTCAATGCGCCGCTCGCCAGAAATCGGCCGTCCGGCGAGAAGGCCAGCGACGTTATGGCACCATGCTGACCCGTCAGTAGTCGTACACATGTGCCTGTTAAAACATCCCACAAGCGAATGGTACGATCGTACGAGCCTGTTGCAATATAATTTCCGTTCGGATGAAAGCGCACACAGGAAACGTCACTCACGTGCTCCGCAAATATGCGCAATGGCAAAGGCTGATCAGTTGCCCACAATCGTGCTGTGCGATCCTGAGATGCAGACGCAAAGTAGTACCCTGTCGGCCCAAAGTCAACGTCCCACACTGGCAACACATGGCCATGGAAGCTCACTGCAGTTGTGTACGTGTTCAAGTCCCACAGCCGTATCGTTCCATCTTGTGCCGAGGAAAGTAGCATGCTGTTGAACGGACTAAAAGACGTCGAGTATACTGGTCCGCTATGTCCGAGTAACAAGCGCGAATCGGTGCCAGACTGCTCATCTGCAATGCGGTCCAGAACACCAATTTCCGTACTGTCCAGGTGCTTTAAGTCATTATAGGATTTCATTGTACGGAGCTTCCTGCCATTTAGACTGTGCAAGCGCACTGTTGAGTCTGACATGCCTGCAGCCATCAACGTTGAGTCGGCAGAGACGGAAAGACTGGCGAGAGCAGAGTGGGTATTGAGCAATGTGAAAAAGCAAAGGGAAGGCAGCCGATTGGCATCCAGTGGTACAGCACGCACCAGCTCTCGTGCCGCTGCCCTCTTCTTTTCCAACTCACGCTCCTTTAGGAGTGGAACTGGTATGCGGGTTGGCGGTGGGGCATGAGGGTTAGCTGCTAGCTTTCCTTTCTTAGCATTACTGAAGGCAGACTCCTTTTTCTTTTTCTTTTTCGGCCGGCCGTCTTCACCAGTGGCATCCTCATCATCTGCTTCATTTAATGCAGCAATAAACTCTGTATCTTTTGGCATTCCATACAGCAAAGATGTTTGGTTAGCACTCGAACGCGCTTCCCCTAGTTGAGATCCAATGGTACTTGCGATCTTGGGTTGATCACGCGGCAAGTCATCATTCAGATCCACATAGAAGAACTGATTTATCAGGTTTAGTACAAGCTTGCTTTGACTGTCCTGCAAATGGCGTACCAGGCACTGAAACGAATCTCTCGCCATGCCAATGACGTACTTCTCACTCCGTAGAGTAATTGCCAGGTCGTGGCTAGACAACTGAGAGCGCTCCTTAAGAGTTGATAAGCGTCGCAAGTCCTCATCATGATAGGACTCAAAGCTCCGCCTGTGCTTTTCGAAGAATGCTCGGGCGGCTTTCTCCTCGCCAATTTTGATCAAATCCAAATACATGTACACAAATGTGGGATACAGTACCAAGGAGAGTTCACTTCGATACATATCCAGAGACTTTGCAACGAATGATTGGAGCCCCGAGAGGCTTTGCTCGTAGAGCAGAACATCGGGGTTGGTGGACTGCGTAGACTGCAAGATGTCCACGCCACCAACCCCATCCCCTGTGTTAGCCATTTCAAATGAAAATTGTTTTGAATTTGATCGTATTCGCATTTTTATTTTCACCTGAAGGAGAACGCCATATTTTTACCGTTTCCTCCCCACCACACGACATACATTTTTGTACTCCTACCCATGGTGCACCGGTACCGGTATACCGGTACCCGTGCAGTGCATGCATGCAGAGTCCTTTTTTGTTTTTTTGTTTCCCAGATCATGCAGATCGCAGAGTCTACGTTGTAGTCGAGTCCAGTTTGTGAAGGTTTATTCGTATGCACCGGTACGCGGTACGGTACGCAGTGTGTACAGCAGGGAGTCGTACGCAAACTAGTTTGGGTACGACTCCCTGGTGTACGGCATGCAGGGGACCCTAGCCGTGCATGCTGGCCATGTGCATGCCCGCATGTGTCTGTGTGTACACCATGGTACACGCATGGGCCATAAATGTAAAGCTAGCAGACCGGTTGGGTACGTTGACCATCGTCTTTCACGATTTTCACACCACATTTTCTATTCGGCCTAGGCGACCTCCACGCATATCGGATCGGACTCTTCGGATTTGGCGTTTTTGGCTTGCCTTGGCTGCATGCTCGTGCTCGCTCATTTCATAGGCGTTCGTATCGGGTTCAGAGCACTCTACATTTGAGCTTTTTTTTGGATGAGCTCGTTTGCCTTTCTTCTTCTGTAGGTGTGTGTCCCGTAGTGTCCCGTAGTTACCTGGCCTATGCCTTGTTCTTGTAGCTGAGCCATTACTCAGGTCTTGCTGTGTTTCTGCTGGTCTCCGCATTGGTGGCTTGCTACTCGACGGACACTTGGCCGGTGTTCCGCCACCGGAATAAAACGTAACCAGTGCTCTTGCAGCTCAGTTCAGTTGGAAACTCGCTATTTCTTCATTCTGGTACTAAGAAGAACGTGCCCGACCGACGAGTATCGTCTTCGAACGCCATTCTGAGGGGTAAAGTGGGAGAAGCAAGCCTGGGTAGCTTTCCAACCCCTAGATTTGAGTACTAGTATTTGAAGGCCCAACGGTCGGCAGTGGAATGGGCAGTTTGCTTGCAATTTTGTCCGACAAGTCCCATCGGCCGAAGCCTGACTTCTACTTGGATTTTGAAGGTATGTCATGTTGCTTCTGTGTGTCTCCGGCTCAGAGCAGTACTGCAACAACCTGTGATAACAATAATAATTCTGCTCCACTGGCCAGTGCAATGCAATGGTGTACTAGTATGTACCAGCGTGTACCGTCATGTACTATGTTTTATAACGGGAAAGGAACTGTTGCGTCAGGCACGCTCAAGGCTCACGCCATTGGCGATTTTATTTGGTGGCTGATAGCAGTAAAACAGATGTCAGTGGCCGTGGCGTTGTTTTTGCTTTTGTAAAGAATTTGTAGGATACTGAAATGTCAAATCCTGTCGAGTGTGTCAGCGAAAGGCTTGCTTTTTTGCGTAGTACGGTGCAATTGAAGCTTGAAACATGTTAGTTGAGTGCTCACTTGTTAGAAAACTTGCAGACCTTGACTTTGTTGAGACTGGATAGTTTAGGATTTGAACCTGCTAGCATAGAATTAAATGAGAGTAGAAAATAGTAGGAGTCTGCTAAACTAGGGGCCCCGTTTTAAATAATTACTACTGCCTGGGTGCCTGGTGATGAGGGATGGATATAGCACACCTATTGAATCATCTGAATTACCGTAAACATCCGCAAATAAGTACATGTACGTACTTACTTTCGAATTTAGTGGTCACACCCGTGCTAGCTTTCGGGCGAGTATTGACTTTCTGACCTGACTCGTGTGTAGTGGAGAAGTCATTTTTCATGTCGATGTACATGCTACGCGCTGCTTGTGCGAACCGCACCAGTACTTATTTCGGGCAGTATGTTTGTCGGGCTGAACTTGACTTCAACAGACGGAGTCAAAAAGATGAGGGGAGTATTTATTTAGGGCAGGTAATTATTTACAGACTTTTACGGTAACTATGTTCACCTTGCTATCCTCATGTTCCGAAATGTGGCTGCTGCCAGCCGATTACTGTACTAGTACAGCCTTCTCCACTTATAACGAACTCGTGTGGAACAAATTCCGTGGTATAGAGAACCATTTTCCGTGTCCCTGTTTGAACACATGCGAAACCGACCCTTTGTAGCAAACTTTATTTTCACCAATTTATAAATTAAATGTGTTTTTACTCCGAGTTTCACACACTCAGAAAGCTATAGTGATCTTGTTAAAATGCAGTTCCTGGCACCTTTGCTCGCACAACAAGTATAATCAAGGGCCCCGGCCAAGTTCAAAATCAGTTGCACGCGTGTGTCCAAGTTCACCAATATCCTTGGAAACGGTACGATAAAATATGAGTTTGCATGTTATGTGGTCATGTGAATGGCCTATTAATTTTATAGCAGGGTCCATTTTAGGTGTACCAGTGCATGGATGTGGCAAATGGGGGTTCGGCACTTGTTCTAAGAGAATCTAGACCCTGCCTCCAGTGTTGGCCCACCATATCTACTACTTCGACTATCACATGACCCTTTGGATTTTGGATCCATGTACATGACGCACACACCTGTGAAATGGTGTCTCTTTGACTTAGGGTGGCACATGCGCCGCTGGTCACTGAACTAGCTTTGGGTGGTTGTGGCACTGCTGCTACAGAAAAAGGTGACGGTAGTATGCGACACAATCACGATGAACCTATTACCGTCCGTCCACCCTATGCAGTCCCAATCTATCAAAGACTGGATCCGGAAGTAGTTATTTTCAACCAGGGAGTAGTAAAATACTACTGCAAGGCCGGCATCAAAAGTCAGGTTCAGTGGCGTGTCATCTCCCGGTATTTTGCTTCTCCCAGCTTTCAACTGCCCAGCTGTATTTGACGTCAGCTTTCAAGTCTCAGCCCCGTAAGGGCCATATTGTGTGTCTATAAAAATCCTTCCGCGTGTGTCCACTGAGGCAGACTGTCAAGGAGTATCAAGTATGGTGTTGCGTTTTCGGTATCGCTTCATGTCACTTGCGCTACATATATCAATTGTCCTTGCTCCTTGTCTGCGTACTGGTATTAAACCAAGGGCTCCCTTCGTGTCAGATATCCCCCTTCTCGGTCTGCTGCTGTAACCTGAAATGTTCTGTGCTATTTCATTCCACTCGCACATGAAAGAGAAAAGGGGCTCCCATTGTTGTCTGCTGTGGGTTTTTGTAAAGTTTTATGCCAACGCAATCATCAGTTCACTCGTATACGTTAAAGTTTGTTCTCAAGCTGGTATGGGTGCTGCAAGTACTAGTACAGTAGTTGGTGCTGATTGTGATGTAACATGAATGAGGTGACAAGTCAGTTTTCTCGTATGCACCTTGTTGTTCAGCCACATGGTGACTATGCGCTGAGCACGTGTATGTCCAGTCCTCTGTGTGTGTGTATGGCGTGTGTGTCCAATGGAGGTTGCTTGTTCACTTCCCGAGGATTATGGTCACACGTCTCTCTCCTTCTGGCCTTTCTTTCGTTCTCCTGGGTGTTTACCAACAGCTAGTGCATGTCTGAATATGTGGTGTAATGTGTGCGGGGGAAAAGAACGGCCAAAAAGTAGGGATTCACCGGCCAGAAAACCCACTTTGAAAAGCTGTGTGCGGTGTAGACCAAGCTGAATAGTGGTGATCAGTTCTTCAGCCTTGCGAGCTGTTGAATGGTCCAGCACAAGTTGCTATGGCTTCTGCTGTAGCATCGCTATCATTATCTCCGGCGATTGGCGTCAAAGGTCAAAAGTTGTATGTGTGTGCGTGCGTCTTTCTGTGTCTCTTTACTGCACAATAGTCGCAAGGCCGACAGACAATGAAAAGGACGTTTACGCTGAAGTGGAAGCAGTTCTTGAGTCGGCCAAGTCTATTCTAGAAGAACTACGGTCGTATGAAGGTGCTAGTGATGATATTCGACAGGTATGGTTTATCTTCGTATACTTACTATACTATACTGCGTTTCAAAAGTCCAGACCTCTGGTTTCAAAAAGCCGTTAGGCCAGTATCTACGAGCGTATACCACATATAATCTGTGATCCCTTTGTGCATAAAATTTCCGAAATTGGGCGGTTTATTTCCAATCGCTTATAAATTTATATGTGAAAAATTGTAGGAGCTGCCTGAGCAATATTCCGAAGAAATTTCTCAAAAAGCTCCAACCAAATTTGAATTATTGGAAAAAGTCTAGAGGTCTATGCTTTTGAAACGCACTATAGTAGCGTATGAATGTGGCGTGCAGCGAATCTTGCCTACACGGCGGTAGGATATACTTGCTACTGCTTCTGGTTTTGTTGATGATAATCAGGGGTGAAACAATCACTGGAAATTGGTTATCAATCACCTATATTTGCTAACGATCGAGTTGTCAGTCATAGCGATTATCTTCAGGTATTTGATTTCATTGAATAAGTGCTACTTTCCTCTCTTTTGTGAGAAAATAATAACGCAGCAGATCAGAATAATGAGGCCGGAGATGCCAGACTACTTAGAATCACAGTTCTCCATCATAGATATCATGATCAGGGTTATGAGTGGCCAGGCGGGCCTGTTGTCCATAGTTTTTTTTTTGGGGGGGGGGGGGGGGGCTAATAAGCTTTCCCAGTACTCGATAAGTACACTCGGCAACTGGTAGCGAGTATGTGGCGCGTAATCAGCATGATCGTTTCACCCCTAATTCTAATGTGTATGTTTGTGTTCAGTGTAATATGTTGGTCACTCCACCGAGACGTTGGCCAAGAGCGCCTTGCAGAGTGGTGGAGTGACTACATGTAGTATACCGGTGCATGCACTATTGACTCAAAGGGGTGAGACAGGGAAATGGAGGATAAACTCTGGGGGCAGCAATTCTTCTCACATTTTTTTCTTCTTATTGTGTATCCCCGTGTTGAGTACTTGCCTTGTTGTACCTTCCTTCCTATTTTGTGACAGGCCATCTCAAATCCTAGTGATGATGCACTACAGCAGAAGGCATGGGATGCTGTCTCTCCTTCCGTGCTAAAGCTTAAGAACTATTTTGACTATTCTTCATCTATAGGTAAGGTTGCATGAGTTGAGTTTATGTTAAGTAGGATGCTGCTGCAACTCCTCACTCTCTCTTTCTCTGTCTCTCTCTCTGTCTGTGTGTGTGTGTGCGTGTCTCTGTCTCTCTGTCTCTCTCTCTCTCTCTCTCTCTCTCTCTCTCTTTCTCTCTTTCTCTCTCTCTCTCTCTCTCTCTCTATCTCTCTCTCTCTCTCTCTCTCTCTCTCTCTCTCTCTCATATATTTGCGTACATGCACCCATGCACACACCTTATCAAGAGCCAGGAAATGAAATGATAATTAGACTTTGGAATTAGTGGCTATTGAGTTGTCCTTCTGTAAGTGAGCGCTGCGCGGGTGTTGTGGCCATGTTCATCCAGTGGCTGACATGCTGTGTCCTGGAATACTGGTGTCCCTGGCCAGTGGGCGGCTGTGTCTGTACGTGCGTGCTTCAGCGGTGAAGACGCAGGCTTGGAAGATGCATTTGGGCATTTCTTGCACCTTTTTTTTTTGACTTCTGAAGTCGAAAGCAATGGAGATGGAGATGTGGTCGTTGTGCCGAAACTTGCAATGTGCTGTTTTGAAACCGGCCTCGACCGTACTGCTCCTCTGATTATTTCCAGCCTATTTAATCTTTGCTAGTTACCGTACTTGCTGCGTAGCTTAGACAACTGAGTTATGCCCCCCCCCCCCCCCCCCGGGTTCCTATTCAGTGTGCCAGGTGGGTAGCAGCTGCAGGCAGGAAAAGCTTTGCTGTGGAACTGGCTTCCTGTGCAGCTGAGACACCCCTTACCCATGCACGCTGTGTAGTGCTGCTATTGCCGCCTTCACTAGAAATAGTACATTGTAGAGTAGCTCCACGTAGTGCTGGTCCAGAACAGAGGCTGTTAGATAGCTAGGGTATGAGTGTCCTCGCTGTGCTGTACACTGGGCACTGAGAACGTACATCTAGGTCCCCAGGATTCAACGTTTTTTTTTCCTGGCTTTATCGAGTTTATTTTATTTTATCGAGTTCTGCCTGGATATCATGCTGTGTGGCAGGTTACTAGCAGTATGTGTAGTGCTGGGGAGCATATCCACAATCTGATTGGCATACAAAGAAAAGAACGAACATCCTAACTCTCTGATTTGTTTACATCCCTTGCAATGCATGATAACTTTGGTTCACATTTCTTGTGTCTGTTTTTTGTGTGTGCGTTCTGCCTTGTAGAAGCTATTGTTCCAAAGGTGCTAGGCTTTCTGACGAACAGCTCTGAATCGGTACTGCGTCGCTTAGAGGAGCATCAGGCAATTGCCAAGCAGCTCGCACATATTTTACAATTTACACTGAGCTTTGACGACATGAAGGTGAGAATCATTGTGTTTTTGTCTGCTTTTTTTCGGGATGGTATCAGGTGTGGAATTTTGTGATTCATGGTTATACTTCCGGTACAATGTTTACATTAATTTTGTAAGTGGAGACAGTTCAGCTATTTTGGCCTAATCAGTCCATGCCAGACATCAAACACAGCTGAAAATACGTGTTGATTTTATGCAGTCGTGCAGCTTTGGTCATCCAGCTGAGATTTCATTTGAAAGAAACGCCCACAATTCTCCGAAGGCTCTAATTTGATGCGCACAAACCGCTCCTCAAATTTTAGTCCCATCAGCCGGTCTTCTTAGATTCTATGAGATGGGGTTTCCTTTCTTGTAGTTTAGGTTGCTCTCTCTCTCTCTCTCTCTCTCTCTCTCTCTCTCTCTCTCTCTCTCTCTCTCTCTCTCTCTCTCTCATGTGTTTGTTCCCTATACAAGATGACTAACCCAGCCATTCAGAATGATTTCAGCTACTACCGGAGAACGCAAAGTCGAATGAGAATGGTATGGTTGACTGTTCTCTCTCTCTCTCTCTCTCTCTCTCTCTCTCTCTCTCTCTCTCTCTCTCTCTCTCTCTCTCTCTCTCTCTCTCTCTCTCTCTCTCTCTTTAGGTCCTTTCTGTGTGCATTCAATGAGACAAAATTGTGTGTGTTTGGGGGGGGGGGGGGCGATAATGAATGGCACGTATTCACTGAAGGCGCACGTGACTAGTGCTGCGGGGAACCAAGTAGGTTTTCTCATTTGCGTACATAGTAAATTCGCACTTTACTCTTGACTTGTTGAGCCGTCTCGAACGTTGTATTCCGCAAATTCCACTTCGTTGGGTCACTACTATTGTATACCTTGAAGACCAGTAGTCTATATCGAAAGAAACTCACAAGTTCCAGCGATTAGAGAAACTTCTTTTCCACGCATTTGTATACATTTGTATGCGGAATCGAACAAGTGTCCCCACAGCGTGGCTCACGTGCGCCCATACCATGTATGCAGCGTGGGCGTCCGCCATTTTAGATGAATACGTGCCATTAGCATGTGGTTGTACATTGAGTAGTCTGTCCTTCTGGCTTTTGGGTGATGAGCATGGAGAAGCTCTTAGCAGCACATGGCTGGAAGTTGCTGCCTCTGCTGACTCTCTTGTTTGTTGTGGTTGTCATGTTATATTCTTGCATGTGTCCATGTGCGGTTGTTTCGCTTGTTTGTGCTCAACAGAAACACGCTCAGTCTGGCCCCACGGTACGATACGCTGCTCCGCTAAGTTTTCTCGGTGGTTTTCCTTACGGTTTTTTACTCGTCGTTGGCGACGTATCTTGGCCATTTTGCATTGGGCCACCACTTTGCTGCCTTGGCGCGTCACTCCTGTCCGTGCCATCCATGTCACGTTCACGGTTTTCCTGGGCACACTTGCTGCCTACATGTCTCAAGTGTGTGCGTATTTCAAGTAGTTCCTGCACTAGCTCTGAGTTTTCAGCGTTGTGTACCGTCACATTGTCTTGTGTCTGGTAGCCTCACTCCGCCACCTTCACTTGCCGTCTTTTCTGCCACCACCTCCTCCGTTTCCCTGCACTCTCACTAGCATCTCCGCGTTCAGTGATTGGCCTTCGGCTGTGTGTCTCACCATGCACCGATTGCCGCCCTGTCACTGCAACCACCGATCATCGTCTGCTTGGCACTTTGCTGCACTGCTGTTTTTACGTGTGGCACTTGCATTGCACAAGGGATGTATCACTACTGCAGTACTGGCACTGTGGACCTGTGTACAGTAAAACACCTCTAATCTGGGCACTCCCGTCTGCCGGGTTTCTTTCTGACCCTCTGGAGTCACAAAAATGGGCTCTTAAAAAATAAAAAAATAAAGTGCTTACTCGCATGCTATCAGTATGTATGCTCTGAGTTACGGGCAGTGCCTGGTCCCAATAGGCCCGGATACGGCGAGTTCTTCTGTATTCTCCTGATCCTGCTGCATCTAAGTTTGGGTAGATTTTGCAAACATGTTGGTGCACTTCACCAGTGTGTCGTGAGTCCACCTTTCCAGCTGCAGTTTCCCGCCGAATGCTTCCACTGTTGCCCCTTCGATGTAGTACCCAAGCCACATGCTGTCACTGTACTCTTTTCTGTTTGTTTGTTTTTCACAGGAGGGTCAGAGTGGTGAGGTTGTGAGCAATGAGATGGCTAATCGCATGTCTCTGTTCTACGCCAACCCCACGCCGATGCTGAAGACGGTCAGCGACAGTACCAGCAAATTCGTTGAGGAGGTGCGTCAAGCAATGCGTTCATGCTTGTGCCGCCGTTGCTGTGCTCCAGCCTCGCTCTGCCATGTTGTCAGCTTGCTTGGGTGCGTGCTGTACATGTAACGCTCGTGTATTGTTCTGTGTTGGCTTTCTGCTCAGAATAAGGATATCCCCATCGAGAACACAGCAGAAGTGCTAAGCACCCTGGCAGAGTTATGTCGGATCATGGTCGAAACACAGTGAGTTGTCATTTGCCGTGACCTGGAGTTCCTATTTCTGGCAACTTTCTGCCTCTTTGAAATAAATTCAGCCTCATGCTCTTGTGGATTTATTGGCCTTTTTCTGAGATACAGTCCTAGGCTGCCGGGCAGGTTAAAAAAAAAAGTTTCTCAAGTCCTACATGTCTCTGAGTGGCTGCTCACAGACAATACGATTTGCTCACGCTTCGTTTTTGATAGGTGTATGGATTGTAATTTTCTATGAACATTTGGTGTGGCATGCTTTTTTTTTGCAGAGCATACCGAGAGCGGTTCCAAAGTGCAGACACCGTATTATTCTGTCTACAAGTCATGGTGAGCCTCTTGTAAACCTCGTACTTGTGTCTAGCCTGCATATTGTAGCATTTATTGTCCACAACTGTGCCCTGATTTACCTCAATGCCATGTCTGTTGGACTTGTCTGCATTGTATCTGTAGTCATCCGTGTGATATTGCTGCTGTTGAGCGAGCGGTGTGTACTGGGCGGTGCACCTATCCACCTAGTTTAAAAAAATAATGAGTCTGCAGGAAGCTGTCAGTGCCTGCTCAGTAGCATGCCCCTTTGTTTAGTTGTCTTGCTGAAGGAGCCAGCTTACTCCCTGCTTTTATGTTGATATGAATTTCTGTTTGGTATGTGCGAATGCAGGTCGGAAATATTATCCTCTACGACCACACACAGCCAGCGGGTGCCTTCTGCAAGAAGTCCTCCATTGACGTAAGTTACACAGCTGTGGCTGCAATACTGAATATGTACTCGGATAGCTGCTGCCTCGGTAGCAACTGCACATGCAGCTGAATCTTGAGCACAGGCTTGTGCAACGATCCTCCCCCCCCCCCCCCCCCCCCTGACATCCCTCAGACACAAGGCTCTGAAACGATCCCTCACAGCACTGACTTGGTGTGGAATGGAGGCTCAACTAGTGCTGTGTGTCTCCTCATTCTTGTCGATGGTCAGTGATGTTATCTGCTTGTAGAGGGACGTGGCTGCTTTCCCTGTTGCAGAGGGGCGTGGCTGCTTTCCCTGTTGCAGAGGGACGTGGCTGCTTTCCCTGTTGCAGAGGGACGTGGCTGCTTCCCTGTTGCAGAGGGACGTGGCTGCTTTCCCTGTTGCGGAGGGATGTGGCTGCTTTCCCTGTTGCAGAGGGACGTGGCTGCTTTCCCTGTTGCAGAGGGGCGTGGCTGCTTTCCCTGTTGCAGCAGCCTGCATACTCTTCATGCATGGCTCATGAGATTGTTTGCCTCTGGCAACCTGAAAGGGGCCTTACCGATCACCGGTGGTCGTCTTCACCTGCAACGTCTTGGCGAGAGACTTCAAGTCAGCGACTTTAGTTTGTCAAGCTTGCTTTGGAGAACACCTTAATTTTCACTGGAAAATCCTTCACTCGAGCCACAAAAATCCAACTTTTTCAGAATGACTAACCATGGGTGAGGGATTTCCCTCTCCTGGTGTGCTGTGTCATCTAAGCATAACTTATGCACATGGGCAGCGTAGAAAGCAACCCAGGTGAAACGAATGAGATCTCTGAGCTCGATAAGAGTGCAATGGCTGGCGAAGAGAGTAATTGCTTGCACGTCCAGCTCAGAGCTCAGGGGACCATTCGAGTCGCCGTGGTGTTGGACTTTCATATTATGTTGATTTTAGGATCATCCGCTTCTGCTTGTGGAGATCTTTCCAGTAAGCCCAATACTGTGAAAATCGCGATGTCTGTGGTTGTGTCTGTGGTTGTGTGTGGTGCATCAGTAAGTACATGTAATAATAAGGATGGAGTGACCAACGAATATCTTACAATAGTCACTGCGCTAGAGCTTTTAATTTAGCCGCTAACAGGCACTAATATTGGATGGTTGTCCTTCCTCTTTGCTTTTTTACACAACGCTAGGTACGGCAATGTGTGAAGCTTCTCCGTGACATGCAAGAAGAGAACCCTGCGCAACAAGGCGCAATTGAGTCATTAATTAATGCATTGAAGTAAGCACTGTACTTCCGTGGATGTGGAAGTGGAATACCCATCTTCATACGTTTGCCTTCTAAGTGCATGTCAGTGTGCCTCATCAACTGGAGATTTATGCCGCAAACTTCCTGTATTGCCACTGGTGGTGGTCGTCATCGCTGTGCGTTCGTGTCTTTACCAATGTATTCCATCTGCATTTGGGGCAATTAAAATTCTGTCTCGTAACGAATTTGTCTGTGTTGGTATTGCACTATCTAAGCATAACATTGGACTCTAGATTTGAAAGTAGTACAGTCGTCCCTCTCTAATCCGGCACTTTATAATCCAGCACCCTCGATAAACCAGCACAATTTTCAGTAGCCAAAATGTCCTCTTCATGCACATTGCAGCAGTAAATCAGATTTGTTAATCCAGCACCCTCCCTAATCCAGCAGATTTTCGTGGCACAAATGGTGCCGGATTATAGAGGGACCACTGTACTGGACTTTACATGAGTTTGTGTGTGTGTTCACTTGCAGTACGTTGCACTGTGTTGCATTTGCACCTTCCACACAACTTGGCCCACAGTTGTACAGCCAAGGTTTGCATTGTTGGTACTGATATGGTCGGTCCCTTTTCTCACCTTTCCCTCTGCTGCAGATACACAACAAAGCACTTGAACGACGAGACCACACCGAAGCATTTTAAACAACTTCTCGCATGAGCCTGAATTTTATCATCGGCATGCGCCCGACAAAAGAGCCTCGTTTTTGACCGACTTCCGCTGCTCTTGTTCCTCCGGTCTCTTATAATTATGTCCTTATTATTCCTGCTTTCATGACTTTACGTTAGGTATAACCATCTCTCATGTGTGTGCCCCAGACTCCGACTAATGATTCCATCTCTCCCTGCTCATCGTAACCCTGCATCTTGAATCCTGCATTTAGGGTCGGTGCTCAATGGGAGGGCATATCCATGTGAACTGAATGAGTGCATGGATTATTAGGACCGTGTGCACCTGCTCGTACGTGTGTTTGTCCGTGTATTCGTCTGTGTTTGTGTGTGTGTGTGTCGAGGCACTTGCACATCTTCATGCTGCTGTCTGTGGTGGTGCTGTTCTGCACACGAACTGCTATCACACACACACACACACACACACACACACACACACACACACACACACACACACACACACACACACACACACACACACACAGACCATGACTGGCACTTATCTGTGTCGTTTCTGGCACCTCTTTTTTTCACTCACTGGAGCACCTAATATTTTTTTGGCTCTCTCATGAGCTCAGCAGACTGCTCCCGAATTGAAATTTTGTATTTTTTGTGCTCATCTCGTTGCTAACCTCATATTTGCAAGATGTATCTCTAACAGCAATCCGGTGGACTGTAGCCCTTAGCTATTATGATCATTATGTTGCTCCATTGTTTCAATTACCTCCATGTTTGGCTGTTGTCACTCCTGCTCCGGTGTCTTGCCGCGAGCAGGTGTTTGCCAATATGGCAGCACTCTCCGGTCTACTATGTGGCTGGTTGGGTTGGTTGTTTTCATTTTTCGTTTCCTATATGTGTTGTCCGCTGTGTACAGTCCAGCGTGTTGTTGCTACCACCGTCGTTGTCGTCTGTATTGTGATTGTCGCCTCAACATTGTCATAGCCAATGTTGCATCTTTAATTTTGTGTACAGCACGTGTGATGACTCTGTGTGTGTGTGTGGGGGGGGGGGGGGGGGGGGGAGGGGGTGCCAGCTAGTTCGGTTGGTGGGTACACTTATGCCTGATTGTGTTGGGTCTGTTGCCAACAGGCTCGGTTGCTTGAAGGTGTAATGTTGTATCTGCCACCTTTGTTGGTTTCAAGGTCCATATACTTTCTATTTCTATTTGAAGTATACATACCTGTTAACCATGAACTGCTTCTGGCTGATTAACTTCTTGTGCTAGCGAAGCTTATATTATCAGATCTACTCTGATTTAGCCACCCACGCTACTTAGAAGTAGTAGCAAGTATTACCTTCACTGGGGGCAGGGGTAACTGCAGTTGGATCCCGGGACGGATACCCTGATGCCGTCAATCCTTTTTCTGCACCTTGTCCTCACCCACTTACTGTACTGGTGTGGTGAGCCCATAAGTGGGATCATTTTCAAGTCCACCCAGAGTTTTGGGGATTTCAGGGGGTGTCGGCCGTTGGGCGGTTCCCCGCAAGATTCCTTTTGAGTCTCTCTTCCGGGGAGACCACATGACCAGTTTTGGCAGTGAGCACTGACTCCACTGAGCAACAAGTATAACTATAAGCGTGCGTGCACGTGCGTGTGTGCGTGCGTGTGTGCGTGCGTTCAGGATTCACTGGCCACAAAAAGCCACTTCGTAACTGTGTGGTGTAGACCAGGCTGAATAGTGGCGGTCAACTCTTCAGCCTAGCGCCTTGCAAGCCGTTGAGTTGCTATGGCTTCTGCCGTAGCATCGCTATCATCGAATCCGGCGTCAGAAGGTGTGTGTGTGTGTGTGTGTGGTGTGTGTGTGCGTGTGTGTGTGCGTGTGTGTGCCAGTGTGTTTGACTGTTTGAGGTTGAATTTCACCGGCCAGAACTTTACTACAGAGCGGGAGTGGTCCAACTAATTAATAATTATTATGGTGTTTTAGTATAATTTTACAGCTCCTTGAGCAATGTGCAGTATTCTCCTAGGCAAGTCTGTGATAATAATAATAATAATGGTTGCAGATTTGCGTCGCGCACAACCATGTCGCATCAATGGACTCGTACAGTGTACCCATGATTGAGAGTTACGCAGCTACAAGCACAACTGAGTTTTCTTGGGGAGGAGGGGCATTACTTTTTTCTTCATACAATTATTTGTCCCTTTGGTATTGTGTGAGGTTGATATAATAATTATTTATTGTGTTGTTTTGCCCGTAAATAGAGGCTTCTCGGCTAGGGACTTAGGGGGTGATTATAATTTATGTGCAGCTCCAGCCCGGGCTGGTCGACAGGCGGGCCAGCCCGCCTGCAACGGGATCTCGGGGTTGTACACAAATCCACACAAAACCTGTGTTGCGTTAACATGGCAAGCGGGCTGGCCCGGCGAGGCGGGATCCCGCCTCGAGGCACCCGGGATCCCGGCTAGGCGAGCCAGAAGAAGCACAATCATATAAACAGACCAGCCCGGGCCAGAGTTGTATTATTATGGTATCGACACTGCGTTCATACTACAAAATAGGTACTTTTACCTCTTGAGGGAAGTTATAAAGAGGATTCCCGATATTGTCTTGAAAATCTAGGAAGCTTTTTGTACAGCAGCAAGAAGGACGTGCAATGAGCACTGCTTATTTGTCGACATGCATGATTTACATTAAAATGGAAGGGGAACTACTTGCAAAATACTTTGATATGGACAGCTAAAAATGTGAAAAACAGGAAAAAGAAACGAGGTGATACAACACACCAAACATGTGTCACAGCGCGAAAAGAAATCAGCAGAAGAATACATTGTGTGAGAAAAAAAGTGTTTATGCTTATAACCTGAGTATGGCTTGCAGCCCTGCGTCTCAGCCCGGGGCAGCACATTACAGTCGTAGTGTGTTTGCTGCATACGCACAACGAGCTGGCGTGTGCTCAGCGCATATAAACTCACTGCAGGCTGGCGACCAGCCCGGCCTTGCACATGTTAACACCCTTGGCGGGCTGGCCCGCTTGCTCCAGCCCGGGCTGGAGTTGCACATATAAAAGGCCCCTTACTCATGCACTCTTGGTACAATGCACTGGTCCATAGTACTTGAATCCGTGATCCTGGTACACCCGCCCTGCAACAAGAGCACCCTGCAATGTAAAGTGTCTTTCTTCTTCTTAAAAGTCGGTGATAAAATTAAAATCAATTTGTAGACAAATCTTATAGAAGCAATTGAAAATAAGAGCAAGATAACAAAGCATAGCATCAATATCTTCACTAGGCAACCTGACGTCTAATGCCACACTGGGACACAAGCAAGGATGGTGAAGCGAGAGAGAGAGAGAGAGAGAGAGAGAGAGAGAGAGAGAGAGAGAGAGAGAGAGAGAGAGAGAGAGAGAGATAGAGAGATAGAGAGATAGAGAGAGATAGGGAGAGATAGGGAGAGAGAGAGACTGCCTGACACGTGGAGGTACAGGCTACAGTAGCAGCCATTACAATGCAGCAGCAGCCAGTTTGTAGCACGTAATGAATGGGTAGTGGCCGGCATGATCGCCACTTCACCAAGGATAGACTGCCAAACACTGCTAGAAGGAAAATTAGAGGGGGGGGGGGGGGGGGGGCAGACACCGCCTGTTCACAACTAATACTTCATACACTGTTCATTTTGATTCCTACACAAATAATCCTAGTCTTCAGTACGCGGATACAAGTACGCCATGCGAAGGAAAGTAGAAGCACTGACGCCGTCTTCATTGAAATATGAACATCTTCCTAAATGGATTTATTCTCCTGTTACATGGTTATTTTCTCTCTCGGAATATTAGGAAATAGAGGATAGCGGGTGAAGTAGTTGGGGCGTCTCTTGGACGACATTGTCATTGAACACAAGCCGCAACGTGTGGGTAGTAGGATCTAGATAAGAACCCAACTGTCCAGTGAAGCACCGTGAGTTAGCTTGGATTGCGTGCTGCTCCCGTTGTACACAGATGTCTCTCGCTTGAACAAGTAGCCTTCAGAGTCGATTAGCCAGAGGACATCGTCGGGCGTGACGGCAATGTCGGAGAACGTGCCCGGGATGCGTTTCCAATAGTCGCCGGTTGGGTTGCGCGGCGTGACATTGCTGCGCCAGACCACGTCGCCATTGGCACAGCACGCCCAGACCTTGACATTACTGATGGCCAGGCGAGAGCTGTTCACACCACCGATGGCTTGCCAGCATGAGCCGGCCGGGTTGTCAATGCCGACATCGAGACGCGAGTAAGTACCACCAGCGCTGTCCACCGCCCAGACGTGCCAGCCACCGGGCCCAACCACCACCTGAATAAAGCAGACAACACATTCAACACAATCAGCACAATGCACATATAATGAACAAGTATGATCATGCAAGTAAAACAGAGAGAACATAAAGCCGCTAAGTTATTACCAGCTCTGGTGCACAACATGACGAAGCTCTGCTCAAATCATACATGTACATATAATTATTATGATAGTGTCTCGGCTCACATGCTCTTGTACTGGTGGCTAAGCTAGTCTATGAGGCAACCAGTTTAGTTGCATCCCTCATTCAAACACAGTACAATGTACACTTCAATCCACTGTGACAGCAGACATGAGTAACTTTACATGTATTCTTTATCCACTGGTGCTGAAAATACTGACTACAGCCATTTCTCCGATCAAAATGGGCAGAGCGTTGTACTTTGAAGTAAACCATTGCGTGTCAGACTGATTTCCAGTGAAACATGCGTAGCTGATACGAAGGGAGCGTTCGAATTGTCTTCATCAACTATTCGAACAAATTTTTAAAAGAGATTAGTTGAAGTATCCCATTAGAACGGTTTCTATCATTTTTAGAGTTTTTCAGTGGAATTGTCATGGCGATGATGACGTCCGATCAGATCGACCATCTCCACGTACTACGTGACGTAGTTATTCCAAACTCTTCAGAACTAATCCACCTCTCCCATCGGATGAGTTTGTGGAGTCTTGAGGAGCTTCATTTTTCTGAAGAGGCCAATAAGGCCACCTCTTCAGAAAAACGAAACTCCTCGAAAAGTCAAAGAGTGACAATTCGAACGCGGCCTAAAGATCATGTGGAATGAGTACACCCACAAATAAAAACATCAACACCCCCCCCCCCCCCCCCCTGCGGCCCCCCATTATTTCGAACATTGTAACAATGCGGATATCTACAAAAAAAAAACACAGGAAGGCTAGCATCGCAGATTGGATTTCATACAATGCGCATGGAAGGGTAGCATGGTAGCATGCAGGGGTTATTTTAATACGGAAATCATACATCGAACCATTCCGCTGCCTGGTGAGTGGCAGGGGTGTATGTGATCAAGCTACCCACTCACCTGAGTAAACTTGGTTTGTGCTGTTGGCGGGTCGATGGGCAACCAGGGATTGGCAGCAGCACCCAATGACATCTGACTCAGCTCACCAAGACGCAGCCAAGCCTGACCCTTGTCATCAACGGCCCAGCCAGAGTGCAGGCCGCAGGAGACTTGCCGTATTTTCGTGCCTTTCAGCGCCTCTGTGGAGATGAGCTTCCAGGCAGTGCCGGTTGGGCAGTAGTCGCTGACACCAGTGCGCTCCAGGATTTGACCGTTTGCCACTACCGCCCACACGGAGCCCAGCGACGATGAGATCTGCGTGAGCTGTCGGCGGGTGGGCGACTCCACGACGGCGAGTCGTTCCCCGTGCTGCACAGAGAACACCTCGCCGTTGCGCTGCAGCATCCAGACGCGGCCGTCGTCGGAGTGCAGGGCCGATGCCGACACACTGATCCAGCGCATACTGGCGGCGATGCCAGATGCCGACATGGTACGGTACGCAGTGCCCACCATACTGCCGCCGGAGAAAAGAAGATTGGAGCCAGTGTTGAGTACGGCCACACAGTTCTGAGCTGAGGCGACGTATCTCAGTGGCTCACTACGCTTCACCAGCGACCATGTCCACAGCGCCTCCAGTAGAGACGCATCGTGAACAACAAACTGGCCAAGAGCTGATAACCACAGATCGCTGTCACCAAGCGGTGACGTCTGGCTGACTTTCTTCATGAAGCACACCACGCCGTCCATGTTGACCAGCCAGGCCACGTCGTTGATGCCAATCGCAACGTGCATGAAGTTCTGGCCGGGACACACCATCTCCCAGCTCGTGCCCAGTGGTTTGTGACGGCTGATGCCAAGCCGAGCGAGGACAACGTTGTGCGTGGTGATGGCCCACAGGACGCCGTTTCCAGCTGCCAAGTAGCGCAGGTTGTTGGGAGCATCCACCATGTCGTCCCAGCGCTGGCCGGTCGGACAAGCAAGATCCACCTGCAGGGGCGGGGGCAGAGAGAAACAAACACATTCTTCTGTAAGAATGCCTGAATGCAAACACAGTACATGTACTTCCTTCCACTTTGAACTACTAGTAGACTGCTACACTGTCACCAGTAGGGCAGAGTACTTTCATTAACTACAGACACCAGAGTAGAAGTGACACCAGAGAAGAAGTGACAAAACCTCAGGACAATGAGGACAATCATGATGAACTCTACAATCAGTACACTTTAATCGCACTTAGGGGTAGAGTCACAAAATCAGCCATTCTCAATCCAGCCTTGAAATAAACTCATACTAATTTTAGGAAATGTTCACACGTTAAACGGCAATCAGTATTGACATACTATAAGTATAAGGGGCCACCCGGCATTATCGCTAGTTTTCACGGAATGAAAAAGTTTAGTTATGAGCCTCACCCGCCACCTGAGCGATAACTACATTGACTTTAACAGTTAAAATCTTTCAGCTATCAATATTTTTCAGAATGAAACTCTCCGCAACTCACCTACCCATAAACAAAACTTGTTCGTTTCGTGTAAAAGTTCGATAATTACGGACGACCCCTAACTCGGGCTCTAAAGAATGCATGTGCAATGTTCAGCACTGAATATACATACGCACATACACATGCTGCACACACGTGCACGTACACACAGACACACAGTACACACTCCAACACAGACATCGACTCACGTCTCGGCGCAGCTTGACGCTACCGGAGGCTGTCAGCACCCAGCTGCGCTTGTAGTCCAAGGCAATGCTCTTCACTTTCATATCCATCTTGCGCCACTCTGTACCGATACGCACTCGCCGCTCAATGCCAGCACGGTGGTATAAACTTCCAGACTTAGAACAGGCCCATATAACATCACCAGATGGAGATGCAGAGATGTGCCGTGCACTGCCCTTTAAATTGATCCAACGCCGTTTGCTGAGCGACCACGTGTATACATAGTCCTTGCTGTCAATCGCCCAGATGTGCGTGGGCGTGCAGACAATCTCGCTGAGTGGGTAACGACAAGGTGACGGACACTGCACCCAACTGTCAGCCAAGGACATGTCCTCTGCTCCCATACTCGTCTGTTTAGAGCTGGCCGCCGCCGCTTTGTCAGAGGAAGATGCTTTCGCTGCTGCTGCTGCAGCCGCACCCTGTCCCCAAGCTGCTCCTTTGTTCTTGTCCGGTAAATAGACATTAGCAGCAGTAGCAGCAGCAGTGTCTGGGCTGGTATTTGAAGTGGGCTCTGCAGCATGGGCTGCTTCATCCTCCTCCTCGGCATCTGCATGGCCAATATCATAGATAGATGTGAGATTGTGTTCCCCGGAGTTTACGGCAGAGTTAGCACCGCTACTATCACCTGATGCATCCGCGTGACTGGAAGCAACACGTGGGCTACTTGCCAGCGGATGATCGGCCTGCGCTAACTCGTCATCCGAGTCAAGCTCGGCAGTGGAGAGGAGCGCAGTAGGTGCCTTCTTGTTCATTTGAAATGGCATGAAAGAGTCGCTGGCTGCCTTGGGTGCACTGGCCATGCTTGTATCATCCACACTGCTTACGTGCACAGACACAGATACAGGTTGATGCATTTCAGCTAGACCAGCACCAGTGACCTCACTGACCTCGGATGCAGTGCGCTCGCTTGGACAATCCGCACCAGTCGACGCACATGCAGCGGTAGTTGCATGCTCAGTGGATGGTTCGGCATTCGCTGGCGAAACATCAGCAATGTTAGACTGGTCTGTCTGTGCTGCTGTTGCACGCGATGAGATTTCGGAGTGAACACAATCAGCGGAAAGAGTCTCAGGAACAGTCTTTGCAAACTGCTCTGCAGCTTTGGCCTGACCAGCAGCAACCTCTGTGCCATCAACGGATTCATGTCTACGTTCTTCATCTGCAGAGTCCATATCATTGCTGGGCAGCAGTTCCGTGGTAGCAGTTGCAGAAGCAGCAGTAGTAGCGGCAGCTGCAAGACTTACTTCCTCTGGTGGTGCATCTGGTGTCGGACTAGCATGGCTTCTGACAGGTTCTGGAGATGCCGGCTCTGAAGATGGCTTGGAAGATGAACTAAGACCAATGGATGAGGCGCTGTCCACTGGGTGTAACACACACATGCGCACACACACACACGCACACACACACACATGCAAAAGCACATGCCCTCACCCGCGGGGCACACACACACACCGTTGCCTTCTCTATCCAACGGTGCCATCTTTCTGAATCTTTCCTAACCAACACCAAGTTGTCCACACGTTGCTGACCACTTGCATCACTTCACCAGACCCCTGACAGGCAACCAAAGCGTTTGCTTCGTGAATCCAAAATCTATAATGTTATTACCGTATTTTCCAGAGTATAAGCCAAACCCAGATTTTTAGTCACGAAATAAAGACATCCACCCTGCATTTCATGGTTCATTAGACCATCATAGTAACCGACGTGGACATGGACATCCGGTAGATTGACGCGGGGCCGGCGCCGTCAGTGCGTAGATCTACAGAACGTTGCGTGCAGTGTACGTGTTGATCACATGCGTACTGACGGCCGCATGGCCAGCGCCCTGGGCCGCATGGCCAGCACCCTGGGCCGCATGGCCAGCGCCCTGGGCCGCTTGAGATGATGATTTCCATGTCCACGACGGTATAAGCCACGCCGACTTTTTTCGGGTGAATTATGACTATTTATGAGTGTTGGAAAAGTGTGGCTTATACTCTGGAGAGCACAGTAACGATACAGTGCACTGGTAGAAGAGAGTCACGCCAGACAACCTACCTTTCTTGGGCTTCTTTACTTTCCGCTTATTCTTGGGTTTGATGAGGACTGTCGTGTCAGCGTCATCCATGCTGATATCAAACTGGATCATGCGCAAACGAAATACAGGGCACATAGACACATCTCAAACAGACACTTTTCTAGATGAAATCAAGAGAGTAATGGACGTGATCTCTTTCAGCAAGATAGTTCACTACAATACTAATGGCTCAGAAAAGCCGAGGAAACTCTTCCTTACTGTTTTCTGATGATCACTTAGTGCGTGAAACTCGGAGTAAAAACACTTTCTCTGTCCTCCTATTGTTTGAACCAGCTCTACCACTTGGTATTGAGCACTCTCTTGGACAGCCTGGAACCTCTCTGTTTTTAGAAACTCTTCCTTACAATACCCATACACAGGGACAAGAAGTCAACAAGGTAGTCAGGAAGCAAGCTTCAACAAGGTAGTCGGGAAGCAAGCTCAGCAGAAGTCAACAAGGTAGTCAGGAAGCAAGCTCAGCAGAAGTCAACAAGATAGTCGGGAAGCAAGCTCTCAAAATCTGCCAAAGAAAGTGACGCCGAGGCTGAATAGTTTCTTACCCGTGGTGGAATGATGGGCACTTTGCTATCAGCAGCATGCAGTAGTGGAGGCTTGCTGGAGTTTGCAGGCGCGCCCGACATAAGCGGCGGTCGTGATGATGGCGAAGTGGCACGGCTGTTTGAAGAGACCTGGGTGCTGGCGCTTGGCGGTGTCCGGGAACGGGCCAAGCGAGGTGAAGACGACGAACCGAGTGCAACATCCTCTCCTCTGGTTGGACTCTGCTCGGGTGTCGTTGTCTGGTGCACTTTCTCACCAGTGCTAGCAACGCTGTTGTTACTGCTAGACACTGCGGCGGCTGCAGTTGAGGTAACAGAGCTAAGCACGGCAGCACTGCTTGTAGCCAGTGAAACTGATACTGCCTCGCTGCTCTTCGAGGGCATAACGGGTGAAGGACAGGGTGACGGAGTGCTCGCAGCAGACACATTGGACGCAGGCTCTGGTAGTGACGTGCCTGATGCTGCTGTGGACGGCCCATCTGTTGACTCACTGGACTGCGATGCTAACACACATGGCTCATCTGCTGCTGTAGAATTGTTCGATCCGGTGTGGGCAGCTTCATCAGATACCTGCTCTACGCTTGTATCCACTGAGTGTGTCGTGTCACTGGTGGTAGACATTGAAGTCTGCTCAGTTGTAAGATGGAATTTGTCACTGGTAACTTCACTGGATGGTGAGTCTTGAGCAGGAGTTGATGAGGGTGCCACTGGATCTTCAGCAGAAGCATCATTCTTCTCAGCCTCTGATTTCCTGGCTGTGATTGGAGACGCGTCTTCCGACGTGGCACTTTCCACTTTACTCCAGGCCACTGACAGTTGGTTTTCTGAGGCGCTACTTGGTAGATGAATTCCCTTGGGCGTATCTGCTACATTTCGAAAGCGAGGAAGGGCTGGACTGCTGCCCAGGGGCACCACGGATGGATCAAAGCCAAGCCGAATCACGGGGCTTTGCCGTGCGTACGGAGGCTCCCGCAGTATGTACACCCAGCGCTTGTAAATACACACATCCAGGATCGGGCCAATGCCGCTGGTAAAGCCGGCCATTTGCCCGTTTCCAGGGTCCAGCAGCCACACCGAATCGCCATGCCATGCTAACAAGTATTTAGAGCACGCAGAGCGCAGACGACCAAGCTGCTGGGCCTCGGAAGCAGCCCCACTGGCACTGGCTTCGCGACGACGACCAAGGAGCTTGATTGCCGGGATATTGCCCTGCTCAATCAGATCCTTGAACTTGAGAGTGGCTTGAACCTAATGACACGCAAACACAGGAAATAAGAGCAGGTCTCACCATACAGTACATTAGATGCGTTGGACACTATCGGCATGTCACAGCATACTAGACCCAGCATTGCCGTCCACTTTTGTCCCACTGTTTCGTGAGTACAGTAAGTATCGTTTATAAAGTGACCGGATATAATGATATACCGGTTATAGTGATAGAACACGTCAAAATCAAAATCAAATCAGAAAAAATACAGCTAAAATATCACTATATACACTATTATCGGCTATACCGATATATCGCTTATTGTGATGGACTTCAGGAAGCAAACCATATCAAATGTACAGGAAAATATCGCATATAATGATCAAGAGTGATGATCACACATGTCCGTTTCTGGCTGTGCTACCCCTTGCAATGTGCTCCCTTTGTATGCTCTTGTCCGTTTCTGTATGCACATGTCCTTTTCTGGCTGCGCTACCCCTCGCTCCCTTTGTATGGTCTTGTCCTTTTCTGTATCTTTCTGCATGCTCTTGTCTGTTTCTAGCTGTGTTGCCTCTCACGATGATGTTGCCAACTCACGTACACAGCCACTCATGTCTATTTCTGGCTCTACGCAACTCGTTGGACACCGAGTAGATCTACGTGAGTACGGATCCAGCTCAGGCTTTTTTTGGAGAACACGCTGAAGAAGCAGCCATGCCACATGATGTATCGAAGTTCTAGTACATACATGTACATGTATGTACAGTCTGTACTCGTACTGCACTGCCATGCACTGCTCTGTGTCATGCACCGGTACACAGTCCGCGGAGCATGCATGCACTTTCAGCATGCTTTTTCCAGCGTGTACGCATCATTTCATGTGCAGTCATGTGCCATGTGTCGGTCAAACATGCAAATCGGCTATAGTGATGCACCGGATATAGTGATAAATTTTCGAAAATCAAAGGGGCACGTTATATCCGATATTTACTGTATAGTGTACAATCATGTACATAGCATTGTGAGTTTTTTGTTTTAGTTTTTGGTTCGAGCTTGGAGTGTTGAGTATAGTGCAAGTGTACATGTACATCGTGTTGTGAGTATATTGTGCATAGTGGTACACTGGGGTATAAATAATGTTTTTGGTCTTTGGCCGCGTGTCCCCTAGAGCATTCCCCTTCTTGGAGAAAAGCTGCTCTTCAGACATGGAAACTGTGATCTTGCCGGTACCAGCTATAGAATCGCATCACTTCCTCCAATAGATTTGTTGCACATACAAAACCAGC